GTCAGGTGCCAACGAAGACACCTATCCAATGCTTGTGATATCACGGCTGATCACCGTGACGTACCTGCCAATTTGCAGATCGGTTTCAACTGTTGATCAAGCTGTTACACTGCGTTGTTTCGAATCTACACGGTTGCCACAATCTGTATTGCCTGCATCAGAACCTTCCTCAGTTTTTCGCCGAAACCATGTCGCCGACAGTATTTTTTCGTATCTAATCTGCATGTTTCAGGATTCAGTTCCTGCCGGATCATATAATGATCCATTCTTGTCTAGTGTGTGTGATATTACACATGCATACATATATACATATAATTACATATATACATTGTATCTATATGTGTGTGTGGTCAATATGCATCAACATGCAATATCATATAATTACACAACTTGTAATGCTGTATAAGTATTATAAATATCTGCTGCCCGAATGGTCATAAAGACACGCGCATGGCTACACACCCTGCAAGATGTATACGCACATAGAATAAGCGAAAACTTGTTGTTGTTACATACACCTCAGCCGTGTGAAAGCAATGCTGAAGGATGCTGGGATGCCTTCGGGTTGCGTGTAGCTCAATGAGGCATCCAAAATTCAAGCAAGCTGACAGTTCGACAAGCGTTGAGCCAATTCATGGGATTTGACTGATTTCAAATGATTTCAGATGATTTCAGATGTCAACTGTCTTGTGGTCCAAATGACTGTGCAACTCAAAGATTTGAGCGCATCGCAGGCGCATCTCGGACTGGATTTTTCATCAGTGGAAGATCCCACAGGTGTGCGTCTGTGTGTGTGCGTGCGCACTTTGGAGGCTTTTTTGCAACCAGCATTGATCCACTGACAGCTCAATACAGTGGCAGCTCACCAAGAACTTCGGCACAGCTGCTAACCCATGCCTGGCACGATGCTTAGTGGCAGAATATGACAGAATCCACCATTCAAATATGACAGAATATGCAGTTGAGTCTGACAAACGTGAAGAGCATACAGTATATGGATATATATGGTCCATACGTGGTTCATTGTGAGACTTTGGGCGGCTAGCAATAGTGATATATGTTAAGACTCAGGCAGCGAGTGGGGAGTTTCGGCTGCCGGTGCCTGAAGCATCCAATTGTATCCAATTGTGCAATCTGATCACGCTGCTTGTACCTGCTATGCCTGGGCTATGCGGCTATGCCTGGGCTCCCATTTGACATGAAAGCTATTGAAAGCTACTGCTGCCGCGGCCTGCTTCTTGCATGCGATCCAGCCATCTTCGCAAGGGTCCACGCCAAGCCTATCTGCAGAGCCATAGCTTTTTGCATTCAGCTCCGACAAAAGCACCACGATGACACAAAGACATAACATGTCGAAACATGTCGAACCCTCAAGCTGCGTCTTTCCAGCGCATCCTGGCAACGAAGCTACTCACTTGCAACTTGCAACATCTTGCAACACTCCAAAGAAAAAGACAACGCATCACACTTGAAATCAATTCCATGTGATGCCTGCAATTGTGCTGCAGATTTCTCAAGCTTCGTGACCACAGACTCTGCCGCTTTGTGCAGAAGTTCTGCCATCCTCAGCATTGAAATCGGCGTGTTATGATGTGTTCATCAAATAAAGATGAGGACGACAGGTTACACGTGTTAATCATGTATTCTCTCTATATATATTACACCCAGTTGACTATGTTGACTCCTTTGTCATCCTTTGTCCCTGGCACCGGGAGTAGGTTCCAGGTTGGTTTGGAGGATGCGGCCTTCAACACTCAAAGCGCACAATGACTCCCAATCCACACATCCACTCCCCAATCCTTTTGCATAAACCCATTTTTAGAAGAGCATAAAAAGCGACAAAAACCTTGATATCACAAGGCACATCAAGACACGCTATGAGATGCTACCAGCCTCCACAGGGACTCTCAACAGTGCAGCCGCCAAGAAATGCACAGTGACCGGGTTGCCCTGAGAATGGCCAATTTGCAAAGGGGAGATAGCCTACGCAAAACAGCAGGAGTTTCTATGAATCATCCGGCCAACCGTTTGATATCAATTTGATGAAAGTGTTTATGTTCATATAGAAAATTACGTGTCATTCCACAATATTAACAAATATTCTATATATATATATATATCCTATATAGCCGTAGGGATCATATATAGTCATATATATATACTGTATATAGCCTAGGCCTAGCCAATGACTTTCAATGTCTCGTGATGGCTTGAGGGTCTCGCAGGGCGGAGAGAAGATGGCCCAAGCTCCTGCCTTTGGGGCACGAACTTTGACGGACTTGGCGACTTGGCTGTTGGATTTGGCCACCAGTGCGACTGAGATGCAGAATCTTGGCCGTCAGCTCTGGCATGTTGCCTTTGGGAGTGCACCTGCAGCTCATTTCAGAAAGTCAGCTCTCGAAGTTCTCAGAAAGATGAAATGCATCGAGACTGGCCGTAGGCAGGTGAGCTTTCAGCAGTCCCATGGTGGCTTTTCGATGCTTTTTTTGGCATTCAGCAATGTGCAAGTCACATGCCAACGAGAACGTGTCGTGATTCTCACGGCCCTCACTGCATCAACTGTACATGAGTTTTGGTGCACTGAGGCCCTGGTCAATGCATCCAATAAGTGGACTGTGCCAATTGCTACAGCAAGTGCAGAGGCCAGAGCGACACTGACGTTTGCCAGGCGCAAAGACGGCTGCCCTGCCAGTCAATTAAATCCATTGTGGAGCGACAGGCAGAGTGTCAGAGTGGGGACGCCCGTTGCAGGGATGCGCGTCTGCCTCAGTACCATACAGATCATACAGTACCCGTCTGGCACGGTATGGCACGGTCTGCATTTCTGAGACAGGCACCTCCTTCAACCAGCGAGATGTGTGCAAGCATGCCCGACAGCGCCCCGTGGCTCGTAGGTCTTCTGCCGCCTAAGAAGTTCGGCATGTCTAGGCAGACTGTCCACAGTGATGTCTCCCAAACGGAACCTGATAATCCAAGGCTAAACTGCCATAAACATCCATAAACTGTTTTAAACTGCTAAGCATCGGTGATGCTTAAGGTACGTTCGGACCTTGTGCGGAGAGCACTGGGAGCCATCGGAGTCCCTGACGAAGTCCGTGCCTGAATGATCTCGCAACATGCGACAGATGCAATGCAAGTGCAAATGCAATGCAACTGCAATGCTATGCAACACCTTGCGACATGCTGCATTGCGAATTCAGCTGTTTCAGTTCATACAATATATTATATACTATAGTATGAATATATATAATTATAGAGTATATATATATATTATATACATTAATATAATTATATATCGCATCTGTATCGGCAACAATGTGCAACATATTATGACGTGCATCAACGTGCTATTGATTCATTTTACTGAGAACACATTCCGGTTGAGGCGTCAACACCGCAGCTGCTGAAAACGCGATACGCCGGTAGCCTTTCGCAAGATTTCACAAGTACTGGGCTAAACAGCCAAAAGATAGCCAGGATGATCAAGTAGAGTAGAAATGAATCCTACAGAACTGTGCTCTGACTGAAATTCGTGTGGTAGTCCCGAGGCCTCCAAAAGACTGGTCCAGTTCAAACAACTCCACCTTGGCGGAAGTTGGAAGAAAAAATATGGGGCAAAAATTGGCAAAATCTTCGACCTGAGCTGACGACTACAAGGATCGCAGTATGTGGGTTTGCCACGTTGAAGCCCTACGTGGTCAGTTTCAGAAGGGTGGAAGTCAAGCCACATACGACACATATGGTTCCGGATGTTTGGAGGACCCCACTCTGATCTCGCTGATCAAATTGAAAATTATAGCCACATATAATCTCAAGATAGAGTCTGGAGATCAGAAAAGCGGTTTTGATGCCCGTCAATCAATTTTATAATTTTGACAGATTTTGACCAAGTGGGACACGGAATGGGTCATCACATTCCATCAAATATAGCTAAATAGTAACTATAGGCAGCCAAATTAAGGACACGAGCATGAGCTTGTGCTACTTCCTGGCTCAATTCTGGCAAGCAGCTAGTCCGGCAACCTCGGCTGCAAGTGTGACAACAGCGTTAGACAGGTTGAAGTCGCTTTCTGATGTTTCTGGACTCCCGTAAGCCAAAACAGCCATGGACTTGTCCTATTTTGATCCTGCCATGTGTTGCCAGCACTAGCTAGCTGAACAACTGGTTGCCGTTCCAGCAACTGCTAGTCTGACCTGCTGCTAAGGTGCTTCTGGCCAGTAGAGAACAACACCAGAGGCTTTGACTGGATGATAGTCCTTTCCAAAGATGCCAAGGCATATAGCAGTCAACTGAAAGGAAAATCCCAGGCAGTCTCCTGGCGCGCGCAATCAGGAGGGGCGCCCCAAATGCTGGCACTTAAGACCTCGCCAAGCTGTGAGGCAGCGTGACATCGTGCACAGCTGAGAAAGCCAGAGGGAAGCCACCGAGGAACGGGCTACAGAGCCCTTCGGCAATGGGGAATCAATGCCAGGTATAGCTCGAGCTGCGACAAGTCGTACCTGTTCTGTTGCCAGCGGCCCAGGCGGCCCAACTGCGCAAGGTTTCAAAGGTTCTTCCTTTCTGAATGTGTTGAGCCTCCAAGTAAAGTGGTTTGGGTGGTGCGGCTGCAGCAGCTGCCTCGTCAGATCTTCACCAATGTCTCTACGTACATATATTTCATTATATTTCTTACATTGGTCAACTGCAACTGCCATTGCTCTTGCAAAGCTCATCAAAGCTCCGCATCTGGCTGAGAGTATTGCTTGACCCTCAGTTGCCACGCTATTCCTCAAGAAAGGCGGTTTCCTTGGCTTCGCCGCAGAGCAACATCTCTGGCCCCATAGATTCTCTATGCCACTCTAATCTATGTGTTACATCCCAATGCCACTCTAATCAAAAGTCCCGAATAATGTGGAACTGAGGCTGATGGCAACTATAGCAGGAGATGATGGGGAAGCGTGCAATGGATATCAAGGACTCGCGCGTTGAGGGGCACACTGTTGGTTCAAAACTTGATCCTCAACAGATCCTGATTCTTGTTTTTCATGATTCACCCATGTGTGCCATGGTCAATCTCACCATGATTGGGCTTTCCTTACAATAGGCATATTTTAGCCCTCTTGATGCGGGATCTCTCGGGATCTCTCTCCATCGCCTTCTCGAAGAGTTCAGCTGAGCTAAGAGCGAGTGAAAATAACCGTGCCACCAGGGTAGACAGGAGTGTCAGCAGCCAAGGGTATCAACAAGCTGCTTTATTTCTCCCACCCATGTGCCCTGTAGGCGGAACATCTCGGATGACCATGCCCGTTTCGAAAATAATCCAGGTATATCCAGGTCTTGACCATGGCACATATTATGAATCTGATATACATACATATATTATGTATATTAATATATATATATATAAGGAGAAACCACAAAAACAGGCCGAAATGAGGCACAAACAAGCATGCACAGCACAGAACATCTGCTGATGGCCCTGCATGTGTGCCAAAGTGCCTGCTATAAAACTGTTGTATCATGTTGTATCGATTGTACCTGGTACTCCATCATGTCATAATCTCTGGTCGTCAAGAAATGTCAAGAATCAGCACATATCCGCAGCCGCCATTCAGCAAGAAGAGGCCGGTTTGCGCAAGCATGGCCTCAGCAAGACACGTGCTGCAGCACTGCATGGCTTTCTTTTTTGTCCTCTTGGCAGCCCGGCGCCATCACACCCATCACCTCCACATCCCAGAGTTACTGCAGCCATTTGTACCTGAGCAATTAGAAATTACCTTGCCACAGTATACACTTGCGCCAGACATTTTAGCTGTTGTGCTGCTTGCCGGTGCCAAACTCAAAACCTAAAGTTCTAGCAAGTTCCAGCAAGAAACCACTAAGGACGTGGCACCACAAGACCAAGCTGCAGCCAGGTTGTAGTTGACCTAGCTTCAAAGTTGAATGAACAAATTTCCTCGAAGCTTGTACCTTGAACGAATCTGTCGCATCACTCTATAGTAACTAGTATGCAGAATAGGAAGTCAGGCAAGCAACCGGAGAGTGACGCAAAGTCAACGGAAAGCTCAATGATAGGTACCTTGGTCGCACATCTAGGCAACCCGAGTACGAGGCGTCAAAAAATTTTGAAGCTCAAGGCTCGAAATGAAATGCATCCAAGCTGCTGCCGATGATACTCCAACATGCTTTGCCTTGTTTCACATGGCAGCCAAAACGTGTCTGCCACGGGCTAATTTAGAGCTTTGCTTCTCACTTTTCACGTCCCTCTGCAAGATTGATTAACTAATACTGCGGGAATTCAATTTGCGGCAAAGTTTCTGCTTGAATTCTGCGAGGCTGCAAAGTTCATCCGAAGGCAGAAATCCAACCTAGCTCGACTCGCACAAACAGAGTTGAAAACAAGCCTGACAATGCTATGGAGTCTCTATATATATATATACGAGAATTGATGGTGTCACGTCCCTCGCTTTCAGAAATTGTTTGAGGTGAGTCACTGTGATCTCACCCGGCAGCTTCTGCGCAAATGTTCGATCAAACACCTCGAAACTTGCGAAATCTATCGAAATCTGTTCTTCTTTTGGCAGTGGCTGAAAGTTGGTGTACCAGCTGCCCGAACCTGGCCACACCACACGGCAAAACGTTTGGCTGCCTCTTGCCAGGCCTGGCACAGATCATGAGCTGACCAGCATGATGTAGGATGATGCTCCTCGAAGGTTCCATGGCCCACCTCCACAACTTCGCTGTCTTCCACTGTCGAGCCCACACCACCTTCACTGCGCCGATTAACATGGGATACAAATGGATACGATATGTTTACATGCATGTTCTATACATGTTGTTACACTGCATGTTACGTACCTGCAGTGTTTACGCTTTGTGTGTGTGTGTCTCTGTATGTATTTCTGTGTGTATGCATCGATGCGATGCATGCATGTTGGGATGGGATGGGATGCGATGGATGATGGATGATGGATGATGGATGATGCATGATAGATAATGGATGGATGGATGGATGGATGGATGGCTGGATGGATGGATTGATGGATGGATGGTGGGTGGCTGGCTGGCTGGCTGGCTAGCTGGGTGGGTGGGTGGATGGGTGGCTAGCTGGGTGGGTGGGTGGATGGGTGGCTGGCTAGCTGGGTGGGTGGGTGGATGATGGGTGGATGATGGGTGGATGATGGGTGGATGATGGGTGGATGATGGGTGGATGATGGGTGGATGATGGGTGGATGATGGGTGGATGATGGGTGGTGGATGGGTGGGTGGGTGGATGGGTGGATGGGTGGATGGGTGGATGGATGGATGGGTGGATGGGTGGATGTTTGGGTGGGTGCATGGATGCATGGATGGTGGGTGGATGGATTGATGTATGGCTGTGTGGATGTATGGAGGTATGTATGTATGTGGTACCACTTGAATGATGCAACAAAACTCCTTAGTTCTGAAGGCGCCTCGTTCCAGTTTGGGCTTCAAGTCGAGACCAGGATCCATATCACACCCAGGGGCAAGAACCACTACCTTATTCAGAAACAGCTGGATCGGTGATCCGGGGATAGATGCATGACGCATAAAATATGCGCACCAGCAGTCCTACTTCAGGATACTGTAAATCTTGGCGTGCACTTTCATTTGTTGTTCTAGAAGCTTAACCCCTGCGTTTGATTCTATATCAAGTGCCTCCAGCAGAAAAGCTAAGCCGTCAGCAACATGACCTTTGGCTTCTTCAGGGGATGGCATCTCTGCACTGCTCCTTGTGCATGCACACGCACTTTGACATGCCATGACATGCCTGCACAAAATTCATCAAATGTCAAGGTCCTCCACAATCGGTCACCCAGTTTGTCAAACACCACTTCTGCAACCTGCGTGCACGCGAGCATGGTGGAAGGACTAGTCTCAAGATGTTTCAAGTCACTGGAGGCACTGATCTACTGGATATGTGTAAGGTTGAAAGAGTATCTCCGACTATTGGACTATGGTTGCTGCCCTTCGTTTGCTAAAAATTGGTATACATGATCTACCTCAAACCAAATCCTGTCAAACAAAGGATCCAACATGCTTGATATAGTATAGATACTGTTGGTTGCACGTCGATGTACCGGACTCTTGTTGACAACTACATGAACGCACTCTGGATGCCCTGCTTCGAACCTCTCCACGTTGTCTAGGCGAAGCCAGCTGCTGCAAACTCAGGACAAGCCTGGGGCACCCAGGCACTCTGATAAGAAAGCAAACCGACGAAGGAACACCCTGGTTGATCAAAATGGCTATGGATCAATACCTATTAATACCATTTTTAGTGGGATGAACATCCATTTACCAGCTATTTTGATGTTCACCAGGGGTACAAGGTTTTGACACACTGCCAAATGATCAAAGAAATCAGTCGTTTCTACTGAGCTTCTGTCACAATGGGATACTCGCACTGTTGAAAGCCTCAAAATGATAACAGCATATAACAGCCACATACAGCCACGCTCGACCCAAAGAGGTGCGAATTGACTTGGACCCGCACCTGCCACGGCCAGGAGCTCAAGCACATCCTCGGCATCTTAAACATATATCATCGTCTATCCGCATATTATACATGATTAATCACGATTCATTATAGACATGTATAATTTCTGGGTATACCTGTATTCTACAAACTGCGTAAACTGCTGGGCCATGCTAAGAGGTGCTCTGCGAAGGAAACACGCTTGTTTTGCAGCACCACCTGCCAAGTTCTGTCAAGTTGAAAACCCAAAAGAGATCAGCGGAGAATCCTTCTTGATATGGCCTTGGCTTGCAAGGGTACCAAGACAACTCGGTTCAAATCTGTCAGGTTTGAAGGACCACATGGGTCGAGCCGGGTCCAGCCTGGAGTTCTGTTGCCTCCACCAGAGCAAGGCTAAAACATCTGCACCCTTCTTGTAGGAGGCGAGTGAAGGGTTCAAGGTCATTGCCCTCCTGTAGCCACTCAGTGTCAATACAATAACTATCCAGAATCCAGATCAATGGAAAGCCATCTGCATGAAATTTCTGAAGAGATGCGCCTCTGCCATAGGAGAGCCTCAGCCAACAGGTTGAACGTAACATGGTTGAACAGGTTGCCATCTGCACATCTGAGTTCAAATTCTGCGAAATTCTGCAAACTCTGTAGCAAGGAGCATTCAGTCTCATCGAGGGTCTCCAGAATGATGTGGTGAGAAGTGGCGATCCAGTAGTCCTTCATTGGTCTCGTCATGTCACAGGAACCTGGCTGACAAAGTTCTGGTCGAACTGCCTTGGCCAATTGGAAGCTTCCAATCGGGGAGAGGAAATGGATGCGGTGATCAGTGGGTTGAAGTTAAAAGAATCAGTGGCGGGAAGCATCGCAGATGGAACGTGCTACAAGACTCTCACGGATGGTAAGAGAAAGTGAAAAAAGCGGTGCTACGCGTCATTTCGGTTCAAGGCACACTGTTCTCTTGCACGCAGAGACTGGTGGAGAGGCCAGCCAGGGTGAGGTGTCCATCTGAGTCGATGTACGGACAGTCCATAGCCTTCAGCTGGGACGCAGCCGCTTCCACCACCCCTCCTGAAAGTGCCAGGCCGAAGTCTGACCAGCGAGCTCTAGCAAGCAAGCCTACTGAGCCTACTGTAGAGTGAAGAAAAGGGCTGATCAGCTAACCTTCAGTTTGAGGCATGCAAATTCGGAACATTTTGGAACTATAGACATGCCAAGAAAGGATCCTTCTGCATCCTTCTGCCACAGATTACAGTTCTGGGTCGTATGCCACCAAGCTTAGGCCCAGGGTCGCTCTTCATTCTGCACCTGCACTAAGAACCAGCTCCATTTTTCCAGCGTCATCACCGGCATTCCATCACCAAAGCCTTCGTAAATCTTCAGGACGTGGCTACAGTGCTGCAAGAGCAATGGCAAGTGAAGCTGGTGTTGCACTCAATTGTGTGTATGTGTGTGTGTGTGTTTGGCACTGAGTCTGTGTCTTCTATATAGTTTAAAGACTGGTATAAATATTACATATATAGATATAGAGAGAGAGAGATAGATATAGATATATATTATATATTGACATCATATATGTATATATATATATACATATAAATATATACACACACATGTAGAATGATGTAGATACCACCTGCGCGATGCAGCTGTCACATTTCATCCCTGTCTAGCCGAGTCTAGCCATGCTCTCCGCGTGTCTTGCCAGGACACGGCTCTGTAGCTTGGGCTCTGCCAGCAGTTGATCCACAAGGAGCATGGGCTGCCTTGGCTCAAAGCGACATCAGGGTCCGCTGCTCTCCGGCACAGAAAGCATCGTTCGGAAACACAGGAACAATCAATAATTGGTGGAAATGGATGCCTAAAATGCCTTAATAGCGGCATCTCGCGTAAGTTTGAGATTCTTTGAGCTGCTGGCAGCACCGTCCAAAATTCCTCGAAGGTCGTTGTAAGCCGGAACAGTTCAAATCCGGCCACAGCCTGCACAGATCGTCACGGAAAGCTTCGAGTTCTGGCAACATGAGATCTCACATTATGCTCAACAAATTTCAGTGGCGTGGCCTGACCATCCGAAGGGACAGGTGCGTCTGGCTGCAAAAGAAGCCTGCAGCATGAGAAAAATGAAGGCGCAAATGGACACTTTTAAAGGTTTGCTCGCAATTCAAAAGGCACACGCATGTCAGCGCACAAATCTCTCCCTCAGCTACTTAGCATTATTTGGAACATCTTAGAACCTACTGTCAAGAAAATGCTGCAGGAATCCAGCTTAATACAATGGAACAAAAGTCCTGTCATATCCATGCTCTATAAAGAGCCGGTAGATGTTGCCTGTGTAGAAGTCCCGCGCATTCATTGGCAGAGAGGTTGTCTTTATTTGCCTGAAGTGGCAGAAAAGCTCAAACCCCCCAATATAATCTTTGGAGAGAGTGCCTGAAGACACATGTAGCCATTGCGTTGCAATCGATGCCATGCTTATACAGTCAGATATGGGGCATTTGAATTCAGATAGTGCAAATCATTGCAAATCCACCCTAATCTTCGCATAGGAACACCATGGAACACCCGTCTTGAATCGTTTATGCTGTGCTTTCTGCAGCGCTGCCTTTGGCTGTGCCGTCACGGTGGAGGGCCGTGTTTCTTTTGTGTCACTGCTTTCTCTGGTCTCCTTCGTCTCTTTCCTCCGCCCATACCTTGCAGGAAAAGCTAGGCACTGCATGGCCTTGCATGGCACTGCTGGCCACCACTGAAACAATTCGATTGCCGTTGGCCGCCGTTGGCAGTAGATTTCTCCTTGATTCTCTGTTTGACCCCTATCTCGCAATACTGAATCACTGAACTGACATGTTTGCGATGGCTCTGAACAATGAGACTCTATGCTGCTTTAGGATGCTGTAATTAATGCTGTAGGGAACTTTCCAGCTTAGAACCGGGCTGGCGAAGTGCGCTGGAAAGATCGCCCAAACTGCCACTTTTGCCTAAGCCACTGTTAATCAGTGTTGCCAATCATTCAACCGATGCATTGTCATACCGTGAGCCTAAGACAAATGATCCAAACGAGCAAGCTGAGCAATTTCCTCAGGAGCACACGGATTGAAGAGGAAGCTGATTGACGATCCCACAGCTGCCTGGCGTACGCCTTGAACTCCTCCAAATGACCCCCGGTTGCATCTGGACGATGACGACCAATGGACCCTTCAGAACGAATGGCAAGTCTGGGTGAATTCTCCGACGCGTCATGAGGGACGCCTGGCGGCTTTGCCCGTGCCATGCACCCAGGGAGGCATCCGGCAACACAGCCGGCTGGAAGCCAAGTCAATAGTGAAGCGCCTCGACGTCGAAAGGATCTGTGGTCTGTCTGCAACCGCTCAAGCAAAGCCAGCAAGGCATTGCGGCTGGATTCATCTGGAAACACGAGGGTCCGAACCTCTTCAGATGTTTTTCGACTTTGACCCGACAGCTCTGCTTCCAAAAGAGCGAAACCAAAACCACTTAAGCAGTCACGGGGCTCACACCTGACCGAGCCCACAACCCGGCTTAGGTTCAGAGACTCATCCTCACAGTCCAGCTCCAAAGTGTACCGAAATCCCCGGTCCAAACTTAGTTTGCCATCTAAAGGTTCCGCAAAGTCGGGGTCAAGCACTCCACAAGGCAATCCTTCACCTGAGTTCATGGGAGTTGCCATGATGCGATGATGCGATGGTTGAAAAATGTTGAAAAAGTGATGGCAGTACCAGAGCCAACAAAATGGGTCAATATGAGCCAATATGAGTCAATATCGCAAACAAGAAACGGGAAACAAGTTTATCATAGAGGTCTCTTTCGTCCGCATCTGGCTGTTCGAGAGCATACTTGCGCATCATGCCCAGGGCATGATTTTGAAAACTAAATATGTTGCATTGTTGTTTGCCGAAGGCAATTTGGAAAGGTCTTTGTCTGGAAAGGTCTTTGTCTATTTGTTCAGTGGTTGTCCCATCTTGCGAACATCATAGTTGTATATATATATATATGTATGTATATATTACATATGTATATATTAAATATTTATAACTGTAGTGTGTTGGCTGCATGTTCTGAGTTCCCACGACGCGTTTTCCAAGCGATCTTTTCGCGAATGTCAACATATGTCCAAAGGCTGGTTTGGTGCTGTGACTGCTGATGATCTCTCTCTCTCTCTCTCTACTCTATTCTCATATATGTTTCATGCTCGTGGTCACTTGTGACAATCCGCTATGAGGCTTTCAAGCCTTGAAGCTGTAATTTGCGATGGCATTCTGCGACTCGAAAACCAACTGACTATCTCATCCAGAGGTATGACATATTCATATGCATGTCATGATACGGTCCCGCCTTTCCTCTCCACTCATCATTTGACATCTTGATTTCTATGACTCTTCTCGCGACATCTCGCAACTCCTCCCTGGATCTCTCCCGCTTTTCGTTGCCTCCCCGTGGCGCCAGTAGCATCCACCTCACCACAGCAAGCCACAGCACGTTTGAAAGGGACTGTTGAAAGGGACTGCCAGGATACTGCCAGGTCATTTCTGAGGATAGAACGAGCCACAAAAGGACTGGCAATGCCTCGAGTTGATCCAGCTGTCAGGAGAATATTAGGACCGAGATATTCCGAGTCACCGTGGCCATCAAGCGGCAAGGCTCAAATGGGCTGAGAGTGCTGAAAATGCTGAGAGTGCTAGCATCTGAGAGCGCAGAGGAGAGCTCTTCTGAGTGACCTGGACAAATGGCCAGTTCTTGAGAATTCTTTGTGCCATCAGTGCGCCGTGCCAAAATCTGGAGGAACTATGAGTCCAGCCTGCACAAAGCCGGGTCAAAGCCCTCAACGCAGCCTGACAGGTGCTTTCTGTGGTCATGCTTCAGTTTCAAGAGCAGCTGGCTCTGTCTGGCCCACCCGACACCAAGAGAAATCCAAGTAAAAATCATTGAAAATCACACAGCCTGCAGTACTGTACCAATCGCAACAATCAATCTAAAGTTCGATTGAATTTCCATCTAGTTCATCTAGTCTGCAAATGATTGTAGACCTGCACCCCGATTATCATCAACTCCTAGAAATATCAGTGGACCTCGAAATATCGCTGACATGTTGCTGAACCAAAACACTAAGTTCACAAAGTCCAGTGCGAAATGAACAGAAACACAATGCAGCGGTGGTTTTCCCTTATGTGACGTATGTGCGTCAAAGATCATGACAGCTCGCCAAATTGCTAACTCTACTTCAGGATGCGCATTCAACATACATCAGAGCATAAGCATCCCTGGTCCAATTTGAAGAAGATAAATGACAAAAGAACAGCTGACCTGATAGTTTTACCATGTTTTACCTCTTAAAAAAACTGCAAACACTGTACCCGCAATACCCGAAAGTCCATGCAAATCCAAAAATGACAGGTTTTGTTTGGAGAGATTCTTTGGCCCACTGTGATGCCCTCAGGTGAGTCATTGGCCTATGGCCTATTCTGACCATGATAGGCCCTGTCTGTTTATCCCTGATTCTGCCTGATTCGGCGATCTGTTTCTGATGGCTCAGTTCAAGGTGGGCTACTAGTGATTGCTGAGAAATGAAGAAAGAAAAGCTGAACTTGCCCCAAGCAGCCTGAAAAGCAAGAACTCCCTGAATCATGTTCCAACAAAGGCATACATCCACTCCTCCTGTCTCTTTCTACCACCTGGTTCTCTTAAGGAACTCCGGTCAGTCTGCTTCTTCCTACGTCTATGAGTCTCTATATATATATATATATATAAGTAGCCGCTTTTGTGCCTTGACCCCAGCAAATGGCCCAATCCGCCACAACCATTACTGAAGGTGCCCAAGGTGAGAAAAAAAAACATGCAAAAAAGGACATCACACCCCACCTCTGCATCCCCAGCAGCTGTCTCGACAGAGAGTGCGGCAACGGATAGCAACGAACGTGCAGCCTTTCAGCAACATACAACTTGTTGCAGAATACAAAAGATCAACAAGTCACAACTTGATCAACTTGCTCAGAGAAACTTCTCGAAATTCTGAAAAGCAAATGGAGGGATCTTCAACAATTTTCGCAGCTTCAGAGTGTCCACGGCACGGGAGCCACAAGGACAGGCCTGCGCAAGAACTGACCTGAAGAACAGTACCACAGGATCAATCCGGATCGCATTTGATGTGCAACGATACAGAGTGTGCTGGACCACATTTGATGCAGAAAAAAAGAACACTGGGCCAGTTGCGGATCAGCTTTTCCCAAACGTAAGGCCTTCAGAATCCCGTGCAGATTGGTTCAACTTTGAAATTGTGAAGTCTGATGTAAAATCACATGCCATGACAATGACATGTATCTTGAGCAGAGAGAAAGAGAGAGAGAGAGAGGAGAAAGAAGGGGAGAAAAGAGCGGCAGCAAGAGAAAGAAAAAGAGAGAGAGAGAGAGACAGAGAGAGAGAGGGAGAGAGAGAGAGAGAGAGAGAGACACAAATGCATCTGTGAGTGAAAAGTATGAAATCAAAGACTATCAAAGACTGCAACGAGTTCTATGCTTGAGATCTGAGACTCTGCAGCTATGTCGGCATCTTTGACTAGCAGTACGGAAACGATTCCCTTGGATCACAACGATCATTTGTGCTCCCTTCATCTCCCTTCTGGGGCCCGCCTTCTCGGATGACAACAGCTGTTGCCGTGCATCTTTCCATAAAGCCTTAGAGATCGATGCTGAGTTTGAGATCTGGGATCAGCGGAAGCTGTCGACATACCAGAATATGCTGGAATGGGCCCGCACTCCGGCCACCTTTTGCTGAGACGAAGCTGGCAAAAGCCAAAGCCTGATGAAATCTGCAGAATGGCGTAGAATGGGCACTGAATAGCATAGAATGACAGTTTCAAAGACTCGAAGCATCTTGAAGGTTTGCCTCTGATCAAAAAACCATTGCAAGCTCCTCATGTGGATATCTATCCTGTGAGTTCAGATTGAGGCTCAGGCACTTTGTTTCCGGCTTTTGTGGCTTCACTTGACCTCCCAGCTCTGCAAAAACCATCAAAAACACCTGTGTCGCATCGGCTGCGGCTTCGGTTTCTGAGGGCCAGGCTCAGCTACCAGGTGCGGCTGCAAATGCTGGCGAAGCCTTGCGGCTCGCACAAATTTGGAACCAAATGAGGCAGCGAGGACCCCATCTGAAACTGGGAAACATTGGGAAACATTGGGAAAGGCTAACATGCCTCAGTTCATTCCTCAACAGTACTTCACATACAGTACACTGAGAAACATTTTCTTGCTGGCAGAGGGCTGAGGCTTAAAAGTACTTCATCGCCATGAAGGTGGACACGCGCTTAAAATAAGCATCAAACGGCCCATCAGGATCTGGACCCCATAGGTACTCGAGCTGAGGGTAGCAATGAACCATGCCATCCTCAACAGTCGCATCAAGCTCCACACCATGATGCATCATACTATCTGCCAGCCTCTCAATTTGCGTGCGAAAGACTTCACAGCCCCCATAGTCCAGCAATGTCCGCGGAAAGCAGGGCGGCCAACTTCTGCAACGCCCTGGCGACACACGAGAATCTCGCAACGGAACGCCTTTGGCGTAAATTCCAGCAATGACCTCGGCATGTCTTGAAGGAATGTAGTCCACATCTGCGTATTTCTGCCATGACTCACCATCTGTGTCCGAGAGATCTACCCATGGTGAGAGAAGAATCAGCCCCTCAGGAGGTGGTAAGGACAATCCACAGGGTGATTCATCCATGCCCTCAGCAAGCTCCTTGGTTACAGATAGCACCAGATTTCCACCCGCACTGTCGCCACCCAAAAAGACTGCATCAGCATATCCCAGCTCTAGGATGCCTTTGTACACCCTGAGGATGTCATCGCGTGGAACAGGAAAGGGATGACGTGGCGGCTTTCGGAAATCAACACAGAAGGTGGGAACACCAGTGTGCATGACTATCCTGGCAAGGAAAAAGCGATGTGTAGCCGGAGAGCACAAAACAAAGCCACCTCCATGAGCCCAAACCAAAATGCTCTCTGTGTGAGAATTTGGCTTTTGGAGCTCATAGTTTTCAGGCAAGATCCACTCACCCTTTATGTCGGCGATGGTGTCGCGAAGGACACGAACTCCAGACGGCATAGACAAGGACGACACGGTCCGCAAAATAGACTCAGCTAAAGGTTTCACGAAGGTTTGAACCGCCTGCTCCGAACCTAGAAGAGATAGGGGAACCCGTCGAACTGTCTCTCGAACTACGGCGATGGCCCGCTTGAAGCGTGATGGCCACACTAATCCAACTAAGTGCTCCTTGAACTCCTTCTCATCTCTCCAGAATGGAGATTCTTTCCGCTGTCCCTGCCACCACTCAGCTGCAAATTTCACCATGTCGTTTGCGAAGACCACAGTCTTTCTCTGACTCTTGTTGGCGGCTTTCTTTGCGGCATCTCCCATTCTAGTTGCTGCCAAGGCCACTTTGGTTGTTAAGGGTCTTTTCTCCACAGATTCTTCGAATGCTGCAAGATCAGCCCAGAAAGCTTCTTCCATCCGTTTGGCCACTGATGACATGTTCAATGCCATTTGGACAACTTCAACTTCAAGATCGTTCTCAAAATAGTCAAGACAGTTGTCCCAACAAAGTGCCACATCCTTGAAGAAGAGTTCAGGGTCCACTAGCCCATCCACATCATCATACGATGAGGCATCCAAGCGCTTTCTGATTGTATGCAAGTCAATCGGGTTCTGTACGATTTCTGGATAGTCATCAAGGCCAAGTGTTTCCCAGTCAACTGGAACCAAGAATGGTGCAGCTTGCGGCTCCAAGGAGAGTTTGCTCAAAAGATCTCCCAGCTGCCTCTGACACCATTTGTGAATCAAAATGTCATGCTTCACCATCTCGTCACTGTCTTCCTCTGAGGTCTCGTCATCATTGGCGGCAAGGCGATCAATATTCTCCAAGCCGAAATCTTCATCGGAGATGTCCCACACCTCACCGGGGACATCTCCCATTGCTTAATCTTCACAGCCCATGACGCAGAATTGCAGCATTGACGCTGCCGGAAGTGGCAACCTATACATCTTGAGCCCAGTGGATTCAAGTGGCGAAATGCAAGCGGCCTGGGGGGAACACGAACGACATCGGTTGAGCTTGAAAAGTTGACTGTTTGAATAGTCTTCGGATGCACCGAGTGAAAAATTCAAATCAACAGCTTGCGCACTTGCTGGTCTGGTGTCTCTCATCCTCAATCCAAGATATCCCTGCGTTGCATCTTGGAACCCAACCTGGTGAAGGGCCTTTGCCTTCCTTGTGGCAGCCACTGTTGCAGATCAAAAGGCTCCATCCTGTCACAAAAATATGGCTTTACTCAAGTTGGCCAAGCATGAGCTGGCAAACACACACGACAAATCAAACGGTTCGAGAGCCTCAAGGGAGGAACGTCTCTGCTTGAGGTCTTCTTTTCCTCCTGCCCATTTCATATCTTTTCCAACTCGGCTACGACTGAACTGCATGAGATTATCCAACAAAACGATCTACCAACCGATGAATAAGAGCGCAGTGCAGGCAGCCAGCTCTTTTCTCGCCACACACTCTGAGACTTTACGACACTTTCAGAACAGGTATGATCCAAGAATATTAAAGACTAGTACTCCTTCATGTCAGTACTACCTGTTCAGCATATCGCGCACCCCCGCTGGGCTCACGTCCTCATCCGTGTCGGTGCAGTGTTCTATGGCTTCCTGTAGTGCATGATACCAATGACCCAACGCTCCATCCAAGCCGTGAAGGTCAGCTGCTTCTTCAACTGCACAAAGACCTTCCAATTCCCAAGCCCTCATCAGCCATCCCCAGTATTTCTTCACGTTTCCATACGTTTGCCCTTAGACTGTAATCCTATTGTTTCATGAAATGCTCCGACACTGGATATTGCAACCAAGAACGGTCAAGAAATCCATTCTCATTTTTTTTAGCACATTGAGGTTGTGAGCTTTGCTCTCTTTGGCGAAGAATTTGAGTATGGATAAGAAGGGTGACAATCACTGGGAGGACTCGGACAAAATATCCCATCACTATATACTAAGAGAAGTTCATGAGCATCTTGGCTCACTCCGGGATCACAATGTCAAAATCAAGAGATGGCCTCCAGCTTCTAAGACTGACACAGCTGCATCAGGACCATAGGCAGCCAAAGTAGCCAGAGCAGCAGCGCATCTCTCTATTACATCCAGATCTGTCCCAAACATGGCTATCGATGCGACTAGCGCTTCAGCTGCCATGGCCAGCATGGCCGATTCTGCTACCAGGTCACCTCCTTGTGCAAGCAGGGATTGAAGAAGGCTGGCGCACCACTTATGCACTTCAGCATTGCCCTGGTCTTGAGCCAGAATTGAGATGATCGATTCAAACCCATCATCGGCTGCTATCTCAGTAGCTCCCAGCTCACCGTTGGACTCGCATATAGCCCAGAGAGCTCGCAAGCACGCCTGCTGCAAAGACGCATCCGCGGTCAGTGAATTGCTCTCTCCGGGCTTGTCAAGAGTCGCCGCGAGAGTTGATAAGATCAAACGTAGGCATCCAGTCTGGAAAGCTTCATCAGCAACAGCCTCGCCGCCCTCCATCACCATGCAACAAACAAGAGAGGCAGCACAATCCAGCAAGGAGGGAGATGTGGAATGCAAGCGGATTGACTTTGCAATCACACTCATTGTATCCTGAGACAGCATGTGGACTGCCAGAACGTTCCTATCTGGTGAATCATCTTCGCCCACTGTCAAACAGCAAGCGAGCGCACTAAAGCACCATCTTTGAACTTCAATGGCTTCAAGATTTGCCTGTGCTCCCGAAACCAGAGCTGAAGTGGCGTGGAAAGCCATGTCGGATCGGATGGCAGATCTCCGAAAGAGCTCTTCCAAAGTGGCTGCACCCCAACGTTGCACTGCTGAGTCAGCCAAGTGTTGCTGTAAGGCCTCAAGGACTTGCGATATTGAAGCAGCAGCCAATTCAGTCTCTTCTGCTGGACCTTTTTGAATAGCATTCAAAAGACCGACGAGTCCATCGCGGCATTCAACAGCAGATCCTCCAGCCAGTTTGTCCAATGACTTCTGCACTGCCATTGGTGTGACCCAACACTAGCTGGTAGCACTAGCTTCTGGAAGGTTCCAGGAGGCGCCGTGAAGTGCCAGCGACATGTTTCAGAATGGTACGGCCAGAGCAAGCACTCATTGTATAGGATGATGCAAATAAAGTGCACAGCATGCAGCCGACTAGCAAAGGAACCTGAGGATTTGCAGAAAGAATGCTAATTACACTAACTTGGGTAGACATCGGAAGTTTGGAGTGTTTCAAGACAGCTCCGTTGTTACCCCTGCTGACAGGCTTTGCGCAAAGAAATGGACAGACGTGCTGGAGAAAGACATGTTTCACTGAATCAGCACCCCGTGCTGCTATCTGCTAGATTTGCACACCCGTGCAGCCCTGTCCAACTTGAAAGCACTTGAGCCTTTACTGATCTTTACTGTAAACCTTGTAGCTTTGCAATATGCTACCAGCCAGCTGCTGACAAAATCGTCATTTCACAAGAGTCTGCTGCTTGACATAGGATTCTCCTGGACCTTATCTGATGCGGATTGCCACATCGAAGTTGCATCTGCCAACAGGGCATGCCAAACCTTGGGAACGCGAGATGATAAAGGCTAGCTTTGGCTGGTCATCAACCTGGAAACTGTCTCAGGACGCACAGAACTCCGCTATGCCCGCTATGCAAAATTAGGTCCGGACCCACCTCCGCAGAAACCAATTCTCAGGGTCCTGCCGCGAAGACGGTGCATCAGCAATGGAAATTTGCAAAGGGGAAGGCATGTCTTTGAAAGCTGAGAAAGCACATAGATGAAGAGAACTAAATGACTACCTGGCCGGCCGCGCTCAAAAAGTCAGCAACACAAAAAAAAAATGCGAAACCGCCGCCCTCCCGGAATCTTTTCCGACTGATGCTGTTGCGGGCAGTTCTTGGAGACAAATGCATTGCCATGCATTGCCAAGTTTTTCAGCTAGATATGCCAGCCTGGATCTTTGCCATACTCAGCAACTGGCCCTATTTTTCGGTCGCTGCTGCTATCTCACTCATGCTTTGCATGAGTTGCCCCACGCGTGAGTAGAAGCCATCACTTCGTCTGGCCGCTGGAAGTTCCCCCAGCTCCTCCAAGATTGTGATCAGACCTTCGCTGTACATAAGCTCGCAATTGGCAAAGAGCCCTGAGAGCATATTGAGGAGCAACAGTGATTGGTAGATACACTCTGTGGGCTTTTCGATATCTTTGTCGGCCAAACCTTCAAGTAGGTGCGGAATTGCATGCGAACCAATGTGATGTTTCTGATCGTTCCGGCTGGCACACAGCTGCTTTAGTGCGAACATGCACTTGCTTGACAAAGCTGAGCCAAACTGAACCAGTGAAAAAATGTACAGGAGGCACTTCACTGTATGCGGGTACATGTCCTTGGCTGCTCGCAAAATGACGGAAAAACATGTTGAGACATGTTCAGACTGCAATCCCTTCTACCAAGCTCTCCTTGTTGCACTGCAGTTTTGACTATCTATCCTAACCCCTATCCAGCCCCAACGCAAAGAAACTAAATATATATATGTGTAATATATATATACATATATATATGTGTGTGTGTACGTATGTATGTACGTGCGTACGTATGTATGTACATACGTATGTAAGCACGTGTGTGTCTGTATGTATGTATCTATGTATGTGTGTAATGTAATGTAATGTAATGTAATGTAATCTTATGTTATGTTGTAATGTTATGTAATGTTATGTAATGGTGTGTAATGTTATGTAATGTTATGTAATGGTATGTAATGTTATGTAATGTTGTGTAATGTAATGTTGTGTAATGATATGTAATGTTATGTAATGTTATGTATGTATATGTATGTATATGTATGTATATGTATGTATATGTATGTATATGTATGTATATGTATGTATATGTATGTATATGTATGTATATGTATGGATATGTATGGATGTATGTATGGATGTATATGTATGTATATGTATGTATATGTATGTATATGTATGTATATGTATGGATGTATGTATGGATGTATGTATGGATGTATGTATGGATATGTATGTATGGATGTATGTATGGATATGTATGGATATGTATGTATGGATGTATGTATGGATATGTATGGACATGTATGGATATGTATGGATGTATGTATGGATGTATGTATGGATGTATGTATGGATGTATGTATGGATGTATGTATGGATGTATGTATGTATGGATGTATGTATGGATGTATGTATGGATGTATGTATGTATGTATGTATGTATGTACGTGTGTGTGTGTGTGTGTGTTAGTATTATTCGTTTATTTGATTGTTATTTTTTCTGTGTTTGTTTATCTGTTTATGGTTATATGTATATGTGTATAGATATTCTCCTCAACAAATCAAAGACAAGTGACAATGAACTGCTCTCGAAAGCGGTCATCATTGCAGAATTGCCCAATCACGATACAGGTCTGTGTCAGGAGCCTTTCCTTGGCAATGCTGCCCAACGCAGCGCCCTGTGAGCCTTGACGTTTTTTCGCTGGTCGTACTTGGGAGTATGAAGATGTCAGAATGTCATAGAGCAATGGGATTAAACCTGCGCTGGCAATAACACTGCGATTGTGCGGTTCCTTTGTGAGGTTCACCAGCAGCATAAGGGTGTAGTAGCTCAGGTCATCATCCTTTCCCTGCATATTTCGCACAGCTGTCTTTGCCATGCCTTCTGCCATTAGGACCATCTTAACAGCCTGATTCCCGCTGCTCAGGTTCACCAATGCAGCTGATGCATAGATTGCAAGGAAAACTCCTCCGGATTTCAAAAGGGACAGCATGGCAGGAACGACAATCAGATCAGCCGAAGTGTCTCCGTTGGACTTTGTCTCTGGATGCGCCCTCATCTCCATAAAGATCCTGCAAATGTAAGCTTTCAGAGTCACGCCACAGTCAGCCTCCAAAAGGTTGGCAAGGCACCGAAAGAAGTCAGCATCTCGTCCTTTGCCAATCTGCTTCTTCAGGAAGTCAGTGCTGAGAATTGCCAACATTACTCGGTCATTAAACATCCATTGGCTCAAGTTTTTGTCCTTCATTTGCATTGCAAGACTCACCTCAAGAAAGGGCTTTGTCATATCTCGTGGTCGCAAATGCAAAAGGAACTGAAAGGCGGCATATGCTTTCTTGTAGCTCTCTTCAGTGAGTGCTGGCAGTCCTGCAATAGTAGTAATTTGGTTCCACGTGTTCAGCACAGCTAGCCCATCAGTGAATGGGCAAGTCACAGCAGGTACTTCCGGAGAGACTTCTACAGGAGGACCAGCTCTCAGTTTAATCAGAAATATTATCAAGGAATTGGGGAATCACCTCAATTACCACTTCCTACAAGATCTACAAGTAGCAAATGGATGCAAATGTAAAAAGGTGAGGACTTTCCGTCTTTGTCAGCTCACATGTGCCCTCCATGCCGGATCTTCCTTTGTGGGCCTTTATGATCCTTACTAATCAACCTTACTAATGATCAATACTCGGAATCCTTCATGTCTGAGAATTCCAGAGACTGAAAGAGTTGGAACTTGAGCACACTTCTACTTCTACAGCTCAACCATGCTCAACCCCGAAGCCAGGTCCTTCGATCATCATTTCCAAATTAAATCTGGCTCCCAGAAGTCCACCATCTACAGCCCAGGAAAAGTAACGAGCCACTCGAGTATGCCAGTGGTGTTGGATTCGCAGCTTGGCATCCTCATCCAATGCATCGGCCTGCGTACCACTCAATGGAAGGCCTTCTCCACGGCTGAGCATCTCCTGGAAGAACGTCTGGAAGTTGTCAATGCAATCCAAGCGTGCCCATTCGGCATCCTCATCTGCATCAACAAATATTTCTTGAGGAGACAAATCCAGGACGCTGGCATCATAGCCCTCCACTTTGTCTTCGCAGAAGAGCTTCCAGATGCTTTTCACAAACCGCACGGCCTCAACTTCCCAACATGTTTTGAGCTTGAGATGAGTCGCAGCCCACTCAATGCCATCTTCATCAAATCTGAGTGCATCCAACTTTGCCTGGACCACGTCCCGGTAGACAGACACATTTGGAGAGTCAGTACAAAGGGAATCTGCAATCAGGTAGGCTTCCAAGAGAAGACGAGTGTCACTGTGACTCCACTCTTGCTCAGGGCATCGTAAGAGCACGGCGATGTCTTGTGCGGTGCTACATGTGGGGGGGATGTACTGCCGCCGCATCACCAAGCACAAAATGGTTGCCTCTTTGGTTCGGATGACCAGTTCCCACTGATGCCACTGAGCTATGTCTGCTGACAGGTTCATTCGTTTGTCTCGCATGCAGTTCTTTATCACATAAAACTGCCCTTCCTCAGAGCAAAGCTGTATCTTATAGTCTGCAGCTACCCAGCGTATGTTGTCCCTGTAGATCTTTGTCAGCTGTTCCAGGCTAAAGGCTTCATGCACATGGACAATCAGACTTACACCTTTGTCATCAACATATTCCCCAGTCTCTGAATCCTGAATTGAGTTGGCCTGATCCGAAAAGCGATCCGGCACCATAAAACGGTAGCCTTGGAACTTTGTCCAATGGTACCCCTGATATGGTAAAACGTAGTTATCGAAACCTCGCTCTTTGGTGATGGGATAGCTGCTCAAGGGGAAGACCACAACTCGACCAAGCCGCCACATATGATCGGTCTGCCAGCTGCAGCGCAAGTGTTGCAAGAAAAGATTTCTGTTCTCAGCCTTTATGAACAGCCGATCTGATTCCCAGCTCGGAAGTTCCTCTGTGAGATTGAGCAAGCAGTGCTGATCTGAGTTTTCATCCTGAATGATTCGGCCAATCAGGCTGTAGTACAGATCTGCATCATCGTGCAGCGGGCCGTTGAGATCTTGCCGCATGAAATATAAAGAATGTTTTCCCACGCAAGCGAAGCACTTCCGTTTCAGGTCTCCACAGGTCAGTTGAACAAGCTCGAAATAACGACAATCTCCACCAGTTTTCATGCCTATGGCAGCCAAGACCTGCCTGTCGCTTGCCATGGCTGGTCTCTGAGTCAACACACATGTACTGAGGCGCTCCTATGGCACGAAGGTTAAAGGAAAAGATAGGAAAAGCATGTTACAGAATGCTACAAATCACTTTCTTCACTGGCATGTTTAAGTCACAATATTGCCATTTGATGCTCTTGTCTGACATATGTTCTAGCAGCGTCAGTGAAGTCTTTGGGTGAGTGATGCTCTATCAAGAACCAAGAAGACATCTCAGAATTACTGCCTCCATCTGCCTCCTGTGACATTTCCTACATACAGAATGATAGGCCAGCGGGAGTCAGCGGGGACTTCCCGGAAAGATGCGCAAAATGACCTCAAGTTCTTTCGGGATGGGAATTTTCTCCCTGCAGCACTTTGGCTGCTTCTGCCCAAACAACTTTGGCTTGAACTCTGAAAGGGCAAGTGAGGAGCAGCGACTACTTAGAAACATTTCGAAACGACGGGCCCTTCTTCACAAAGCCATCATCAAAGCGCGAAGCGATGCTTTCAATGACAAGAGGAACGTCCTGACTTCTTGAAGGCCTCAAACATCAGCTGTCTCGGGTTCTCTGGTATTCTTGGGTCACACGGGCTCATGAGTGACTATATTGTCTATAGATGTCTATAGTATATAGGGCCTTGGGCCTAGGCGGCCTAGGGATTATGATCTGCTATCTTTGAGTAAGCGGACGTCTTACTTTGCCCTATGATCTCAGAAATGTCAAATTGCGCTCAGTCCTGGCACACACACACACACATTCATTTGAGCTGCAGCCGGGTAGCTCTGCAGACAGCAAAGCTGCACATCCCCAGAGGCCACGCGGGCCAAAGACCTTACAAACACCCATCAGGGCACAACAGGATGAAACAGAACCGTGATTAGGTTTGACAGATTTTGACAGTTTGGAAATCATAATTTGAAAATTGTTCGAAGGTTTCTCCTGTCCCTCATTCTCTGTGTGGCTCTTGCTTTTTGCATCTTTTTGCCAGTTCCTTGGCTAGGGCAGCTGCCATCGAGTTCACTCCCCACCATGCCGACCAAAGAGCGAGCTGGCACTGAGAGATCTGCCAGGGTTTGAATCTGCTTCCAGCTGTTTTTTCTGGGATCACTTACATGGCCAGTGTGCAGTGCATCGATGCAAACTCGAAACCACACCTCTGCATCGGGCTTCTGAGGCACTGAGGTTCCATGCGTGCACCTGGAATTCATGCTCCAGAATATGAGTCAAAGAACCGCCAGCGTACAAATATGTGAATTGTGTGAATACGGGTTGCAACTGCATCGATGATTACATCGCCTTCTTGAAGTGCCAAACTGATACATGTCCTGTTGACAAAATATTTAACATACACACAAGCATGAAACGCCTCGAGCAAGGATTGGGGTCGCCCTCTCCAATGGTGGAGGCGTTCCAGGACTCCATGCGGCCTCTGCAAATCAGCCAGAAGTATTGCACAGCACATCTTGAAAGCAAAGCCTCAAAGCCCTGGCCTGCAGCAGTTTCGACACCTTCAGCCTTTCATGGAGAAGACATCAAACAAGTTATAGAAACAAATCAGCGACTGAATGGGTTGCATGTCAGGGCGACAATCAATTGATTCAATATGATTCAATGAGTGTTTGAATATGGCATAATATGGCTGAAACATGCTGAAACGAAGTGTCCAAACTTGCTCGATTTTCGTCGACCGTTCCTGAAACTGAACGGCTTCCTCCAGGCTCCGGCGGTGGTCCTGGCGCCAAATTCGTACCAGGCAACTGGGAAGAAGTCTCTAAGGCGTCTGAGGGGAAGGCGCGGATCTCTGTTTTGAAATAGACATAAGGACATGCCCGACATGCCCGACATGCCCGACATGCCCTCAGCAAGATCAGCAATGGACATGTCTAAGCTCCTGGATGTCAGCTATGTCCGGAGGCGCGGCTCCCACAGTCTTGGGCACAGGCCTGCCGAAATGTCCTTGAGTCGCTCGGAGCTTAGTTGGGACAATAGCAAACTGTCTGCCCAGAGTTCTAACTTCGAATGCTGAGAGATCGGCCATCTTTTGGCCTGAGCGCTATGCGTGACCTGGACTCTCAGGTTCTACCGCAAAGTATAACATGGCCATACAAGTATGGCATAAATGTGGCAAATTGCGGCACGTTGTCGAACAAATGCATTTATCACATTTATCTATAAGAACCTGGGTGCAGCGCCCACATTCAAAGCACTGAACAAGCATGCAATCGTTAGCCTTTTTAGATGCTTTGCAGTTTCTGCACGCGTCAGCGATGCAGCTTTCCAAAGAGCACCCGCTGCCAAATTGGACCTCCGACGTCGAAAACATGCGAACGTCACTCTAAGTCTCTAAGTGTAATTGAAGTGTGCTGGTGGATGTGGCACAACCCAAAACATTCAAAAGGCACGGTCGTTTGTTCCTAACGGTCAAAGGATCACTTAGGGCGACTTTTTCACTCACTTAGGACGACATTTTGAGATGAGGACTTCAACCTTCAGGTTAACTCCATTGGATACTTTAGGGTTACTTTTTTTAGGGGGACAGGGGGCTGGGGACAGGGGACCAGGGACGGGGGACAGTGGGAACAAGTAGAGGTAAGAGACACGACATCGAACACATTGGACTCCATTGGACACACACCTTTAGGATTTATTTTTTTAGGGGAGGACAGGGGACCGGGCACTGGGGACCGGGAAAAGGATACAACATTTTATGATCCTCTCCTGTCAACACTCTGGGGCTAGGGGGGCCAAGACTTAGATGCATTGGAGAAAGAATAAACAGGACCTTTGCCAACAAACTTCGAGACGAACCTCGGATAAGCCTGCCTGCGCAGGGATTACCAAAAAAAAATGTTGCGACACACACACACACACAAACATGCACGGTGCAGCAGCAACCTGATGATCATCTCTAATACACATGTACAAGCCTCTTGAAATCATGTTCAAATACATCGATATATCTTTCTATTGAGACTGTAGCCATATATATAAATATGTATATATATATATATTAGTCCTAAGCGAGTAAAAACGTAGGCCTGAGCGAGGCACTGACCGATGCTAACAGGCTATGTGGAGAGGAGGGAGGGAAATGGCAAGCTCAGGAATGCAGGAAAATCAATATCAATCTGTTACAGTACAGTATAATTAATCCCTTCAAAGCATAGAGAGCACCTTGATAAACAAGTGAACTCATCGACAAGAGATCACAAGGTAGGCGTAACATCGATTCAGGAATTTCTGCTCTCGTGGGGCCTGACCATTCACTGCGGTGATGCCCAGACCGAACATGGGATTGTCTCGCGGATGCCTGCCGAACTGCCAGCCAAAAAAACTGTGAGCATTATCGTTGTTGCACATCAATGCATACGTAGAAAGGATTAGAAAGGGATGAGTCTGGGATGAGCAAATGCTTCCTAGCACCTGCTTAAAAAGAAGTTTCATGCGTGCAACATGTTTGCATCATGTTAGACCCTCGGCCGAGAAGGTGTCTGTGTGCGCGATTGCGGTGTGCGATGCGTCTTGCATCTGACCCATCTGTGAATACCCTGCGAACCTGCCAGAGGTGTCTCCTCTCATGGGTTTGGACCCTGATCCTTGGTCTAATACTACAGGAGACGGCCAACGGATTGAAAACTACATAAAACATCATCGAGAAACTATTGCTAAGCTATCGAGTGGCATCAAATGAATCGGACAGTAGAAGATCTGATGAAGTCCAACTGCTACCACCTAATTCAGCCTGCTTCTTGAAGCTTCTTTCCAGTCTTTTGATGTTGTCATAATGTTGTCTCTATTTGTTTCTAATATTTTCTAATATGGTTCTAATGCTTTTGTTCTTCTCAAGGCACTGGGGGGACCTTTAGATCCTTTAGCCAGGTTTCTCAACTGGGATCTTCAGCGGCTCTCGCTGGCCAACTTTGGTCGCGGCCGTGATGGTCTTGGAGACAGGTGTGGGCCATGAAAATCCGTGGCGCGATGACCCCAAAATATCTCAATATGACATCATAGTTGTCAGAATTTAGAAGTATGGATTGGAATCACTACAGTATGTATCTTGGCTGTGTGTCACTTAGAAGAATGGATTCATTGGGTCGCACTCGCACATGTGCCAGCAAGCGGCTGCAACATTGAAGGCTGACATGAATGCACTGGCACTCTCCTCTTGCTCCTCCAATTGCGAAGATCATTCAAGTGACAGACTTTGCACCATATCTCAGCCTTCTTGGTGCCATCTCGATCATCTCAATCAAACTAACACAAGAGCAACAACGTGTGACATGATTGACTAAACATACTAAAGCTGGAGGTCCCGTTTCGCCGCGCCTCTCGCTCTTGACAGGGACAAATGCGCCTAGCCACTGTAGATGGAAACTGACCCATCCCGCCGCTGCACCGCGTGCTACTGCCTCCTCGTCAGCAAAATTTGGCGCCAGCAGCAGTGGCATGCTGAAAATGGAATTCACGAAAAAATCGCGAAAAGAAACTTCCACCGGCGCCGAGAGCACTCAGACTCAGCTGAACTAAATGAAAACTGATGGGAAGGCAGCTCTGGCACAGCAGCAGACTTCACACCTCCTTGCCAAAAGCAAACCTTGGAGGTACCATGAGGCAACACGAGACAACTAATTCGTGAATCCAAGCTACACACAGGCACACAGGAAACTACAAGGAGAGCTATAATAGAGCTCTCTCTCTGCCTACATATGTACATATATGAGCTCCCGTCAAAATCCTTTGCTTCTGAGTAGTTGCTATTGTTATGGTTATCGCTTTTGGGGGGCCCTATCGCTTTCCAGGGTTTTGTGGAAATCAGCATATTCGAGATCCAACATGAAGCCAAAATCCATTCCTAAACAGGTTCGGAAATGAATCGAGGAGTTGTTTTGTTGGTTCAGGTGCTTCGGCAACACTTCACTTCATGTTCCTTTCATTTTGCATTCATGTGCATGCATCTTCCTTCATTTTCCTTTCATTTGCATGCATCTTCCTTTCACTTTGCATTCATCTCTTTTCATGTTCCTTTCATGCTCCTGTCATGTTCCTTTCATTTGTATCTATTAATTTCCCTTCATTTTCCTTTCATATTCCTTTCATGTTCATTCCAATGTGCATTCATGTCCGTTCATCTTCATTTCATTTGCACGCATTTTCCTCTCATTTTGCATTCATGTCATTTCATTTCCTTTCTAAAGTTATGGAAATGGCTCTATGGCTTGGCCAGGGGACCGAGTGCAACAAATGGTTATCGCTAAGTTATCGCTAAGGTTATCACTAAATAACCCCTCCAACATATGACATTGTTCGAAGGAAATTTGCCACAAAAACGAGAGAGAGAGAGAGAGCGCGAGAGAGAGAGAGAGAAAGAGAGAAAGAGAGCGAGCGAGTTGGATGCCAAATGATATGGGAACTGCAGGAAACAGGGCACCACAGGTTCGGTTTTGCCCGTTCTGTGAATGTGGACAACCGTATTTGTTTGGTTTGCGCCAAGTTTCATGAACTGTCGTGTATGGTCCCAGGTTATCGCTTTTGGGGGGTCCCTATCGCTTTACAGTGTTTCGTGCACATCTCTGACAAAAAAAACTCCCGCAATACTAAAGTGGTCTTCAACCATTACTGTGACCCATATGTATGAATTATGTATGTATATTTATATATACATGTATATACCGTTTGACTATGTTCAACTTCGGATTTCAGCTTGAAGTCATAGAAGAAAAGATCACCAAGAGATTAAAAATGGTTAGGGTGGCGGGTGGAGGAAGCTTTGGGAAACATCCAAGTGGACAGTTGGGTCAAGGTAGCACCTTGTGACCATTGGTGCTGCCATGTGCTGCCAAGATTCTCCCGGTGCTGGCCCATCATCTGTGCAGATGGACGGATTGTGTATCCAGCCACCAGGAGCAGATGCTAAACAAAGAAGCCCTGCCAACGTGCACGACGTGCCGCAACATCTCCCGACTTTCAGCGTGACCGCAACGAAGCAAAGATATGCAAAGATCATCAACGACCTGTAGAAAGGATCAAAAGGGCTGATCCAAACAACGCTGAAACTGCCATAGTCGTTTCGCCCTTTCAAAGCCTGACCTTCTGCAGAGCTGGCCACGGAGTCCCATTCCTGAGCTGTGTTTGGCCAAGCGCCCTCCACACACCTGAGCACACGGAGAATCGAAATATTGTGCCTGCCACGCCTGCTCAGTTGGCAACATCCTTGGAGCCCGCACTCGGAGTCGATGGTGGCACACACAGTGCTACAATCTGCATCCACCGCTCCAACCACCTTGGACTTTTAAAGTATGGATTAAGCCTTAGATGCCTTAGCAAAAGCTGAGAGATAGCCATATGGGCCATAAGAATCCATAAGATGAAATAAGATGAAATAAGTACGGGTACTGAAATTCCTGAAGCAGCCTGCTCGTTGTCGCTGCCCTACCAAGACCAAAGCTGCCTTGAAAGACCAAAAATTTTGGGGAAAAAAAACGCCCGAAATGCATCAGCTCTGGAAGCTTGAAACAAGAGGCCCACTTCACTGCAGACTCCTCAGCAGCTTCACTGAGCGAACAGAGCATCACGAAGGCAATGGCTTTCTGCACGCAACCCAGCACCATGACAGACTGATGCGTGGAAAATCGAATGAAAAATCGACAGGGTGTCGGTCTTCTTGGACTTGCTGCACGCTGCATGTAAATGCCGTAGTGTGTGCTCTTTCTTGCTTTGGTTCTGAGATGTCCAACCTTCTGCTGGCTGCATAGTTATGCTTGTGCCAGAGTTCCAAGGATCTTATAACAACCTTCATATGCTATATGCTGCTTGTCCCGCAGCCCACCAGAATGTGTATCCAAACTTTGCTTCAGATTTCTTTTTGGCTAGGCTAGGCAGACGAGATGATGTCATGCACGGCCACTGCCAGATTGGAAGATCTACTACTGTCTGTGTTGGTTTTTGCCGAACTGATGACATCTGATGACCCATCTGACTGCATGAGTTTCCATGTTTTTTCTGTCTTCCTGTTTGAGCTGTCAATCAATCAGGCCCAGGAACAAAAAACAGAAAAAACACAAACAAGTACAAGGAAGTCATGGTCTGCGACCATAATAGGACGCAATTCCGGTGAATTTTCATGGAGGCAAATGCTTCGTGTCCTTCTGTGCGAAATCTTAGGGGCGTACTCTTGAGCGGGCACCCCGTTTTGAAGCCTCAGACACATTACACTTCCCTTTGCACCCACAACGCCTCCGGGAACATCCCAGCACACTAGGGAAGAAAAAAAACATGTTGCAGCCTCAGCGGACACCGATTTTGGCCGACAAATACTGAGCCCAGGCAGGACATTGAAATCTACGCAAGATATCCAAAGATAACAAGCGTCCTAATGGATGCTCTCTGTAATCCATGGCAATGCGGCTATTAGAAAGCTAATTATATTCTTGAAAATGCCTGTCAACTAGCAAGGAGTTTCAATTCAATGCACTCGTCAAAGGAGATGTGTCAATTTTGACTGACACCTGTATTACTGCACTGTACAGTCAAGGGCATGGCTTGCCACGTGCCACTGTCAGGGTCGAATCGGTGCATGGTTGCACCTTTAGCAGGCCCAGCCTCAGTTTCAGCTGAGTCCCGACTCAATATGTACAAGTACCCTTGGCATGCTGTGAGTGCTACACAACCCCGGCACCCTCCGAGGTCAAGAGTAGGAATCTCAGTCCAAAAGCCATCCTGATAGCACTCTATCATTGCTGTCTTTGCACCTCCGTATGCAAAAAGCCTGGAGTTGACAGATTTTAGAGCAAAGTTGGCAAATGGCGCAGCTTGCGCCGGTGCCATCGATCTCTCTTGCAACATGGAAGGCATTTGCGTCCAGCGCCGCTCCGAAGGCTGGAAGCTCTCCACAGTCGCAAGCTGTCCCTCTCCTCCTGACTTGTCTGGAGATATACCGCCACAGACAAAAAGACGGCCTTGGAATGTAGTACAAGCATGGTTATATCTTCGAGTCAGCATACGGGGCAGTGGGGTCCATGATCCTGTGGTGGGGTCATAACACTCCACAGTGCCATGCACACTTTCCTCTCCGCAACTCTCCTGAGCAAATTCATCGTTCAAGCCACCGCACACATAGAGCTTTCCGCGCAAAACGGTTGCAGAATGGCCTTCCCTTTTTTTCACCATTGCGGGCAAGGGTTCCCATCTACCTGCTGTCTTGTAGAATGCAAGTGCCGCGTTGGTCATGCGTCGCCAAGTGCCCCCAAACCCACCACCACATTTGAAAAGAGTGTCCCGATGTTGTGTCTGTGCAGAATGGCACAGCGTGAAATCTCTGGCAATTGAGCGATCAATCACGGGAGCAAGTTTCAATTTCAGCAGTCCTGGGATGGGATGCCACTCCAGCATTTCTCTGTGTGACCAAGTCACATAGATCCCCGGAAGCATGTGAGGGTTTGATTTCAACCCAACAGCCAGGATCTTGCAAGTATGAAAGAGCTCAAGGGCAAGAGACTGACCACCAAAAGCCAAACAGTTTGTGAGAATGTTCTCCGACTGCATAGCTTTTTGAAAGCTTGCAGTGCTTTTTGGGCATGGATACATCTGGAGCATTGCATCAAAACGGGCTTTGTGTAACTCAGTCTGGAAATGACCCAAAGGAATTTGACCTGACTCATGAAGACACTTGCACAGAGTTGTTAGCGTAACTTGCATTTCGAACAGGTCGATGGGCGAAGTCCCGCAGCCCCTTGAGCTTCCAGGGCTTTTGAAGACCTCCATGGCTTCAAGTTTCTACTCACACTTGACCAACCTATGCGGATCTAAACCATGCTGCGTTGATTCAAAGCTGTGGAGCAGCCTTAGTCTTAGTGCTTTGGCAGCGTTTTAGTGCCCCATCAACATGTGAAGCAAGCACCACAGCCACGAGAACCTGGCCTATCAGAAAAAGGCTTTGATTCTAAGATATTCCAAGCATTCCAAACAGTGCTTCCTGCGCCTGAGCCTTTGACGCCAACCGTCTTTCCAGTTGCTCCTGCGGCGGGGCCAGGAGACCACAACATTAGAATGACGCATTCCATTGTGCCGGCAAATTCACTGACATGTAGTGACCGTTGCAACAGGTTCTGCAAAGATTTGGACAATATGTTACAACATGCTACAACATATTCTATCTGCAGCTGTGACTGCCATGATCCCCTGGTGCAACCCCTGGTTTGGGCTCCTTCTCTTGAGCCCAGCGCCTTAGCTACACAGAGCCCAAATGATGCTCAGTTCGTGTCAGTTCCCTGTTTGGTCTGGGACGGCTACATACCCTACACCAGCGGCAGCAACTTTTAGCACCACAATGCCCCAGATATTCCCAGATACAGTATCCAGTATCCCCCACATACAGCTGAAATTCAGGTCCTTACTCTTTCTCTTCTGCATGTTGCTGTCGCAAAGCCTGAAGCAAAGGATGTCACTACTTTTTATATGTTCAGTGGTTTCATGTGCAGAAAATTCACACCGTACTGTAACCATCCTAGACTCCTAGACCATCCTTTCAGTCGGCCTTCTCTCGCCGAACCAGTTCCTACTAGCAGGTGCCAGGATAGCGATGGTAAAATTGGATATGCATATCATTTCACCAAGGGGTGACTCCGGATGACTCCGGATGACTGAGATAGAGATATGGCGGCATTATGTGGCAATTCAAGGCAATGCAAGTCCTGGATTTTCTTCTGGAGCTTCTCGTGGTTGTCGCGTTCCAAGTCCACCGCGCCCTGCACCCGAGGCTCAGGGAGGCACAACGAAAGTGTCAGGCTCTCAAACCTCCTATTTCAAGGACACCCTGAGGCTCTGAGGTTGAAGCTTTCAAAGCTCTTGCTTCTTTCCTCCAGGTCACAGCCTGTGGAGAGTTGTGGCTACGCAGCAGGGAAAAATTGTAGGGTTGGAATCAACGGTTGGAAGCTGTTGATAGAGCACGACAAGCATCAAATTTCACCAGATTTCCCTGCCTTGCGGAACTCATCCTTTCAAACCACAACAAACAATGTGCTGGGAAGAGCACCCAGTTAGTAACAAGTTTACTGCAAGTAAAGGCAAGCAGTGCGCCAAAGCAGTGTGCCAAAGCAGTGTGCCAAAGCAGTGTGCCAAAGCAGTGTGCCAAAGCAGTGCATCAGTGTGCCAAGGAGTGCCCGGGGCAGATCAAGTTTTCCAATAAGCTGCAAATTGAGAAGTGAGATAGTCCTGAGCCTTCTGGAACAGTTCTTCCAGACCTTGCAACTTGATCATCCAGGTACAAAATGACCGAGGGATTCCGCAAAATCTTTTGATAGCCACCAAACGCCCACTGAGATCTGCTCGCTTTTTCTGAAGATTTGCCTCAAGCGAAATCAGCAAAATCGTCCTTCGGACTTTTCTGCATGTTCCATTCTTCTCCAACTCAGGAGCATGAGATCTGTTCCAAATTCAAAATGCGCCCAACATATGGGGAAAATGTATCCGGGTTGAAATATCCGGGGAGCCCCCGTGCCCCCTCATTTTATTAGTACAAACCTCGGGCCTTACCCTGGTTTGCTACAAAATGAACAACCACCATCAAAAACACCCAACTACAAAATGAAAACCCAGGGTCCAGGGGCATCAACATAGGTTTGCTACAAAATGTCATGCCCAAGGACTTTATTTCTAACTTCAACATCCAACATGTTACTTCTTGCTTTGTTGCAGGTCATTTTGTAGCTATTACATCCTTCTACAGATCCAGTGGAGGGATTTCATTTTGTAGCCACATGAGGGCCGCTCCCACATGTTCTTCTTCTTGATTGCCAACCAAAAAACTACAAAATGTTTTCCGGGTCAATTAGCAAGTTGCTACAAAATGGTTTGGGTTTTTTATGTTATCATGTGTTATCCAAACAAGAGCAGCTACAAAATGGATTCACGGCCTCACCATATAAGCCCACACACAGCCTTAAAAAAACTACTTTGCTACAAAATGGTGGCCCTGGGTGCATTTTTAAAACCCTGTTTCACTGATAAAATGCATTAGGTTGTTAGCCCAGGGCCCTTCAATCTGTAGCTGAAATTTTAACGCGGATGAAAATGTGGCAAATATCAAATCCGCCCGCACCGAAGGTGCTGGGGCGTGATCTTCCGGATGGCACTCGTAAAAGGTTACAGGTTTACCTGGCGGGGGGGGGGGGCATTTTTCGGCCAAAACCTCCTGTTTTTGATAGGTCGTGACGCTCGCCTTCAAAAAACACTGTAAAAAACAGTACGGAAGACACCTGTTCGTGAACGCGCCCGTCCAAAATCGGCAAGCGAAAAGTGAAAAAAAACCGTGTTTTTCAACTTTTTGACCTCAATTTTTTGGTTTGCAACATCTTTTTTTGCGGTTCCGCAGGTGGCCGGGCCCGGAGGCGGATTTTTGAGTTTTTGGACCCGTTTTCGGACTGATTTTCGTCGTTTTGTGATAGCAGAAACACTGGTTTTTACAGTGTTTTTCTGTTTTCTGCATGCTTGACGGCTAGCTTCAAAACTTCCAAAAACCTCGTAAATTACGCTGTTTTATGTTACGGTGTGAATGAAAACATCGTAAATACCAGTGTTTTTTGACGTTGGTTAAAAAAACACTGTAAATTACAGTGTTTTTGGCCACCTGACCCTCAAAAACCATGGTATTTGCAGTGGTTTCTGCTTCTCACCGCGCAAAAACACTGTAAATAACAGCAATTTCGCCGTTTTTTCATGTTTTTCGTTATTTTTTGAATTGCGTTGGTCCGCTATACATGGCTATCAAATTCTTCGCGTTTTTTTTCCGACAATCAGTACTTTCGGATGTTTTTGGTCTCAATGGCCGACATCATTGGCAGTTACGAGCGGCTGCCCAACGATGCGGTGCGGGCGGTTGCCGTCGCGAAGCGACGTGAATATCCACATAAACATAGCATGCAGCATGCTGCAGCATGCCTCCTTCCGAAGCTCCTGCTTAGAGATTCGGAGCAGGTCCTCCTTAGAGCGCGGGGCTTTAGCGGCAATCATTCAGATTCAAAATATCTGTGCCAATTTATTCACTTGTCAAATTGCATGCATTGATTGCAATTACATGTAATTACTAGGAGTCGTCAATGTGGCCCTGATTTCTGATTGGTTCTGACTGCAACCGCCTGCACTCAGGCACTTGCCACATCTGCACGAAGGCGCGCCTTGAAACAAATTGACTCTGCAGACTGGGCGTTACGCAGGGTCCACAAGCCATCACAAGCCCTCTGCAAGCCTTGGCAGCTCCAACCTTGGCTTGGATGCAGCCGTTGTTCCACTGTGGCTTGTGGTTTGCAGCTGCCAGGGTAAGGCTGGGTAATAAGTCACAGAAAGGTTCCGACAACTTGCGCCACCATGCACTCACTTCTCTGCCTAGGTTTGCAGGAATGAATCGTGACAAAACTCTGAGGTGAGTGTCAGGAAAAACAACTTGCCTCAACATGCACTGCTAGGTAAATAGGCAGGACATGGTACTGCTAATGACTAATGCCTTGTCTCATTTGCATGAGGTGCTGACAGCTCTTTCTCTTTGCCCAAGATTCTATCACTTTTGGCCTTGGCAGCAGAAGCTTTGATGCCTCTACACATTTCATTTGCAACATCCTCCAGCAATCAGCCTCCCATCTCTGAGGCAGCAGCTTTGACCAATTGGTAGATCGTGGCCTTGATATTTGTGGTGCGGCTGCTGAATGGGACGTCCATGCGCTACCAGTTGTTCTTCAAACAGCAACTTCTGCTTTCTGCAGCTCCCTACTAGCTCGCTTGCGACGAGGGAGTCAGCAGCTTCACCCCATGCCTCGAGAAACTTAGAAAGTGATGTCAACGTAGTGCGAGCATGTGCAAGCATCTTATGCAGTTGCCACTGGACCCTTCTTGAGTTCAGGTGACGAATATTGACGAATCATCATAATCATCCTCCAACACTGCAGCTATCTGCAGCTATCTGCAGCTTGCGATGAAGCGCAGTCTTTTCACACCAGCAACATTCAAATCTGACATCTGGTTTGACACCTACAGGATCCTACAGGTCACTACGCTATATGCTACACTGTAACCGTGATCTGAGATTGCCAGGAAGATGGTGCCAAGTAAGCTGCGGCTGCTTCAACGCGGAGCGCTGTCGCGAGTATCTGTGATTGCGCCAGATCCCAATGCTTCGCCTGAATGGCCTCATAGATCCCTGGAAGTGTTTTGGCTGCATAGCCTGTGTAAAGCCCAGGCGCTTGCAAGCAGTGTCGGAACCACTTCCGTCCGGGCAAGCCCTCAGAGAGAAGAAATTGTCGTTCTACAAGACCGACTCGTTCATTGAGAGCTGTTACTTCTTCATGTGGGGCCTTCTGGCCCATCTGCCTCAAATGAGCAGCCTCAGCCATTGTCTTTGCTGCAGCCGCCTTAAAGGTGCTACTTGCTTCATCAAGACGCCGAAAGTCCAGTGAAGTGATGTTTTCCTTGATCTCAGCAATGTAGGCCTCGATCGCCTCTGCTTGGATACTCAGATTCATTGGCAAGGGTGCTTGTAAGGCATGAGTGCCAGCCAAGCGCAATGAGACCAGCCCCCAAAGCTGAGCCATGGCAACATGATAAGTGAAGTCTGGGTCTCCCTCTGTTGCCATCCACGTGAAGGAATCATAAACTGAATGATACACGCCATACTGTGCATCCCTGGGTGAGAACGCCATGTCCAGCGATGGGATGCCCAAATGATCGATGAAAATGGTATAATCCGAGCCTGAACCCAGAGAATACAACTTGCCACTCCAGTGCTCTGAGAGTGGCTTCTTGGATTCAGGATGTTGGACATGACCAAGGACGTCTCCGAGCAGCTGTGCTAGGGATGGCGTACCGGATGCTCGGAAGTGTGGTCCAGAAACTCCGGTATCCACATTGACGTAGGCCAAGGCCCGCCGCAAAATGCTCTCATGCACCTCACCCCATGCTGTAGAACCCAGGAGGCCATACTCTTCCCCACTCCAAGAGCATAGGTAAATTGTCCTGATGTAGGCTATCATTCCAACATGCCATGTCCTAGAGAAAGAACTGCTGCAAATTAGAAACACAAATTTACAAATATACCCTGGTGACTGCTCGCCGTGGTGAATATAGGAAGCTCCTACAGCCGCTGACTGCAAAAAACAAATCTTTAGATTGAAAGAAGACGAATGTGACCATGTATTTCAACATTATGTATCATTATGTTACAATCATTATGTTACAATCATCCCGTCAAATATACATTTAATATATATATATATATAATCTATATATTATGTGTGTGTTTTTGTCTGTGTATGTTGTATACATATAATATATATATAATTATATATATATATATATGGTCTGTTTGATCTGAATCCCTGTCCTCAGTGGCTTCCAACCAGTGCGCAGGAGCTGACCCAAACCCCTTGCAACTTCCAACAGTTGGGCTGTGCCGCTGTTTGGATCAGCAGCTCCATAGACCCAAGCATCTCTGTGATTCCCCAGAACAACTGGTTGGTCTAAATCAGCTGGCAAAGAACCAGGAATTGTACCAATGACATTCCAAACAGGCGATGATTGGAAACGGTTCTCGACCTTCACCCTCACCTTGTAGTGCCCTTTGGTTGGTCCAAACCTGTAGGTGATGTTGAGAGCCCCTCGAAAATTGTTGGGAGCTTCTTTGCCTCCCAGTGATTCCAGGAAGACCAATGCATCCCCGTAGGAGATTGGCAAGACAGGAATTTGAGGGATAAGTTCTTTGGAACTGAAGCCACATAGCTTCTCCACATCCATGCCATGAGGGCTGTATGCTCGAGTTGGATCTCCCGCACAAAGGGAAATGAACTGGATTGAACCACGTTGAACGCTGCTTTTTGGGCGCCATGGCCCATAAGGGTAAACGCTACCCTTGGCATAGCCATCCTCCTCCGGATCTGAGTAAATGATAGAAGCAAGAGCTCCTGCTTTCTGTGCATTCATGGCTTTGAGGCCTCGAAAGCATTCTCCATAGCGCATGAGAACAATACTGCCCTTGACCTCAACACCGGCTTCTTCCAATGCTGCAAAGTCTTCTGGCAGACCATAATTCGCATAGACGATTGGGGCAGTGACCTCTCCGGAAGGTGAGTATCCGTTGAAGGTGTGGTTCCTCCACCATGTGTGCGTTGTAGGGTCAGAATCCAAAGTATCCTCTGCAAGAGAGGCCTTTGCAACCATCTTGCCAGAGACATCCAAAAGTTCCAATGAACTGCTCACGGGGTAGGTCAAGAGAACCTTTTGAGGGTCTAGGACTGCAGCGATACCTACCTTTTCAAACGTCGTCTTCACATACTCTGCCATTTCCAGGTCTCCCGCAGTGCCAGCTACATGCGGCTTGCTGGTGATGAATTCCAGCGATGCCCGTGCAGAAGCATTGTTTGGAACTTTGAGGAATGCAGTCTCCTCTGGCGTCAGAGCCTTTCTTGGCGCTCTAAACAGCTCCGCGCTCAAACGATGATATGAGCCAGTATCATCCATCGTGCATCCGTAGCCTAGAAGTGGCCAAGGGCCAAAAAGAGGCCAAAGGAAGAGCTTGGCACATTGGCTCAGTCGGAAGTGGGCCATGGTGCAATTGTGAATTACGCCTGAGATTTATGAAGCTGGAACTGCCGCAACATATAAGAAACTCGGGAAATGCTTGGAGTGCTGCGCGAGTCCCACAGGGTTTATCCCCTACCAACAGCAAGATAAGGTTATCTTTAGTTCGCCAGAACATTGCAGTGAAAATGGGACAGAATGAAAAAGACTCTCCGCTTGTTTGTGAGCGCTTTTCTCCACTTGCTCGTGGACACTAGAGTTGGATGATTCGGAGATGTCTTCAGACTGCTATTGAACCACGTGATGAAAGTGAGGCGGGGGACTCTTGCCTTGGCTTGGGCAAGGGCCCAATCGATTCCAAGGGCAGAATCAGGCTGGTTTGTTGAACCAGGCTTTCCGCCAGAATTATTGAACCAACCAATTTAACAAACCAAATATACTCTGCAACACTGCGTAGGTTGAAATCGTATGCAGTGACTGCAGTTCTCAGAAGTAGCCGTCCGACGCTTTGCGCACAACTGGCCCTGCCCTGGCTTGGGCCTGTCCTTGGTGCCGAATGGAGATGAATGGAGTTACGGCTTACACACTTGGAGCATCCGTGAGCACAGATGAATGATGAACAGGGGATCATGTTCGGCTTCTGCTTCTGTTTCTTGTTCTTCCCCATCATCATCATCATCATCATCATCATTTTCTTCTTCATCTTCTTCTTCTTCTCCTTCATCATTGCTGTTGAGCAGCGATGGATCTCATTTTTGTACTGCACAAAGGCCTTTTTGAGAATCCCAGTTTCTCCTTGGCAGGACTTGATGTGCGGGCATCAGGCGAGTTGCCACATCTTGGCCGAGACACCTGTGTCCAAATTCCGCACCAAGAACCTTGTGACCACATTGGCATCGGAACGAAGCACTTCTTTCAGTGGCTGGAAACCTCCACGGCGTCTGAGGCATCTTGCAACCAAGCAACGGCAGAACGTTGCCTTCATTGCGGTCGTCTGCCGGACTCATGTCCGCATGCACAGCTGCCTGAACAGCGACCGTTTGCATCAATTGCAGGCGTCAACATTTGACTTGAGGCATCTTCCAACCAGCGCACTGCAGATTAGAAAAATGAAAATCTGCTGCCGCCAAGCATCTCCAGCACTTCCTGAACAAACGTAAGGTCATGCCGACAATAACGAAGGTACTACTCAAGGTTACAAGTTATAATAGTTTCAATGGTTATAAGTGTTATAATGGTTGCAATAGTTATAATAGTTGTAATTTATATTAGCAAGGTCTGAAGCCAACAAATTCGACGGTGGAGAACACTTTGCCTCGGCAAAAAGCTCGGGGAATGGGCACAGCTGGCTCCTCGCCTGCCAGAGAAGCTGACCGCAACCCACCACAAGTCAAATAAGTCAATGACAAGACTGATTCAAAAAGGATGCTCAAAGTGGACCAATTTGATTGTGCCTAGTTGTGCCTAGTCTTTCAGCATCCAAATTTGAGGTAGATTTATTACCTTACTACCGCAGGATACCATAATATGCAGAATTGGTGAATTTAGTTGCGTGCCGCCTCATAACGAAGAGGAAATAATGGAAATACCAACAAAAACCACTATAGATCCACATTAATTATCAACTACTGGTACAAAATTTGTGTCAACTACTTTTGGCAAATGGTCAATCCATCTGACAGGCATGGACAGAATCCAGAGAAGCCATTCATAGGCATTCATTGCCCCTCAGAGCGGCTGGAAAAAATCGCAACACACCGACCGCCTGCTTGTGGCACAGAGGTCGGAGGTGCGCGAGGGACGGCCTGCACTGCCCAGTGCACTTGTTGGGTGCTCAGGTCCTTGACAACCTCGACTTGGGCTTGCGGCACTGCACGCTGCACCGATTGATGTTCCCACTGTGGAAACAGCCGCCGTGAGACAAAGTACTTTTCCATACTTTGGCAAGACCTAGTTGAGCTGTGTTTAGCTACAGCTATGGCAGCTATGGTTCAAAATGTTTCGTTTCACCTTTGTTGCATTTGTTGCATTCTTCCTCACAAGGAGTGTTGGATTTGGAGGGTCCAAGCCACGGTCAGCTGAGCATCATCCTGGTGACGTGTGCTGGGCTCGGGCTTGGGATCAAATCATCACTGGCAGCGACCCTCCCTGCCTCCCAGTTGTAGGCCGCTTCAAGGGCAGACAACCTGCAGTAGTGGAGACCAATGGCGAATCTTCCATTCTGCAAAGCTCTGGCATCTGAGATACTGTCACACTTTTGGTGAGAAATGATGAGAAATGTATATTGCCAAAGGGTCGCATAGCTAATTATAAATGCATGTACAGATCTATTGCAATGTGTATTCATATGCATATATATATATATTGTGTGTGTGTGCGTGTTATATGTGTATTTCTATGTATATATATATATTTATTTATTTATTTATTTAATTATATTTAATTTATATATATATATATTATGATATATTATGTAATAGTATCCAAGTGGTAATGATAAGACATGATGAGCATTGGTAAGCCGTATGCATCCAAGATGCAGCCGATGCGACACTTTGAAGGACGAGGCCGTTCTGAGCAGCTTCTCGGGGTCGTATTTGCGAGTCCTGAGTCAAATCGGCCATAGCATGCACTGACACAAAATTGATGATACACGATTAATAGCGACTACAGTAATGAACTATAGAAAACCAACTGTTATAACCAAACTGTCACTTGGTTGGGTTAGGAAGAAATCTGCGTGAAACCGTGAAACGGTGGTTTTTGCCGGCAAATATTTATGAAAGTTTCCTGGGGAAAAAACTTTAACCGATTCTGGGAAATAGCTCAAATCTTGATGCACTATGAGTCAATGAAACTACATGAAACTACGATAGACTGACAGACTGCCAACAACTCCAGATACGGCCGGCACTTCCAGTCTTACTCGTTTGCAGATGGTCTTGGTCGGATGCGAGTCAAGTTTCTGGGCGAACTTTTTCAAGTAGCTCAGAGCAACACACCTGAAGGAGTCTTTCTGGTTTTTCAGAGAAACGCCATTTGCGTCGCTGCCCTACCAGCACACTGTGGCCGCACCTGGATTTTATGACATTCTGTGCATCTCAAGTCGAGGCACGTGTCTATTCGTTCCAGCTCATCCTGGATATCGCACAACAATGCCAAACCAATCTGCACGATGATCCTCCACCCAGCCACCAAAAATCCTGAAAGCATCTGCCACTGCGATCCACTGCGGATGTTGCACCACTCTCTTCACTACAAAGCCCCAAAAGGACACAGCACCATACAGCAACATACAGCACAACCCAATTACATATCCGATTTCCCATTGGTCAAGGCACTGTCCCAAATACGCCGCACAACCGGCTGAGGGAGGTCACTTGCATATAAGGATAGAAACCTTGCAGCAATCAGGAGCAAAAAGATTAATTAATAAAGACAATCTAGAATCCAGATTTAGATACATAATAAAGAAAAATAAAGATACGAAGAAGCATGAAGAAGCCAAGCAGAAGCCTCCCTTTCAAACAGGGACGACAAATGATGACAGCCTAATAAAACAAAGGCTCCTGCAGGAGCATGATTTCGGAAGGCCCAAAAGAATCCAAAAGAATCCTCTAGCTTCAGCCAAGCCACCATTGAATGGCGTAGTATTCTGAATTGACTCCGTGCATTGTCAGTGCCTCATGAACCTTGGGAAGGAATCCCTCCACAATGCGATCGAATTGCCAAATGATGACCTCAATGGCAAGCATCATCCAGAGCAGGTCTGTTCTATCATGTAATGGGATGAAATGTTGTTGACTTACATGCACCTAGGAAAGGCTCTAGTCTAGCCACACGCAACACTGGCCTGGACGTTTGCATGATGGATCATACTACCAGTTGTGCTACAGGATGTTGTACTGATCCGCTGCTCTCGGATTTGAGTGACCACCTTCCGTCAAATTCCCTGTGGCAGCTCCCAGTCCCTCAATCAGGCAATGCCTCATAATGCCTCGCTATCTTCCTTTCTAACCTTCAGCACGAGCGACTCCCAGCTTCGGAAAGTTTGGCCGGTACAGGTCCTTGGAAACCGCCGAGTTTTGGCCACCCGTCAGAATCGCTTCTGGTCCAAGGTTTGGTGATCTCTTAGGCAACTTGATGAGACTATTCAAGTGGCAATAACAGCACAGTTTCTTCCCAAACTGCAATCCCAGAAGCCGTTCCTTGAGCCTAGAGCCTAGGGCTTTTTCTCAAAGTATGAAAAAGTAATGCCATGTAATGCCCTAGAGTCTCGGTGAAACACCTGCTTCGTGCAGTTTTAAACAGCAACCCGCTGATATATGGTCTAGCTGATCCCCGCAACTGTCTTTCAGCGAAGGCTATGGCTCAAAGATAAGGCCCGTTGACCAAACTGTTTAAATCCTTATAGACCTGCAAAACATACATACCCCATCCTCCCTCAAAGTCTCAGGCATGTGGCCACAAGTGAGTGCCGAAGAAGCAATGCCAGTGAACAATTGAAAACCACGGATTCGTCTTCAGGAAACACCTGACAGAGACTAGGTGCACACAACAATCACAAGGTAGCACTTTGGTCACAAGGAGCAGCATGGAGAGCCCATTCATACTCTATCAATTTCCACTGCATCGAGCGAATTCAAGCAGACCATGTAGGAGGGAATGCATTGAGGCAACCACCCCGATCAAGGTTGCCACGACGAAGTTCAGACTTTGACCTCAAGAACCAATCCTCTTGGTGCAACATGGGTCACTTAGTTGCTCATTCAATCCGAAAGAGTAGCTTTACCATCCCTGCGGCGTTGCAAACCCTAAACCGCACTCAAAGTTTCGGGCAGTATCCAACATCCTCCAACCGGATAGCTAGTGCACGCAGCAGCCTGAACATGACCGCCACATCTCCAAAGTGGACCCCGGTTGCCGTAGCTCTGGTGGGAGCTAAATGTGAAAATGGCTCGAAATTCGAAAGAATGGCTCAGATCTCGAGAAGTATCCCGAGCCTGAACAAAGCCAATTGCCCCTTGCCCTGCCGCTCTCGGAAGAGCTCTTCTTGCGGAAGTGTTCTGTGCACATCACGCCTAGAAAAGCTGCAACTTCTCTCATTGCTCTGGAAGACGCAGGGCGTCAATCAGCGGTCAGAAAATAGTTACCAAAGCAACATATTGGCAAAGACAATTTTGATCAAATGATAAATGATAAATCATCATAATATAGCATCAAAATGCATCAAATAGATTCAAATCGCCTGATGGCAGAGTCAAAGGGGGATGTTCGATCACAAAGTTTCGCCTCGGAGATCAGCCAAGCAGATTCCAACTTGTTCGAAAACAATTGATTATATATATTGATTTTGATGATTTTGGTGGCACATGACAAGGTTCCATGTCTTTTGGAGACGAGAATCATAGTCATCTTGGGGAGTTCCTGCACGCTGCTGCAGGGTAATGCCACCCAATAGCAACTCCTGGCGAAGAAACACAAAACTTCGCCGACGGCCACAAAGTGATGCACAAGCCAATCTCTGCAAACTTCCGCAGCATCGCAACATACGCTGCCTGCCCACTACATCCAGCGCTGCCTGCCCACTACCCAGTCCTTCCAAGCTTGCCCCCGATGGTCTCCCAAGTCTTCCGCCCACAAGGCCTGTCTGCCAAGGGGAGTGAATGGGAGCAGAGCCAGCACCGTGACACCGAGGGTCCAAAAATGTCGGTTGCCAGCCTCCATGACGGGCTGTGAGAGACCTCCGGGCCTGGAGTGCGCTCACACACTACGGCTGCGTTGGGACCTGGCGAACATTCTGAGGAACCAGCAGGCCATCCCGCAATTCGTCGCAAGGATCACGAGCAACTGAGGACAGCCTGCAATTTTGAAATGGTCTGCGCATATCTGCACTGGATGGACTCTCCAACAGAGCGACGTCACTAACACGCCATGCCAACTTCCAGAAAACATGCTGGGCCTCCTCCAGTTGCTGCAAACAGATCGGCATCGCCGGGCCTGACAATTCGCTCGGACTATCTCGGCTTTCAGATCTGTCAGCAGCACAGTGCCCTGACCGCAAAATCCGCAGAATCATATAGAATCATTCACAACCGGACCTCAACCAAGTTTAGGTTGGACAGGAGGCCCGTTCGATACAGAATGGACCACTCGGTGTCGGGCCCTGCAGGACACAATGACAGGACGGGATGCTGCCAATTTCAAAAAGGAGGACCGAAGCACAAACAAAAATATGCAAAAATGATATCAATGATTGTGTAAGAGATTGCATGAGCTGGGGAAATCAAGTGCATGGCCTTGGTCTTCGGAAACATCTGCCGAGGCACCAGCCATCTTTGCAAAGCAAGTAAGATGATATTATATTATATATAAACAAGTATGCTAAGATATGCGAAGTCTGAGTGTGAGTATCTCAAATTATAAGGACTCATCTGAGGTGAGCAAATCATCAGAGAAGAAAGTGTCAGATGTGTCAATAATTTGTGAAATGCCACACTATTCACTATTCTGAATTCCAAAGTGTATAATACGGAAATCGCACGCAGAAGAAAAACAGGGGCGCGCCCACACAAACGGAAGGTTCCTGCCATTCTGTTGCTTTGGAACCTAGCTTTATGCAGTATAGGTGTTTGTAGTCGATTTGGTTATCAGCTACGCGCACTACGTTCAAAGAAATCGCATGGCCTTCTTGCAACTTGACTTTGTGAAACACAGCTTGAGCCCAAATCGATGGTCACATATCGAGACCCAAGGCGGTGCTGGAAGATGTTGAAAGGAGATGTGGGTCTTATGTGTTTCCTTCACACCACTTCAGCAATGCATTGCAAGGCGAACCTCTTGGCACCATGCTGACGGAAGTGCATCCTGCAGCTGCTGCCGCGATTTGAATGCCAGAGCATGAAGTCCAAGGAAGAAGGGAACAGCAGAAGCCACCAGCATGTCCAACAAAATAAGCTGCTGGTTGACAAGTGAATGAATATGTATGAAATTTGTATGAATGCATTCAAAGTTCTGCTCGCAGCTGCTTCGCTTGCTCCCACCTCAGACATGGTTTTTTCAACATTTTTCAACCTAGTTTAATCTTGTTTACCCAGCACGCTGACTCTACTTTCCCTATTAGCCGCTCCTGTTTCCATCTTTTGCAGTGCCATTCTGTCATGAGAAGCCAGAAGCTCCCACAGACTTGCACAACAATCTTGTGTTGGTCCTGACTCTTTTCCAAAGCGTGAAATCATGCCGTTTCCCTCTCATGCCATCGTGAAATGTCCATCATATTGAATCATATGCATCTTTTTCTCTGAGGTAAAAGATGGAACATGACAAATAGAAGGCCCATTTGGGGCAATCTGAGAACTGAGATATGGACTGTGGCCCTTCGCTGCCGGAACTAGCGCAAACAAAAAGGCATGCTGCGCTGATTGCACAATTGTGGTGTTCCGCTGAGGACAGAACTTTTGAACATCAAAAGAACTTTTTCAAACTACAAAGTACATCTAAGTACGTCATATTACGTCGAAGGTTCATCCCCAATAAGATCAATAAGAACAGCTGCGGAACTGGCTCTGTTCACCCAGCCTCCGTGGATCCAAGCAAGTACGTGAATGGCGCCACGGCAGGTCCGCTCCTTCCAAGAGGGAGCTTTCTGAGCATCTTGGGTCAGCTCCCGACACCTACTTTGAGCATCTTTGAGCACTAGAGCCTGATTCTTAATTCATGAGTCCTAATAAAGGGTCAAGTCAAAGGGCGATGTTTACCCATCTTATTGAACCCTTTTTGAAGTTTGATGAAGTAATATTTGGCGCCAAATGACCGTGCACAGGTAAAGCAGGAAAGGCACGTCTTTTCCAATTCGCTTTCCATCTGTGTGGCCTTGATGGTCACTGCAGCTCATCTGTGAACTCCAGGCCTTCAAATTTCTGTTCGTCTACTTCTTGGAAGGCTGGCTCTAGTAGCATGTTCCCTTTAAGATCAAACACACAGATTTTCGTGGCTGTGCGTGAGCCAACTTCCAGAACCTTGAGGGCGGCAAAAGTGTCGTTAGTACCTGGCACCTTCCGAACAGCCGCAAAGCCCCAATCAGGCTCCAGCGGGCCTATGCGTAGCTGGTCTATGATGGAGAAATCTTCAGTCGCCAAGAGGAGTAGATTTGTGCCGCGGGTCTCATCAGCCACCGGACTATACGCTTCCAAGCTGGCCTTTCGAGGTAAAACTATCCAGCGTTTCAGCAATGAGTCCCAAATGATGGCTTCGTGCCAGAGGTAGCCTGGACTCCGAACCCCAACGGTCGCCCGCATAGCTTCAAAGGTCTTTCGCCAGTCCAAGCTTTCAACATGCCAGTTCCGGTCTATTTGCTTAACCCATTGTGGATTGTAGTGCTGGATGCGTCCATCATCCCCGACCCATTCACGGCCCATGCTCCCAACGATCAGGAAGCCGTCCTGTGTCGGAGCACCAGAAACGGCTCACATGTCTCAACTGCGTATTGGATCACTACTGACTGACATAATGATGTTACAATGTGTTCTATGACATATGATTATACACACCCACAGAATTGCATAGATGACCATGGGATCACATGGTTTACAATCGGAATTAAACGCAAAAATGCGCAAAATGAGAATGTGTCATAATGTGTCCTTCACGGTCGCCCATTCTGATTTGAAAGGCTTGGCAGATCTGCCATTGCCGTCCGACAGAATTAGCCTCTGAACAGCTTGCGAACCAGCTGGATCCACTTCAAAAACCACTCCCGTAATATCGCCTGGTTCAGGGTGCCCGCATGTGCCCGCTGACCGGATCTGCGCAACATACAGAACATATGGTCATTTTCTGTGCACTGTAATGCACTGTAATGCACTGTAATGCACTGTAATGCACTGTATGAACATAGACGAAGCACCCTCTCCTGGGGTACAGACCCTACTGTAAGTCCCACGACGCTCATTTGTCCCCTTTTGATCCCTTTTGGATCTCTTTCGTTATGTCTTTTGATGTTTCTTGACGATTTTTGGATGTCTCCCAGAAAAAGCTAATTGTTTGACTTTGTATCTTGCTTGCTGCCATGCCAAGATGCAGAAAGCAAAAAGCCGGCCCTCATAGCGCACCAACTCACTGAGCTCCATGCTACGGTTTTTCACGGACAAAGTGCTCTCGAGTCGCGAGGTATTGAACCAGTCCAACCTGTACAAACCAGTCCCAGACTCGAAAGTCAGAGCACCTGCGATCTGGAAGGATGTGGCACAAAATGGCACAAGCCTGCAAGATTCTACAGGCGGCACTGACAAATGGATGTCAGAAGCGAATTCCAAAATCCATTCAACACACTTCAACACACATACACACGTGACATATTGCGACATATGTGTTTCGTGATGTTTCGTGCGCGTAACCGGCGTAACCTCGTCGAAACCAGGCGTGCCATTTGAACTCCTTCAAGTCTCTGGATGCTTTGTCCAAGTCAGACACCAATGCAAAGTCAAACCTAGGATGTGTTTCATCGCATGAGATGACAAGGATGAGCATGGGATACAGGTGTTTCAATGCAGCCAACCCATTCTAGATGTTAAAATTGTTTTAAAAAAACAACTCAAGTATAAAGCATGACGAACACCATCCAACTTTCGCGAATGCCCCAGTAGCAACCTCTCTGTCAAACCCACCGTTTCCTTGCAAAGTGTGACAGACTAGCCACGATTTTGTTCCTGATGAAGCGCCAAACGCCTCACAAGGATGGTTGGGGCTAGGCGATCTGCATCAAAGCAAGCTTCAGAATCTGATGTTTATCTTTCGTTATCTTTTGAATCCTTTTGGTCACTGATTAGGTGCACTTGCAAGTTGAAATGGTGGTTGGATTCCGTGGTTTCCCATCTGCTCCTCACAGTTGTTGGAGCATGTTTCTGACAGTTCAGCTTTGCTGGAACTTATCAGTGCCCAAACCGCTGCAGCTCTGCAGAATGCCATGGGCAAAGGCTGGATATGATTCATGCTTCTGCCCATTATTGCTGCGCTATTGAATAGTGTGTCAGCTGCTGGACATGTGGTTGGTACATTTTTTGCCGTAGTTAGGGTACTTGGTGGTCATATTATGTCATGCTAGCTATTAGCATCTATTAGCATCTATTTTCATCTATTAGCATCTATTAGCATCTATTAGCATCTATTAGCATCTATTAGCATCTATTAGCATCTATTAGCATCTATTAGCATCTATTAGCATCTATTAGCATCTATTAGCATCTATTAGCATCTATTAGCCAGTAGATATATAATTACTGACAGTAGAAGTGTACTGTACTGGACAGTATGTCAGTGACAATGCGCTCATGGTCATGGCACCTCATCCCATTACCTGCCGTCAGACGTCGTCTGAAGAAATGGCTACAAATGGTTCCACGGCAACGGTCCACCATGTCTCAATTTAACAGTCAGTATATCAGAAATCAAATTTCGTAAAAAATGATATAAGGGGCTTACAGTTACGCGCCATCCATATCATGACAGCTGAATCAGAGTCTCCTTCTTGACACGGTGATCGCACTTGGCCTCAGCTTGCAAATCCGGAACGAGTAAAAAATTGTCACATGGCAAAACCAGCTTCGATGCTCTGTGAGCGTGGAATTTTGACGTCTGGGGGAGCAGCTTTGGAGGCGAACCTGACACAAATAAAGGACAATTAATTACAAGAGATCCCAGCAAGTAACAGTATCATCACCTTTGCTACCCATGGGACCGACATGCTCACGCATTCATCAGAAACCAACAGCAACCAACCACCACAGAACCAACAATCCGACAACGCTTGGGCACCAAGTCCATCATCCCGCCAGGTGGGTCAAGCCCCTGCCATGGGCACATCGGTCATTCGCCATGCCACAGCTTCGGCAGTGACCAGCCCAGGTCACCTCAGGTGCACCCGCCTGCATCATATCGCTGCTCGTTATGATGTGGCTGCTTCTGCCAGACCTGGGAGCAGCATCAACAACTTTACAACAGCTTCACGGTCCGTCATGGGCATCCGTCATGGCCGTCATGGTGGAATGTCAAGTGTCCTTTTTCTACAAGCTCTGCACGCAGGTTGGGCATGTTTGGGCGTGCAGGCCAAGTCACTGTCCCTGTACGAGAGAAAGCCTGGTGCATAGCCTAGCATCAACCCTGTCTGATATTCCAACGGTTCCCTCCAATGCCACAAGTGCAGGAAAACCGCACATTTGGCATTATGCTGTACAAACATGGAGGAGGCAGGCATTAAAGTGAGTAATTCCCGTGCTGCGCTTCTGCGACACGGTCGCAGTGAAAACTTGCAGCTATGCAATAAAATGCCTCAATGATGGAGACAATTTTGAGCTGTACATGTTCTATCGCCGGAATATTGTACGCATTCTGAGTGGTGCAGTTCGAAAGGCGCACTGCACTGCAAGTCCGATGTGGTTTGAAGGCATACGATATATATATTTTGCCTGTCTTAGTAGATTGTCTAATGATAGAGGTTCGTCTACTCGACATGCAGGATGAATGGTTACTCTTGGAACATCTACTCTATCTTGTCACATAGTACCAGAGCTGAAACATAATCATCCTTTTGGCCTTCTGGCCATCAGCAGGTTTGATGTCCATGAGGATCATCCCTCACAATGAAAATGGTGTCGCCCGGATTACTTCGAGCATTCTCCGCCTTGGAACACTTTTGAGTCCCGACAGGCAAATCACAACAAACCAGGCATTCCATCAATCAGATCAGAGGTTCACAAGACCTTTTTTTGCTGGTCAAATATGGCCAAACAACTAATCACCTCCAAAACGCTGAGCCGCGAGCTGTTCGAATTCCGGAGATCGAGCCACGATAAGCGCGCTAGCGCAGCGCGACAACTCCGGGGATTCTTCCCCCCTGCTGACACTTCAAAGGCTCAGCAGAATTCAAGGAAGATAAAGCAGAATTATGTTTTTTTCCCGAGAGATCCCGAGAGCGTCTGAGCGTAGGGTTCTTCTAATGGTGGGAGTCTGTTATACATTTCACATCTTCACATCTTCACATCTACGCATATCATCCTAACATCTTCACATCTTCTCATCTTCACATCTACACATATCATCCTAACGTCTTCACATCTTCACATCTTCACATCTACACATCTACACATATCATCTCAACATCTTCACATCTTCTCTCTCTCTCTCTTTCTCTCCCTCACTCTCTCTCTCTCTCTCTGTCTGTCTGTCTCTCTCTCTCTCTCTCCCTCGCTCTCTCTCCCTCGCTCTCTCTCTCTCTCTCTCTCGCTCTCTCTCTCTCTCTCACTCTCTCTCCCCTTCTTTTTCTTTTCTCTCTTAAGGCCGCGGGCGGTGCCGACGAGGCGCCACGAAATGGCCACCCTTTCGCACGAAATGATGTTCGATCGTCAAAAACTGAAGTAAAATTGCGATTTGGGCACTTCCGCAGCAACGCTTTCGCACGAAATGAGGTTCGATCGTCAAAAACTGAAGTAAAATTGCGATTTGCGCACTTCCGCAGCAACGCTTTCGCACGAAATGAGGTTCGATCGTCAAAACTGAAGTAAAATTGCGATTTGGGCGCTTCCGCGGCAACGCTTTGGCACGAAATGAGGTTCCGTCCTCAAAAACTGAGGTATAATTGTGATTTTGAAGTGTCCGCGAAAACCCTGTTGCACGAAACGGGCCCGCGTGTGCCAAACAGATGTTTTTTTGCGAATTTGGTCGGTCCTGTTAAAGGATCTGTGTAAAAGTGTCTGCGTGTAAAAGTGTCTGTGTGTAAAAGCGTCTGTGTGTAAAAGTGCTGTATGTGAACGTGTCTGTGTGTAAAGGCGTCTGTTTGTAAAAGCATCTCTGTGTAAAAGCGTCTGTGTGTACAAGCGTCTGTGTGCAAAGGCTTCTGTATGTATGAGCGTCTGTGTGTAAAGCGTCTGTGTGTAAAAGCGTCTGTGCGTAAAAGCTTCTGTGTGTAAAAGCTTTTGTGTGTAAAAGCGTCTGCGCGTAAAAGCGTCTGTGTGCAAAAGTGTCTGCGTGTAAAAGCTTCTGTGTGTAAAAGCGTCTGTGTAACAGTGTCCGTGTGTAAAAGCTTCTCTGTCTGTAAAAGCGTCTGTGTGTCAAAGCGTCTGTGTGTAAAAGTGTCTCTGTGTAAAAGCGTCTGTGATTAAAAGCGTCTGTGTGTAAAAGCGTCTGCGTAAAAGTGTCCATGCGTAAAAGCTTCTTTGTGTAAAAGCGTCTGTGTGTAAAAGCTTCTGTGCGTAAAAGCGTCTGTGTGTAAAAGGTTCTGTGTGTAAAAGCGTCTGTGTGTCAAAAAGCTTCTGTGTGGAAAAGCGTCTGTGTGTAAAAGCTTCTCTGTGTAAAAGCTTCGCTGTGTAAAAGTGTGTGTGTGTGCGTGTGTAAAAGCTTCGGTGTGTAAAAGCGTCTGTGTGTGTGTGTGAAAGCGTCTGTGCGTAAAAGCTTCGGTGTGTAAAAGCGTCTGTGTGTGTGTGAAAGCGTCTGTGCGTAAAAGCGTCTGTGTGTACAAGCGTCTGTGTGAAAGCTTCTGTGTGTAAAAGCGTCTGTGTGTAAAAGCTTCTGTATGTAAAAGCGTCTGTGTGTAAAAGCGTCTGTGTGTAAAAGCTTCTGTATGTAAAAGCGTCTGTGTGTAAAAGCGTCTGTGTGTAAAAGCTTCTGTGTGTAAAAGCTTCTGTGTGTAAAAACTTTTGTGTAAAAGGTTCTGTGTGTAAAAGCGTCATGTGTAACAGTGTGTGTGTGTGTAAAAGTGTCTGCGTGTAAAAGCGTCTGTGTGTAAAAGCGTCTGTGTAAAAGTGTCTGCGTGTAAAAGGGTCTGTGTGTAAAAGCTTCTGTGTGTAATTAAAAGCTTCTGTGTGTAAAAAGTATACGAAGGAAACGATGCAAACTATTGTCTTGTAATATATGGTCTTGATACTATTTTTCTCGTCTGCCTTTAGTACATCCTTGATATATTGTCTTGTAATATAGTGTCTTGATACTAGCAGCAGAAGACCTCGCTCCTCTACGCTCTCGGGCCATCTGTCGTCTAGTTTTCGTGAGATGGTTGTCACCAGGTAATACATGCATTGGACTGACCAATGGCCTCTCTGCACCTAAAGGCTTTGAAGCCATTTAATTTCTGCCCCCATTCTGTCCCCATGCCAAGATCATCTGACATCACAGGTCACTTGCAAGGTCTCGAAAGCGGCGGGCCGCGACTGCAGACATGCCAAGCTTCCTTGGAGCAAGAATTCAACTCACTTTAAGGCCATCATTGCCTCCATTGCCAATTAAAACGGTGAAGGAAATTCAAGTGGCTAACACGGCCTGACACTGTCACAATCGAATTCGAAAAACTGTCAATTATCAGCTCGAATTCAGTACAAGATATGGACTGTTGGTTGGCCAAAATGCTCTTATTATCTATATCAAGGTGTATATATATATAATTATCTATATGTATATATAATTATATAATATATTCATATATATTCCGATTCCATTATATTACAAGATCATTACATTGCAATAAATTCTGCAATAATCAGTCGAATTGAATCGTGAGAACGCTTTCTAACCAAGAAGGTGCCCGGTAGAATTCCAGATATCTCTGGAACGTCCTGGTTTTGGCCCATCCGGCGCGCTACCTATGCCTTCAAATATCATCAGCAATATCTTTCGGAATGTCATGAGTCATGGGGACTTTCGGATCTTTCGGATCCTTCGATCCTTCGTGCAGCAAAGAAGGCTTCTCAGGCAGTCCAGAAAAACTGGATGCCATCATTCCCGGATGGTATAGCAACAAAGAATAACAAATGAATAACAAAGATTCTAATATTGCCGAGGTGCATGTTGACTGCATCAAAAGTCTTAGCCACTTCCGGATCTGAGAGGTACGGCACACAAGCACGAACCATGTCGTGCACACCTTGCTTGGTTGGTCTGAAGCCAAAACTCTTCAGCGTTTGTCGCTGCTTGGGTAGGGCGAGGTCTGCCCTCCCGGGTAAATGGTAATAGCCTTTTGGATCTTCATACCTCACGTTGCAGTCTGCCCTTGCCTTCAGTTTTCTGATCTCCTCTTGAAAGGAAGGACCACTGAATGCAATAATCAGGCTCTGCAGCATCTCCATAATGGCAACTTTCGTCACAGGCTTGCGACCAAACCCTATACATGGATGACTATCTTTGCCATCAGATCCATCCACCTGAATGGTGCTGAAAAGTGCCTCGTTGATTGCAGCAGCGTTGACATAGATGTCAGGATCGCTGTCAAAGGCTTTGAAGGCTTGCAGCATGTCATGAACACCTCGACCGGATGCCTCAAAGCCATAGTGTGGTATGATTTCAGCCTGATAGGATCGGACGAGTTTCTTGAAGTCAGACCAGCAGCCGGCATCATTTCCTTGGCAGGCTTGGTATCTTCTGGAGATCACGTGCAACTTCTTCTGAAAACCTGGTGATGTGAAAGCCTGCAGCAAAGACTGCTGTAACTCCAGAGCCCTCTCCTTGCGTGAAAGACGAGCTCCAAATTGCAGCACTCCAAAGGGCTCACCCAGCTCGCCAAGCTCTTCAGCTCGGTCAGAGTCGTCAGACTTTGATGAAACTGGCGAAGGGAATTCAGTAGTGGTAGCCGAACCACACCGCACAAAGTATTCGTGAAGCCCTGCGCTCCACCCAACCGCTGTAGTTGCGGTGCTCTGGCTGGAGAGAGAAGACTGTGCAACTTCTTTGACTGCATCCATTGCATGGCCATCAGTGCAGATTTGGGCAGGCCTGTGGTGCCTGTGGCTATCCCTCTTGCCCGTCGCTGCAGGAGGCTCCAAGCAATTCCGGAGAGATGCGAGCTGCTCCATTGAAGTTTGTTTCCAATGCACCTATCCCTTTGAGCCAAAGAAGCTGCAGCGGCGCACACAGGTAGGCAGGACACCTCATTGCAAGAACGGTGTAAATCGGTGTCTCTCTCTCTCTCTCTCTTCATGCGTGCCTACTGTGCCTTAGTGTAATTACATCAAGAGGATCCAAAAGGTGACATGCCACAGGCTCCTCAAGTATCCAAGCATGGTACACAAACTCATGACATCCCATAACTTTTGCTGGCCTGTCATTGCCAGTCCACCTTTGTACAAAGCACTCTGCAACGACTTTGGAGAGGTGCCATCGCGTGCCCATCAGAGAGCCGTCACTTGCATGACAATTCGATTCTCTGCCTCCTGCTCAGTTCCACTCTCTCCCACCAAGCTGCCGATCCAGGCCTAGCTTCTCAGAAGGCCAGTCTGACTCTTGGAATTCAAGAAACACTGACCGGACCACAAGTACACAGTCTACAAATAAATGTGTAGACATGTGTAGGCTGTAGACATATATGTAGACATGGTATGGGAAATGCTCCAAACACAAAGGACCTTCTGCGGGCTCTTGCAGCCAGGCTACTTTGAAAAGTGGTACTGGTACATCTGTGCAGCGACTCTCCGCAGCTTGTGCAGCTGACTGTGCACTTTGTTGTTGTACTCAACGGCTTGCCATGCGATGTCATTCTTATTACCTTGCAAGGATTTTAACGAGCAAATTGCGTGCGAGTCATGCAGTCACATCAGGAATCAGAAAACATACTGTAAGTCGTTTTTCTATACCTCTTCGCAATTCTGCACCAGGCTGCAAAGCAACTCCATGAAATTCACGAGCCAGGAGGGATCTTGACCTTGGCAACGATCCAGCTCTCCTAGCTCTCTCCCTTGCACTTGCTGATTGGCTTAGCTCGGAGAAAAGCGAAGTCTGGTGACATGGGAGAAATTTGACTCGTGTTGCTGACTGTTAAATAATGTTAAATAGAATCCGTGAACTCGAGGCTCCATGGGCTGTGAATGCTGCCATCGTTTCAAACATGTTCAAACGATTACCTCAACTACATGGCGTCGCCCATAAGTCTCTTCCACAAATATTTAGATTCTAAGATATGCAATGATATGTAATGGATGTAGACTAGATATTTGACATATATGGGGAGAGAGATGCGCATTCCATACTTTTTGGCGAACGTGCAGATTCTATGACCCTATGTCTGACGTTCTTGGATCCTTAATCCGTGATCCTCGACTTGTCAAGCCACCAAGGCCAATGAACCACCACTGCCAAGCAAATCGCCGGTGCAGGGGGCTGGTTTGTAACGGCATTCGGTCCACCCGACCTTGGGAACATTGCGGGATGCTCTCATCCCTGGACCAAACAGTTGGAATATCGGAATATTTGGCAATTCTGCACAACGCCACACACCACCCTCAAGTCTGAGCCACGAACCCACTTTGTACGGGACATCGACTTCAACAAAACCTGCCAAACAGATCCAAACAGCTTGAATCAGAAAGAGTATGAAAGAGTCAGAAAGCCAGTGATACAGTGATACATGCCGATGTAGCAGTAGTAGCTAGTGCAGTCGAGCATCCATCGCCAACATCTGCCAAGAGCACCATCCTTGAATCAATGTCAGTCAACTTTTAAAAAGAAACTTTTAGTGCCAACATGTGCCAACTATAAGTGGATGATACAGTACTGTGTGCCTGTGTGCGTTTGTGAACCCATGATTCTATAAGGAGAACTAGCAGAATCGAAAGCGATGTGGGGAAGCACTGGTACAATACTTGTATACACTAGCATAAGTTTCCTGTTGCCACGGAGCTGCTCTTTGCGCTGGTGAACTGCACCCGCAAAATACGCATGATGATTGTAAGGAATGCCCAAGTTCAAGCTCTCCGCATAACGGACGACTCCAGACTGCATGAGAGGCTCCAGAAAGCCCAATCTCTCCTGCCCCGACCAGAGCCAGGCCTTAGATATCACGTATATTCGCGTATCTTAGTAAAAATCTTATCAAGTCACATCAAATCACCCAAATCTTGGAGTTGAGAAAAACATGAAAAAACGTTGTTTGGAGATGCCGGATGGCTGAGAAACATCAAGCTTAGCCCACGAGGAAAAAGAAAAAACGGAAAAAACGGAAGAAAAACATGAAAATATATGGGAAAATTGGATCAAGTCGATTGGTGTTCAAAATTCTTCCACAAGTATCCGCTGATCTTCTCACGGTTGGTATCAATTTGTAACTCCAGCATAGTCTACTTATGTCAGTGTCATCTTACCAGTATGTCTACTTTTAGACTTAGTCTACCACAAAGGTGACAACCAAAGATGCCAAGTGGCATATGCACGGAGGCTTGGCAAGAAGGCAAAAAGAAGCAGCGGCAACAACAACCAGGGCATCAGGCTTCTGTACAGCATGACAGGCTTGGACTCTCGCTTCCTTATCACAGCTGTACCTTGCACCGTACTCATCGATGCAATCAAGGAGACAATGGCCAAAGGATGGAGGAAGGCGTAGTTGCCTCCAATGAACATGCCGAAGACAAAGATCATGATGAAGACCGACGCAAGAAGGCGGCCTGGAACTTTCGCAGGAAGTCGCAAGAACCACTCCTTTCTTTGAAGCAGCTGCCGGTGCAGTATGCCAAGGGGGCCCATGCTGAGCACGAAGCTCAATAAGAAAAAGGGCACAATACACTCACAAAGATCTATCGCGAACCACCGCATTACCGAAAGCATAGCTTGGGGCGTGTAGTTCTGGAACGCCCAGGAAAGCAAGTTGGGCATTGGTTGCGTCTCGTAGTGGTCGTACAGGCAGGTGAGAGTTTTCCAGCATGCACTGCCGCGGCGCATCTTTAAAAGGCCAGCTGCCAGGAAAAGCCTGAAAGCTGCCAGGGTCATGGACAACTCGGCCAATATTCTGCACCAGTCCTGGGCTGAGGGCAAGTTGAAATCGTGCAAAAACAGTGTCCCGCAAAGCAGCTGGTGTGCTCAGCCGGTCTGAATCAGTAATATCCTGTTGGTAAAAATTGAGGGGCCGGTTTGGTATACCATCTACAATCATTTACCTTTAAAGGGGTTTCTGAAGAAACCCCTCTAATTATTCATCAACCAATGGGAAAAGGACATCTATGGTCTGAATACTGTGAAAAGAAACTGTCTTGCAGCCTTGCATGTGAATGATTCGGACTCTCAACTCTAGTTGCAGGTTGGACTCAACTACCTGGCTACACTTTCGAAAGCTTGCACTGGACTTCGATGGGGAAGTTGATGTCCAGAGGATATCCCATGCGAACGCTGATGATGCAATAGCCTGAATACAGAAGCAGCCAGCCTGTTCTGGCAAACTGAAGGGTGTGACAATGCCCTCCAGACTGTTTGCGATTGCAAAACTGGCAGTTGCCAAAACATGTTCAAACATGTTCAAACATGTTCACCAAAATTCACCAACATTGTTGGGAACATGAACAGTCGACACCTGTTTTGGGCTTTGCCGAGATCTTCGGGATCTGAGGGCTGCATCAGCTGCTACCTGGTACATCAGCTTTGGTGTATGCCCTGAGATGGGCCCGGAGCATGAGACCCAGAATGCACTGAGAAGCCATTAGTATCATTAGTTCTCCATTGTGAAAACTGAGCCAACTCACAAAAATAAAGCAGGCTGGAGGGTGTTCCCCGCGCCAGCCTCCTTGTGAACCGCAGGCTCTTCATGTCCTTCTGATTTTTGAGCACTTGCCTGCGGACCAAATTAGTGCATGATGATAATCAGGAGACATGGAAAACAATGGAAAGCCATGGAAAACATAAGCCAGGCATGGCCAGGCCATGTGACACATTGTGACACATTGTGACACCTCCTGCAGAAGCCACTGCTGGGTGGACGGCTCTTCCTTCAGGAAAAGAAACGGACAGGCATGTGCCGGTGCACTGTACCAGGGATGACCGGCTGAACTCAATCTTTGCACCTAGTAATTTGCGATCATTATGCACAAATATGCACAATCTATTAGTCTCCTTTTTCTCTTCCACGTGTTCAACTACTGCTGCTTCACCATCAGACTCCACCTGCAAAGCCACTTTGACATGACAAGTTGTGCAAGCTAGCTCAGGTGTGAAAGGTAGGTGCCCTTTAATTTCAAACCTGTTTCAATCCTGTTCTTCAGATCTTTTTGGATCAACAACCCCCCCTCTCCGCATTTCAGCCTCAATATCGTCGTAGAGAGTCAGAGTGACAGATAAGATGCAGGTCAAAAAGCCAATTTCGTCTATCATCTGGTCCCACCCGAAGAAGAACCATTGACCGCCATTCATGCGCATTGGATGCCACAATATCCAGCATGCTGCCAGAGCTGGCCAAAACCAAGGCCTGGGAACAAATGCAACACCTCAATCACAAAGCCTTTCTGTGCCATTGCCAAGAGCGCTTCGGATCCCTTGCGAGTGGTTGAACATCACCGCAGAAATTTCACAATGTCAGGCCTCAAGACAATAATCAGTGCAGGCAACAAGGCGATCTTGTTCATCGCAATCAGCTCAGAAGATTCCCATCCCCCATCTGGTGGGGTCAGAAGCCACATTACAGGCCCATCGATCACATTCCTCAGCAGGGAACCCTCCCAAAGGTGGCCCATCTGATAGGAAAAAGCTCGCACATGTTGACAGCGCCAATATATATTATTATAATCAAGTTCTTCATTCCGGACCAAAGGAATGCAAAGAAGTACACCAAAGCACATAGCCGGACAGCACAACTGTGCACCTCACATCAGCATGAGCTCCTTCAGTGTTCACATGTGTTCAAGTGAGTTTGATTATGAGGGTGTCCAAATGAAATGCACATTGTGGTTTGTCACTCAAGAACTGAGCTCAATTGGCCTGCACAGACTTTAGCTGCAGGCCGTCCATCATGGTGACTAATTGAGCAACCCAAAGGATGGATTGAGGAACATGTACTAGCTGTGGAGTGCTGTAATTGCCTGGGTTTAATCTGCTTGCTGGTGGATTGAAAGGACAATGCATAATGATGCTCCATGAACAAATGGCTGGTGGGATCTTGCGGACGAATTTGTCAGTGAACCGTGCAAGATCTGAGTACTGAAAAGCTGGTTAGGACCGAAAGTTCCCAGAGCACACGAAGAGATTCTCAGTGGGCAGAGCACAAAGTGATATTTTTTTTTTAAAAAAAAAAGTGCTGCACAAAATATGTTCCACCACACCCCATCACTTACACATCTTACCGACACTGATTTCTGGTGTGTTAATTTCACTGAGCTTCCTGCGAGGACAACCGGGGCGCCATTGGGAGCCTCAAATCTGTCCCGTTTTCAGATCGCCGAAATCTGCTCCGGCGGCTCCGGCATGTCAAGATACTCTCGTCGTGGCTACACACTGTGCAGCAAAGAAGCTCTAAGTCGATCTTCTGCCTAAAAAACGACAAAGATCAAGATCATTGAAGATCATTGAAGATCATAAATTCACAGTGATTCACATAGATTCAAGCAATTCAAGATCACACGTCCTCAATGTCTGCGGTTTTATCATTGAAAACTTTGCAAACAAAGTGACACGTTTGCTCTCGGTGGCAATGGGCATCTCTCCGGACCTCTCAGCCAGGAATCAAGTCGAAAGGTGCACAAACGTGCTCACTTACCATACATGCTCCATGTCCACAGAGTAGAGCTTCAATGGCTGTTGGATCAGAAAGCTTTGATGGATATTGATGGATAGTGATGGACCGTGATGGATATTGTAAAAAGAATGTAAAAAGGCATGTGTAGAGTGACACGTCGCTGCACCTCCCGGGTGGTCAAAAGTCAAAAAGTTTGCTTCTATTCACGGCATTTCACGGCTCTACGGCTCTCCGGACTGACAAGGCCCAGACTTGCGCCCATTCCTTGCATGGAGCTCGGTGAAATGCTAAGCCATTGCGAGGCAAAGCAGGAGAAAATCGGAGAGCCAAGCGTTGCTTGCGCCGTCCATCGCGCCAGTGGAAAGATTTGAACATGCTTAGACTTTGAGGCTGGACTCGGCTAGATGTGACACATGTTGTACATTCACACCCTACTAGCATCTTCATTAAATATTGAATATTGACTAGTCACTTGCCACCATGAAGGGAAAGTGGTAAGCCGGAGCAACTGAGGGTTGGCCGGTGATTGAATTACTTCCGTACTATCATGGCTCAAAAGGGCGGCATGGAACTCAGACAGAGCATGCCATGTAGGCGCTGAACAAATCTGTACAGGCTCAAGGGCTGTGAAAAATGTCCTATCTTGTCTACAATTTGACAGCCGGTCGAAATCGCACTTCCCCTATATTTTCCCAGGTCAAGGCCTCGTTTGTTGGCTGAATGCTCTACAAAGCCCCAGTGTCACACTACCAGTTTTGGTAGTGATGGGTTGAGACTTGCCCGGCCTTTGCACTGAACTGATGCAGCCTGTGACACCACTTGCAAGCCTCAGGGATCTCTGCAGGAACAGCTGCAGCAATCCTCACCTGGCCATAATTACCCTGTGGAAGATGTCAATGTGCGGTTGGTCAAACCTGATTGCTTAAAGAATGTTCTGATAAGGTTGTGATGACGATGCCAAAGTAGAAATTTGATGCACAAGGTCACATCATCATGCTCTACCTCCGACAAAGCCCGACTATCGGGCATGATTTACAACGACATCCAGTCCATTTTGCTCTGCACTCTTGCAGGAATGCATCACCATTTCGACTCATCCAATCTCTAAGCTCTCTCCACTGCAGCACCTTTGGCACTGACATGCTCGGACAATACCAGCGGCAGGTTCTTACAGATGTTTTGGCATTTTGGCCTTCACCCTGACGGCTCTCTAAGGACTCAAGTCTGCCTACAGCCACAGCAAAGCTGCCATGGAACTCTGTCAGGGTGCTAAGCGCACCCACATTCATGCGTGCACACCACGTGGCAAGGCCGGCAAGACTAGCAGGTTGAAGCACAAATGCGTCACCTCAATGCCATAGTTCTCCTGGATATGCTCTCCGACAACGTCACGTCAACGGTTCTGCAATGTGCTGCAGCTGCTGGGCAACGACCTTGATCTTTGGCATCCCTACACTTATCTCACAGTTGATCCCTAAGAGGAGGGAATGCCATGGGCAAAAGAGCGGTGAGGCGCTCAACATTTCCGACTTCACTCCATGGGATGCTCCAATGTCCACGAATGACATCGTTCAAGACCTCCGAAAACTGCTCACCTTGAACGCAGTGACAAAACATGACAAAACATTACAAAATAATGTTTGCTAAATGATGCTAAATGTATTCAAATGCTGATTTTATCCGAGCTTGTTCATGAGAACTCATGTTGCTCAATATTCATGGCTCTGTGTGAGAAATGAAAATTGAAGACTTACAAGGCCTATTGAGGCACAGACGCGCATAGTTCCATTCAGCATTACCAACTTTCCGCTTCACTGCCGAGAGGAGATACAAACAGCGCAACTCCTCAGGGAGCTGATTTCGATTCTTGCGCTGTGCAATGAGAAACCTTAAATGATTCGAGCTGCATCCTAGCTTACCATAGCTTACCAATATGTCAGGAGAAAGGACTGGCATGTACGAGGGCCTATGTTGGCCTACAGGATGCTACAGGACCTACAGGTCTATATGCAAGAGAGGATCGAGAAAGAGGTCGCTACCATTCTCATCCGAGCGTGGAAGCCCACGTTCGTCTAGAATTGCCGCCAACTGGGGCATGCTATGCAAATAGATGGAGGAGTTTAGGCACGGGTGAGATGTCCGACACACGTGGTAGTCAGCTCCGCAGACCCAGCTGAATTCTGCTCTGCAAGCTGAACATGTCATGTGGCAGCATGCATCAATGCGTTCCGTCGGCACGCCACATCCGGTGCACGTTCTGTAGAGGGCTTGAGCCAAGGCTTCTTCAATCAGGCCACACACCTCAGCAAGCAAATTGCAAGCCTATGCAGTATGCTGTGCGAGGAAGAGCTAGGCCAAATTTCTGTCTGATTCAATGTCTTAAGATGCCCCTGGTCTCCCTTCTTCTGCCAGGAGACAAATTGAGAAGAGTTCTCGTACTTCTTTCGCTGCTCGTTCTCTTCGCAGGTCCATGGTCGGTGTTCTGCAAGCGAGCCTGTCATGGGCAGGTGCAGTGTACAGTATGCTTACTGTAATTGCATGTTGAATTGAGTATCGTCTTGGATCACGCAGTGTTGCTCCCAATCATTCGCACAGCTTTGCATCTTCTCCGGACAAGATGCAGAATGCACAGAAGCGCTCCACACTGCAACTTTGCCGAAGGCATTTTATGGCATACATCTCCTCCAGCTTCGGAGCGTGAAACATTCAGTGTTGATTTTAGACGATTTTCATGTTCCGCCAAAGTGAAGAAAACAGGGCATCAAATCCTATCTCCTGGATTCATCAAAGGCACGCCCCCCGTGCGCCCTGGCACGCCCTGGTCCTCTTGCTCATTGCATAAGACCAGAAAAGAGCAGCCGGGGCATTTTGCCACCAGTCTTCCGCTGTCAAATGCCTCTTTTTGCCACTGAACTTCCACACGAAGATCCAAATACCTGGAGACCAGCCCACAGGGCAATATTGGGGATTGGAGAGATCCGAAACGAAAAAGGAGATCTACCTCTACATCCTTTACCCACATAGAATGGATGGGAGGGGCTAACCCACAGCTGCAACAGAGACACGGATGAGCAAGCATCTGAAAAAATCACCCATCACCTATCACGCTATGTAGATGTATTGTGCCTGTGTATGTGCAAAAAATGTGCCCACACAGACATCTATTGTATAATTCTGTGTATGTGTGATTGTAGCATATTGTAGCTATCACATATGCGCATACGCATGCAGACACGAACATGTCTCTCCCTCTCTCGCTCTCTCTCTCTCTCTCTCTCGCTTGCTTTCTGTCTTTGTATATGTGTGCATACAAGAAATATACAAGAAATATACAAGAAATATACTATGTTATATGCGTGTGTATATTATATACCGTATAATATATGAATATAATATGTTTATGAGTCTGCGATGATCTGCTATGTACATGGTTCTGAACGAGCTATGAAAGTCTGGAGTGGTACAGATAGACACTGTGACAAGCCGAACATACAAAGATCGGAAGGCATTAATCTCAGCTGCTTAGAATTTAGCTCTTTCATGCTCTTCCTCATCTTCCTTCGGTGTCAGGTGAGCGATGCTATCCCTGCTATCCCATGTGGATCCCTTCCCCGAGGCCCAGTCTTTGGCCTTGAAAACATGTTGTCCCCAACCGCTCTGTGAACGACTCCCGGGGGGATGACTCTGCCCAAGTCTTTGTTGCAGGCTGGGCAAATACTCATCTGCTTGTCATCCACTGCTCTTTCAGAGATCTTCACACCCAGCCCATGGCCCAAGCACTCAAAATGCAGCCAGCAAGAACAACGCATGCGGCGGCCAACGTCTCCTCTCCCAATGGGACAGAAGCAAATGGCACAATCTTGACCGTCCCAAAAGGGCAGTTTTTTCTCCATGATCCAGTCATCCACCGAAGCCAGGTCTGAACTCAGAATCTCCAGCAACTCATCTGCCAATCCACCTCCACAAACACTGCGACGTGAGCTTGGCAACATTTGGATACATTTATGCAACTTCATTGTTGGGATGTGACTGCCATTACTTCAGCTTTCGGTCTTGCATGGTGTAGATTCTACTAAGTACATATGCCGCCATTTATCCATGGCTCTTCACTCAGCACCTGCAACAATGAACTCCAGCTGTTCAACGCCGGTGTCTTTCAACCGTAGCTCCGCCCACAGCGCACTGCAGGCATCTTCTGCGCCTGAGGTAGCTGCAACAACCGAGCAGGGAAACCTGTAACAGTAACAACAGCCTGCTTCGTCCTGCTTCCCAAACAAATCAAACAACATCAGTCAACATCAGTCAGCATCAGCATCGCTTCTTAGATCTACTTAGCGAATCCTAATCTTAGCAACACCTGCTACACGTACGCTCCTCTCATGTCCCACCTGGATGGCCCCAGCGCCACCGAGGATCACGAACAATAGCGTCAACGACCTTTGTGACTCAGGGCAAAGTCACACTGGTAAACAATGGTAAACATCCACTGGATTCTCTCTCTCTGTCATGAGCCATCTTAGTTTCTTCATTCTTCCAGGGACATGCCTTTGAATTCAATTCATCATGATTGGAGAACATGTTGCAATCTGGCCTGGCTTTGGCTGAGAGATCCCTGCTTGGCCCGGTCCACACAGTCGAACCAAATGATGTTTTGGAGAATGTTGCCCAAAGGTGGGATCTCATGCTGCAAAGCCTCCAGACCACTTGCTATTTCATCTGCCAAGCCTGTACGGATGAAACCCTCTGCATCCATGCTGCAATCTCCAAGCTCCTGCCAAGGCCAACGCAAAGCCAGCCACTGGCGGGTTGCATATGCGAAGCGAGGAAAGTCATCTTCTAGAGCCATTCGCAACTGCTGTCTGCTCATTTTTGGAGGTGTGTCATTCACTGAGATTTTGCGAAGCTTTCTCCGTGTTCCCAGGTTCTGGTTCACCTGCTCCATGTTTACTATGTCAATTGTGTACTGCATGTTCCTGGCAGAATACTGAAAAGAAGAGACACCACAAGTCTCGTTGATGCGCAGCCGCTGTGCCAAGTCTTCTTCAACTAGAAACCAGCCCATGTCCAGCTCCACTTCCCACAGTACATTTCGCAAAGGCCGTTTCTTGCCAGAGCTCAGGATGACCTGCTCCATCAGTGTGAAATCAAACAGGTGCTTCTGCTCGTTGGTTGCAATGTACTCAGCTTGCTCGACTCCACTTTGCCATGCCTCCGTCAGCCAATTTGATAAGCCCCTTCCACAAACAATCCAAGAACCTCCTCTGAAGAGCTCCCACTGGCAGTTTGTGGCCCTGCTCTTAGCCGCCCGGTCATTGAACCAATTGCGCTGGCTCTTTTCATTGCCAAGTCGGGTTTCCGCGGCGGCTGTGTCCCTTATGGGATCTCCACAGCCCGCTGTATCCACTGGGACCACTGGGTTCACTGGGTCCACGGGCAAGCTCTTCTCATCAGGTTTCGCACGCCACTCGAGGCAGTGATGACACAGATCAAAATCGCAAAGGTCACATCGGTACCAAAGCAATTCCTGCGCCAGGGACACAGCTTGAGGTTCAAGTGAGGTTCAAAGAAATCCTTTGCATGATCGTGTAGGAGTGGCTGATACCAGTCACCCGGAACCCATGCCTTCGCACGAGACTCGGCATAGCAGCCATGGCAACAAGCATCGCGAAACTCTCTGCTTCCTCAGCGCCACCATTTTAACCCTGGTTTCTGCTTTCTTCTTTGCTTGGATTTTTTTGGAGTTCCAGCCAAGTGAATTGCCCTGCTTGCTATCAAGCTTCTTCGGAGATGATGGCCTGCCATACAAAGAACCTCCATCTTTGCAAGCTCTACCTAACGAAAGTCGTGCTGAGAGGCTCGGAGGGAATGTCTGAGCATAGAAGAAACCACCCCCAAACAACTGACCTCAACTGACCTTAATTCAATTCCATGCCATGATATGCCACGATGTGCCACGCCTGGGCGTACGTCAGGATGCCCTCATCCACAGCTCTGAGCCTGCTGGCTTCTGCCATTGCATGTCTCAAGGCATCTGGCTCCTTGGCACCATGGGGCATGGTAGTGTGGGTACAGTATGGTACAATATGGTACAGTAGTATGCTTAGTGGCAGGTCAAGCATGGCCAAGAGATGCCAAGAGTGTCTTTGCTGCAAATGAGTTTCCCAAATCTCCAGAGCAAGGTCCAGTCTTTCAGCAGCAGAGAGCATGTCTAAAAGAAGTTCCGCTCGGACAAGCACTTCAATCAGCTGTGGGTTCTGCTGCCTTGATTCGTGGCATGAAATTCATGCCGCACACTGAGTGAGTGTTGTCACATCTTGTCACGTATTGTCAGCATTAGAATCCTTTCTCCCAAAACTAAAGTCGTTTGAGAGGTGTAGGAACTGCATGCGGCCAAGGATGCACTTCCCGGGCACTTGCGATTGCTTCGCTCAAAGCAGATGCAGTCACGCGCTGCACTTGCGAGAGGCTGATGATATCCTCCAGCCTTTCACTGGGGCACAATTGGCAAAACTGAGAATGAAAAGAAGAAGAAAAAGAAGAAAAAGAAGAAGAAGAAGAAGGGCAATTCACATGTCTTGGTATGTCTTCAAACTGCTTCAAGATTGCAATGCCGCCCAAATTGCCTTTCCAGCGCTTGCATCTGCATGAAGCGAGCTTCTGCGCGCTGGATAGTTTCCAGCATCTGCACCTTGAGCGTTTTGGCCTCTTGTAAATTTTGGGACAGCAAGGGCAAGCTGCTTCCTGACACAATGCCACAGGATGCCACAGGATGCCACAGGATGCCACAGGACTGTCTAAGAGAATCCATTAGTCCGCAGGGTAGGTGCAAGAGCTCAATCTCTGTGAAACCACAACAAACGGCCATTAATTCTCCTGTTCAATGGATGACATGCAGAAGCCGTCCTTCAGTGGCTGCTTCCAACCTCAAATTCACCGCCTTCCAATCTTCAAGGATCGGTGCAAGCTCTGCAACTTTTTGCTGTACCTCATAACCACACACTGCATCTGCAACATGCGAAACACAGAGCACAGAAAACTCTGGGTTCTTGCACCCGGAATGACATCTTAAAAATCCAAGAAAGAAGCAAGAAGAAACCAGTTTGGGGACAGGTCAGGGTACAAATGGTGCGTCAACTGCTGCTGCGGTCGCAAGGGCCGACTGCAGCTCTTGGGCATCCGCGGTATCTGTGGCCGCTTCCAGCCCTGCAAACGCGTCCAAGATTGCCGCAGCTTCCCTGCAGAGTCGGGACACTTTATGTAGTGAATGGAGGAGCAAATAACGTTTGGTCGTCGTTGGGATTTTGCAGTGACATGAGATAGGCAATGTGGAGAGTGTGGCAGCATATGGCAATGTGATGCAACATGCTGTTTCTCCCTCCGCATTCACAGCCGCCTCATTGAAGCTGAGTCAAGATCCTCTTTGAAGGCATGACGTGCAGAACGGAGGCGCCCCACGCTATCTCCCATCATTGCCAAGTGCAGCTCACAAGTCAGGCACACCAGGAACCCACAGTTCCCACGGCAACACCAGCATTCTACAGCCTTACCTGGTGCACCACACATGCTGCAGGCGCCAGAAACTTTTCGCAGTACACAGCTCGCTTGACAATCGTTGCATTTCCGGGCAGCTTCAGCCTCGTACACACTCAGCGCACTCACGTCCTTCTTGGAGACGCTCGAAGCGCTAGAGCCACAGCCCATAGCGGCAAGTGCATCATGCTATGAAGACATTCTGCTTCAGCAACGCGCCTATCCTTTTTCATAACATTCAACTCTGAAAGAAATGCTTACAGCGCAGATGATATGCAAATACAAAACAATACAAATATATTAATAAGTATATATAAACCAAAATCACTTTTGTCTGCGTTGATCTGCTCTACTTGGATCAGTTCTCTCCACTTCACCTCTATGAGAAGTCTTTATACTACCAAACTAATCACGGTCGAAAGCCTCTTGGGAAAGCAAAACCACCTGCGCAGATCAATGACATAAAGAAAGGCTAAGTTCTGCTGAGATCAACACATTCCAATTGCACGTGGATGCCCTGTGTTTCATTCGCTATCATTCGCTACCTCCCTGTGTCAGGATTGGGGTATGCACGCTGGCTGCCTTCCGTAGCAGTGCTGCGTAATCGTTTCTCAGGCACGCTCTTCGGAGTCAAACCCTCATTCTCTGTTACCCATCATTGCCAGATATTGCCAGGGTAAGTCACGACCTCGTGAGTTCAATATGCAAGATAAGCTCCCCATGCGCTACTCCATGTTCAAGCAGCAATGGCAGGCAATGATTGACTTTTTCCTCTGTGTTGCTGACGCCTCTCCAGTCCAGACACTGCTAACATCTGCTGACAGATTCAGCACATTGAAACTAAACCAACCTTTTTCAAACTCACATTTTTCACATGTAGGGGTGGATGGCTTTGATGCCGCTCCTTGGGCTCAGAGTTTCTAAGAGAAACAAATAGCACCGAGCGACAGCAACAGCAACAAATGATAATAAGAGTGACTATATATAGTGACTTGCGAATTCATTGATTATGCAATTTCAGAATGATATTGAATATTATTGAAAATTTTGACACTACAGGAGAAAGATTCATGTGTGGTAAGCTAACCAAGATTCAACACTTGCTCATAGGTCTTCACATATGTGGCATCGGCCTTGGGCTCCAACACCATCACCTGAGACAACAAATGGTTGAAAATGTCGAAATATGTTGAGCAGCTGCAAGGTACATCGAAATGCAACGGTTATTGTCTGATCGTCCATGTTGGCTCCTTTGCCGAGTCGCCAAGCTAATTGGCCGCTTAGTTTGACAAGCTGCACCCAATTGGTGGCGCGAGGAGACATAACAATAGTACACGCCCTTCTCCTGGTTTCAAACTTGAGAGCAGGCGGAGGCGGACGAAAGGTAGTGTAGTGGGAGAGGAGTGGTGTCAAAATGCTGCGCCCCTAAGATGATACACCAAAAACGTTTTTGCGCAATCTAAGATGATTTTATCCAGAGCATGACTGCATGATACGGTGTCTTGTGCAGCGTGAAATGATGCACGAAAAGGGATTTATTTAAAAATATTTAAAACCCCTTTTTAAGACCCCTTGCAGCAACTGTTATTGAGGCTGAAGCAAACCAATTATGCTGGACTACAGGGACATCTCCCTTATGGAGAGTGTGCCTCTAATGTGGGGGCCCGTGACCGCGTCACCCGTGGGAATTGAACCCATGACCATTTTAGAGGGGGCCCCCCCCCCCCTATAATTGATATCCAATACATAACGGCGAGAATTCCACGTTTGACCCGGGCTGGCTCCCCAATACCCCCTATGCTTGTGCTGAAGCACGGAGAACTCAGGTAGCTGACGCTACCTTTCGTGACAATTCGGCACTTCTGACACTATCCAGCACCATCTGTACCCTCAACATGTGTGTGTGTGTGTCTATGTCTATTGCCAAAACGCATATCGTTACATTATATTAGTCATCTAAGTCCATTCTGCCTGTCTGTATATTTTCTTTGTCATCACGCGTAATTTTATACAGTATGTGTGTGTGTCGGTGTTTCACTTATTTAGTATTTGTTTTTTCATGTTTCTTCATTATGTTGATGTATATGCGTAGGTATCTACAATATATATATATATGTGTGTGTGTGTTGATATATAAATATATAAATATATAAATATATAAATATATAAATATATAAATATATATTTATATATGTTATGTTATATATTTATATATTATATCAACATAAATATACATTGCATTATGTATATATACGTATAATATATATATATATATTATATATTGCTATACCCCTGTTTTGTTCATAGCTAAACTTTAAAGCGTGACAAACCTGCAGGCTAAAGGGGGCGGCAACGCCTGCGGCAGAAATCTAGAAATTGTGGGCCAAAATAGCGGGCCACCCTCCAGCCACTTTTCCCCGAACTAACTCTTGCAGCTCTCCCAGGCCCACCCCCAACTGTTTCCACCCAGGTTCTCCCAGGAAATCCTGGAAATCCCGGAAACCCCACAAAATCGCAGAAAATAACACCCAGGTTCTCCCAGGAAATCCCGGAAACTCCACAAAATCGCAAAAAATAACACCCAGGTTCTCCCAGGAAATCCCGGAAACTCCACAAAATCGGAGAAAATAACACCCAGGTTCTTCCAGGAAATCCCGAAAACCCCAAAATCGCAGGAAATCACTAATTTCCTGGGAGAACCTGGGAGAACCTGGGAAAACCTGGGAGAACCTGGGCGAACCTGGGAGTTGGGATTGACCTGGGCAGCCTTAGGCGGGGCGACCTGGACAGGGTTAGCCTGAATAAACCACGCATATGTAAACCAGAGCAGAATTGGATAAAACACAACTAACGAATAGTGCTGAGCCAACACCGTTTTGATGTGTATCCTGCACCATTCAGAAACCAATTTTAACACCCAGAAACCCTCAAAAATTAAAACCCATGCCCCAGAATCCTGATTTACATTATAATATGCATTACAGGTGTTTATCAATATATATATATATATGTGTGTGTTATTATTTATATGGTTTATATATACATACTTTATTATTTATATTTTATATACAGTATATATATGTATATATTATGTATGTATGTGAATATATGTATATTATATATATGTGTGTGTTTTTTCCATTTTTTTCCCCCACATCTTTGTGCGGGGTTCTTGTTTTTGATTCTGTATCCCGCCGCCTCGTCGTCCTCCTCGTCCTCCTCCGCCGCCTCGGCGTCATCCACCATCTTTCACACCACCATCTTTCACACACCAACTTTGTCACCGCCATCTTTTACACACAATCTTTGTCACCCACCATCTTTCACACACCATCTTTAACACACAACATCTTTCACACACCAACTTTGTCACCACCATCTTTTACACACAATCTTTGTCACCCACCATCTTTCACACACCATCTTTAACACACAACTTTGTCACACAACATCTTTCACACACCAACTTTGTCACCACCATCTTTTACACACAATCTTTGTCACCCACCATCTTTCACACACCATCTTTAACACACAACTTTGTCACACAACATCTTTCACACACCAACTTTGTCACCACCATCTTTTACACACAATCTTTGTCACCCACCATCTTTCACACACCATCTTTAACACACAACTTTGTCACACAACATCTTTCACACACCAACTTTGTCACCACCATCTTTTACACACCATCTTTGTCACCCACCATCTTTCACACACCATCTTTATCACACAACTTTGTTACATTACACAACTTTGTCACCACTATCTTTCACACACCACCTTTGCCCCCTACCAACTTTGTCACACACCATCTTTCACACACCAACTTTGTCACCACCATCTTTTACACACAAACTGTGTCACCCACCATCTTTCACACACACCATCTTTAACACACAACTTTGTCACACAACATCTTTCACACACCAACTTTGTCACCACCATCTTTTACGCACCATCTTTGTCACCCACCTTCTTTCACATACCATCTTTAACATACAACTTTGTCACACACCATCTTTCACACACCAACTTTGTTTTGTCACACAACATCTTTCACACACCAACTTTGTCACCACCATCTTTGACACACCATCTTTGTCACCCATCATCTTTCACACACCATCTCTAACACACAACTTTGTCACACACCATCTTTCACACACCAACTTTGTCACCCACCATCTTTCACACACCATCTTTGACACAACATCTTTCACCACACCATCTTTCTTTCACACACACAACTTTGTCACACACCAGCTTTCCTCCACCTCCTCCTTTGTCTTTCCTTCCTTCCCCGTCCCCGCTACAACATTTGTTGCTCATTATTGGAAGAAGTTGACTTGTGGGGTTATCCGGTCCTTTAATTATCATATTATATTATAATTTATAATGCATTATATGATATTATATTTTATATTATGCTATACTATTTATAATATATATATATGTATATTGTGCGTGTGAACGTATAAATTTATGTGTATATATATATTATATAATTGTCTGTGGCCCAGCTGCTGGCGACAGAGCGTCAGCCCTAAACAGGTCAACTGCGGATTCGAAAGCTCTCAGCCCAAACGTGTTTCAAAAGAAGGCTAATACGCAAAGCACACAGCAAATCACTCCTCTGCCAGCAGAGGAACATGCGCAAAGACATCCTAAGGTGCAGGCAAGGGTACAAACCCAGAAAAGAGGCTGCGCGAATACCTTCTGGAGTCTAGCCCTTTGACTGAAGCTTCTGAGGGAGCCACCATGGGGTAGATGTCGGCAGCCTTAGTCGCAGCTTCTTCGATGTGACGTTGGAAGCTATTTGGGCAATTTGACAAGCAGGTAAATCAGGTAAGGTACAGACCAGGAAACAAATTCCTTTCTGACCTTTCCGCATTGCTTTGGTGCACTCTGGCACCCCTCGCCTGAGAAACATCCGCGCTATTCCGCGCTACACACAACATGTCACAACATGCAAGATCCACATTGCAAGCATGCGCAAGCAAGAATACTAGGCACGCATCAGGAATGCCAGGCATCTAGCCTTGTCTGCTTTTCGGAAATAGCTTTCTTCAGAAGCTTCAACGCACGGTCCAACAGTTTGTCCTTGGGCAGCCCAGGCAACAAGGTGAGACTCACAGCTCACATTTTCCATGGTTGGCCAAGTTGCTGCAATGAGAGGGTCCGCCAATGGTGAAACGTACAAAGCCTTGCGAGGCTCCTGCCAACAAATCAACATCAAATGTCACATCATGTCAATCTGTCTTGGTCAGCGCTTGCACTCTGTACTCTTGCAATCCCGTTGTGATCTCATTGTTTTGATCTTGCGGCTGGTGCGGCTGTGAAACCCTGTGCTTGCAAGACTGAAAAGCTTTTGAGCCCAAGTAACTCAGCTAAATTCAGCTAATGCCAGCTGGAAAGCTGCAAACACATCAGACCAAGCCACTGAGATCCCCGCAAACCCACGGCCCCCAGATTTGAAATCGGTCGGATTCGGTCGGATTCGGCCGGATTCAGTGGGCCTTTGGCTGATCTTGGCGCTGCAAAATGCTGAAAGAGAACGAAGAGAATCACGCGTAGACTGTGCCAGTGGCACTGGGCCTCTTTGCCTCTTCCACTGCATCCCAAAAGGCACAAAGCTCAGGTCGACCATGTGGAGTTGCTTCAGCCGTGGCGCCACCAGGAAGAGAAGCGTTCAGGACAATGTTCCTGGCACAAATCAAAGGGCTACCAACATATTCAGAAGCGATTCATTGTTTGATAATGTTTGGTATATTTAAAATATCTTAAAACGATCGTTGTTCTTGTTGTTTGATTAGATATCATGGGTAAGGGCAGCAATAATGGTTTTGTGGCACTTTTTTGGCTATCATGTGGCATACATGTTCCCGCCATATGTTTCTTTGAACGGCAGTCATGACAGCCTTGATTGGGATGTAGCTTGACACTTTTAGGGACGTCGCGAAACATGTTGAACTCCTGCCTACTACTCTGAAACCCAGCCTTGCAGCGACGTCTATAGTCTATATAAGTGCATCCAAGCTGCTGAGTGACTTCCCCACTTTCAAACTTTGGCCAGAGACGAGTGCCGCAGATGGGAGAATCTCGGCAGTTTGGATCGCCACTCCCAGCCACATTGGTCCAAAAAGTGCCCACGGTCTGTGCAAAATCCCACTCCTTGTCATTGAAGTATGCTCGGTAGCCCTCGTGACCAAAGCGACTGGGGGCATAGCATGCTTCACAACGCTCCAGATGGGGGCAATCTGGGGTGGTCAAGCCCCAAATGCCACAGCAGCTACCATCCTCCATGAAGTTCGGCTGGCCAAGTACAAAAGTAACCTCATCCTGATGTGCAGCTCCAAGATATGGCAAATGAAAGTTGGGTACCGCAGTGCAGTTGGAATTGCCAGTGTACCTCAGGCTGCCAAATGAAAGAGCGCAAGTGGAAAGGCTTCTGAAAGACCATTAGTTTTCCAACTTTTTCAATAATCTGCGCTGTTTGCTCAACTGAGCCCCCAACCAGTAGTCAAACCGATAAGCAAAAGCAAATCCCGGCCGCGCTTGGTTGAACCAGGAAGCCCGCCGCCGGATGCCGCACAGCATCTGGTCAGACTCCACGTTACCAAGCTGGTGCACATTCCTGGGAGACTGCTGGAAAACTTTCCATGCATCATCCTGTGATACTGTCATCGGTACATCTCATGGAAGGCTGTGCAGTCCCTTAAGAACAGCTTGTCAATTGCAAATGCAAAACGTTAACTTGTTTGTGGCGCTCTCAGCCCGCGATTCTATTAAGTCATTCCATGTAATTATTCTAATCGAAAGTGTGTTCGACGGAGTCACCTGGCTATGCTGTGCCGGGACATTGATGATTTTCTTGTAACGGCGCACCGAGGACTACGATCCCTGTTTGGTCGCCACATCGTCCCAGTTTTGCCACGTTCAACTTTGGAATGACATAAGACATTACAAGACGTACGCTGCAACCCCTACGTGTGGCCAATCCTCTGACATGCTCAAATCCCTGCGTAAAGCTAGCGTTTTTGTTGACTTTCCAAAACATCAAACCCTAGGTCTGGCGCGGACATGTGTGCATCATACTGCAGCCGATTCAAACACAAGCAGGATGTATGCCTGGGCGCGCATGTTCGTGAACATTGTGATGATTATGTGGTTTTAAATGTGGTTTTTGTATGTTTTTGTCACGTCTTCACCTTCTCTGGGGCGCTGACTTGATACCATCCTTGGAGTCTGCGGGATACAGTTTCAGGGCCTGCTAACATTGAAACGAAATCTCGAAAGGCATGGAAAGGCATGGAAAGGCATCACCTGGCACATGACAAGCCTATCCAACACAAGAAATTCAGAAATGCGCAAAGCCGCAGAGCCTGCTTCACAAATTTAGGACCGACCCGCGTAAGGACTTCTGCACCTCAGCTGTTGAGATCTCGGAGGAGTTTCACCATGGTTCACCAAGCGGGACAAACGAGCGTGTCTTCATACATGTTCTTCTGGAGCAGCATTCGTGTCAAATAGCATTGGCACATATTGGCACATATTTCCACACAAATCGTGACAAATCCATACAAATACAGAAATCCACATATTGCACCATATATTGCATCAATCATATTGCCACCTGACACATCCTTACACATCCTTACAAAACATTCTGTGTTGTTTGAAAATGTTTGAAATGGTTTTACGTGGCCTCGGGCTATGTGTGCTTTGCAATCAAGTTTCCGTATGCCATCACGGAGAGAGGCTTCAGGGCTCCATCAGGATGATCATTAGGTTGATCCAAGCCGTCCTCGGCCAAGGGTGCCATAACAGCTCCATAGGGCCATAGATGGCCATAGGGAGACATGAAAAGAAAATGTCGCACCATGTCGCACCAGGTACGCATCCCAACAGCAACATGCTGCAAGAATCAGTTTGAATGGCACTGCCTTTCACATGTTCCCAACATTTCCCAACATTTCCCAACATGTCCCAACTATCTGGGCCTTGGTATGGCTGCGGAACAGGAAGAGATTGCTGTCGTTGGTCTGGGCTCCGAGGACTATGGTGGCGTCATTGACCATTCCTTTTCGCAGCAACTCCTGGCAAAACATGAAGGTCTCATGGTGATTTGCACGGGTTTCAATGATGACTAGATATGATTGGCAATGTCTGCATGACTATTAGGGGTGGATGTTATTGGCCGGATCTGCTCCAAGCTCCTCTGGTGCTAGGGGGAAGGTGACGCCATCTGATGTAGGCGACCACCCTGCAACGTAGGTCGTGCGCGTAAGGTTCACTGCTGGCACCTCAGCACATTCCAGCAAGGTGCAGGACCGACGGAAGACCATGTCGAGCACGAGAAATCTACGTATGACATCTTTGAGTGAAACTCCTTCAACTATGTTTTCAACTATCTTCAACTTCTGGATTGTGCCCCACTATGTTTTTGTGTCTCACGCCTCTCTTGGCCAAGCGTCCGCTGCCAGGCAGGTCTTGTTTGCCACATGTTTGGAAGTCAAGCAGCCCATGCTTCCAGCAATTGCCGTGGAAGTTGCCACGGCTGTTGCCAGACTTCCAGCACTGAGGCCGCCTTCAGAGAGCAGTCACAGTCGTTTCTCACATGGCAGTGATATGCAGTGAGAAACGGCATGAAATGACCAAGCAATGAGCCAAGGCAGCTGACGCGGAAGTGTAAAAGGCACTGACAGGGGCCACAAATGAACACGGCCGGCGCGGCCTGACTCGCTGATCGCGCCACGGAAAAGACCATTGGAGTGAGGCGCTACATATTGAAGTTCCACCAGGCCTTAGTGCATCAGAAGAGTCCTGGACTTCCTGCCTGCACCAGAACTCAGATTTCCAAAAAGTTGCCCAGTCATCTCTGTGTCTGCTGTCCAGCAGCTTGCACCCGAACTTTGCCCATGGATCGCGACTCGCGCCGCATCACCTCCAAAGGCTGCGATTTCGCGCTGGACCCATCGCAATGCGCCTAGAAGCGTGGCAGGTGGCTCAGAAACCCTTGGACTATTTGTTTCTTCTCACTGGGTGAGCCCTGGACCACTCTGGACCTGCATTACCACGAGACATCACCATCAAGCAAACGACGATTGATGTCCAAGGCACTCTGAATGTCCAAAACTCCCCAGTTGCCAGTTGATTTCTTGGCGTCGACGTCTTCTTGGAAAGCCATCCAGCCAAGTGGCCCAGTTCTATAGTTGAAAGAGACGCACACCACGCTATGAAAAGCTGCCAAAGCACTCCTTGTGAAACAACTTGCGTGCAAGAATGGGGGGTACGTGGAATGGAAGGGACAGGAAACTATTTTTTCAGCAATTCAAAATCTGCTAAAAAAAATAGACTCAGGAAAACCAGTGTCAAAAGGTACAAAAATTGGAGATGAGGTGCATATTGTATGGCTCGGCTTCCCCAAACTGGTTCGACCCTCCATAGATAAAGACCATGACAGGAAGCTTCTTGTCTGCTTCCCAGGCCTGGTGCGGGCTCCACACATTGGCCTTCAAGCAATCCTCACTTCCGTAGGTCTGTGTCGGGTCTCCAGCTACTTGCATACAGGCTGGACCCCACATAGACGCTTTCACTGTGCCGCTTGGATACTTCCCATGAAAATCCTCTGGTGGCTCGAATCTCTTTGCAGTTGCAAAAGGAATTCCAAGAAACTGATCCACGTCAACACCACCGGAACTGGCGGGCAACGTAGTTCCGACAACTGATCCTCCACTCGTTTCAGGCCAGGGTTTGGCACATGCCAGTGGAAAAAGCACCAAAAGAAAGCGTGCCATGCTGCTCGCGCAAGCCATCCACCGAAATGACTGGTGCTACAACGCAGAAAGTTGAGCCAAGCAGCCGGGATAACAGACGGTCTATGCAAATTTTCTTGGGCATGATGAAAAAGTAAAAGGACATGAACAAGCAAGCAGAGCACAGCAAACACCAGCAGAAGCATGCAGAAGCTGCTTGTCTGCCACCCACAGCAATTCATAATGATTCAACTGCTGCTGCGAAGGGGACATCAAAGGACTTGCCCTTGGCTCCTCCTCTTCCTCTTCAGCCATCAAGACACTATCGGCTGCTCGAAGCAGCCAGTGCTCGGGGGCAACATTCACCGGAAGCTGCGAGCCAAATCTCACAAGAAAGGCGGTCTTATCAAAACCTCACCCGTCATCCCTAATGTAACCCGATGTGCCACCCCAAACGCATGCTACAGTACTTGACAGCCACCCTTATCATCAGGGAGCGTACTTACATTAACACACAGACACACACACACACACTTGCGAAGTCATGAAAGACGGTCTCTTTTCATGAATGCAAAGTCTGATTACCTCATGGTAGATTGAAGGCATCACTCGGCCATACCGAGTTAAAAAAGGCCAAGCTTATCCGTTGACATTTGAATGTCAGGTTGTTTAAAAGAGAAACCAATACGGCTCAATCAAAAGTGATCATGAAATGACTGAATGACGGCATGCAGGTTCTTGGGTTAGCCTGATCCCATAAAGTACTAACAGATACGAATATGACCACCAGCTATGACCCCAACATATTGGGTATGTCATCCAGGTGCATCATGCAGGTACGTTTTCACAACCTAAGGTGAGCGTCTTCATTGGCACAAGACTCACCAAAGGTCCTTGTGCCCCCTGCTGTGAATTAAGGTGCAATGGTATCCATAATTTATGGAAGAAAGCAGTTAAAAAAACTAGTTGGTTGAAATCAGCCGCAAAAAGTGAGGAACTCTTCGGTACAGAGCTTGACACACACAAAAAGGCACGTAGCCGGGCTTGTATTCCTTTAAAGGCGAGAATGGAAGACATCATCAAGAGATTTGTGAAAAAAAACGCAGAGGAACATTTGCAACCTCATCAGCGTGTCAGTAAATATTTTTTTTTGCCACAGCCAAAAGGTTAGGTATGCTTGAGCTGCCTTCTGTACAGGACGCGTTGGCAGTCTGTTTTGGAGAACCCTTTCTGTACATACAGCTGAATGAGTTGGTTGAGATCATCACGGACAAATTCTTTGGGAAACGTGTATCTGCGAATTAAGGTTGCACGGGACTTTAGTCCGGACAAGCGGAGACGCATGCTGCCAGCAGAATGGAGATGACGAATTTCCCATAGTGGAGGTACTTGGTACCTTACGGTTCGTTGCACTACGTCAATGGTGAACCCAAGGAGTGTACCATCTTGGACGGTTTCCAACTCCACCGGCGCTTGATAAAAGAAACAATCGGAAAGCACTCGCATGGGCAGTGCAGAGCGAAAACGGTGATCAAACAAAATGAATCTGTTGTCCACATAATCTTGTGAACAGAAGCCTTTCTGCACATATAACCGAGATAGTGCGTGCAACGAACTCTGTGCTTGACATGACAGAAATGAATATTTACGAATTAAATGAGCTCGACTCTTCAGTCCGCTCAAACGCAATCGGAGGGTTCCGGCTGAAATGATTGTTCTTTCAGAAACATCAACATAAAAGCCGAGAAGTAAAATTGTCGGCAACCAGCTCCAGTTCGACTGGACTACCATAAAAGTCCAAGTCTGTAAACACTCTGAACACTGGAGCATGAAGATGGTGCTTCTGTACAATGACAAAACGGCTGTCGACGTACCTGATTGCAAGATGATGAAAATTTGGTTGAGTCAGGACTTCTTGATAGGTACTGCTCCACGGTCTCTCGATAAGCGTCACGGCCAAGTTCGAAAGTGTTGGAGAAATCTGACTTCCTATTCCAGCGCCCCTGATTTGGCGCCATACAACACCAAGTGCTGTGAAAAAGTGAGTCCGCTGTACACGTGGGTCGACCCCCTGCCTTAAAACTGAAAAATTGAAAAACTGAAAAACAGAAAATTCGCAAACCCCTTGGAAACAGGGGTTGACCCTACACACAAAAGCCTATCGCCGCTGGTATTTGTCGGCCACAACGCACTGTGAATATCTGACAAAGCGAAGCCTTTCTGTACATATAACCGAGATAGTGCGTGCAACGAACTCTGTGCTTGACATGACGGAAATGAATATTTACGAATTAAATGAGCTCGACTCTTCAGTCCGCTCAAACGCAATCGGAGGGTTCCGGCTGAAATGATTGTTCTTTCAGAAACATCAACATAAAAGCCGAGAAGTAAAATTGTCGGCAACCAGCTCCAGTTCGACTGGACTACCATAAAAGTCCAAGTCTGTAAACACTTGGAACACTGGAGCCTGAAGATGGTGTTTCTGTACAATGACAAAACGGCTGTCGACGTACCTGATTGCAAGATGATGAAAATTTGGTTGGGTCAGAACTTCTTGATAGGTACTGCTCCACGATCTCTCGATAAGCGTCACGGCCAAGTTCGAAAGTGTTGGAGAAATCTGACTTCCCATTCCAGCGCCCCTGATTTGGCGCCATACAACACCAAGTGCTGTGAAAAAGTGAGTCCGCTGTACACGTGGGTCGACCCCCTGCTTTAAAACTGAAAAATTGTAAAACAGAAAAACAGAAAAATTCGCAAATCCCTTGGAAACAGGGGTTGACCCTACCCACAAAGGTCTATCGCCGCTGGTATTTGTCGGAAAACCGAGATAGTGCGTGCAACGAACTCTGTGCTTGACAGGACGGAAATGAATATTTGCGAATTAAATGAGCTCGACTCTTCAGTCCGCTCAAACGCAATCGGAGGGTTCCGGCTGAAATGATTGTTCTTTCAGAAACATCCACATAAAAGCCGAGAAGTAAAATTGTCGGCAACCAGCTCCATTTCGACTGGACTACCATAAAAGTCCAAGTCTGTAAACACTTTGAACACTGGAGCTTGAAGATGGTGCTTCTGTACAATGACAATAAAGCTGTCGACGTACCTGATTGCAAGATGATGAAAATTTGGTTGAGTCAGAACTTCTTGATAGGTACTGCTCCACGATCTCTCGATAAGCGTCACGGCCAAGTTCGAAAGTGTCGGAGAAATCTGACTTCCTATTGCAGCGCCCCTGATTTGGCGCCATACAACACCAAGTGCTGTGAAAAAGTGAGTCCGCTGTACACGTGGGTCGACCCCCTGCCTTAAAACTGAAAAACTGAAAAACAGAAAAATCGCAAATCCCTTGGAAACAGGGGTTGACCCTACACACAAAGGCCTATCGCCGCTGGTATTTGTCGGCCACAACGCGCTGTGAATATCTGACAAAGCGAAGCCTTTCTGTACATATAACCGAGATAGTGCGTGCAACGAACTCTGTGCTTGACAGGACGGAAATGAATATTCACGAATTAAATGAGCTCGACTCTTCAGTCCGCTCAAACGCAATCGGAGGGTTCCGGCTGAAATGATTGTTCTTTCAGAAACATCAACATAAAAGCCGAGAAGTAAAATTGTCGGCAACCAGCTCCAGTTCGACTGGACTACCATAAAAGTCCAAGTCTGTAAACACTTTGAACACTGGAGCCTGAAGATGGTGCTTCTGTACAATGACAAAACGGCTGTCGACGTACCTGATTGCAAGATGATGAAAATTTGGTTGAGTCAGAACTTCTTGATAGGTACTGCTCCACGGTCTCTCGATAAGCGTCACGGCCAAGTTCGAAAGTGTTGGAGAAATCTGACTTCCTATTCCAGCGCCCCTGATTTGGCGCCATACAACACCAAGTGCTGTGAAAAAGTGAGTCCGCTGTACACGTGGGTCGACCCCCTGCCTTAAAACTGAAAAATTGAAAAACTGAAAAACAGAAAATTCGCAAACCCCTTGGAAACAGGGGTTGACCCTACCCACAAAGGTCTATCGCCGCTGGTATTTGTCGGAAAACCGAGATAGTGCGTGCAACGAACTCTGTGCTTGACAGGACGGAAATGAATATTTGCGAATTAAATGAGCTCGACTCTTCAGTCCGCTCAAACGCAATCGGAGGGTTCCGGCTGAAATGATTGTTCTTTCAGAAACATCCACATAAAAGCCGAGAAGTAAAATTGTCGGCAACCAGCTCCATTTCGACTGGACTATACCATAAAAGTCCAAGTCTGTAAACACTTTGAACACTGGAGCTTGAAGATGGTGCTTCTGTACAATGACAAAAAAGCTGTCGACGTACCTGATTGCAAGATGATGAAAATTTGGTTGAGTCAGAACTTCTTGATAGGTACTGCTCCACGATCTCTCGATAAGCGTCACGGCCAAGTTCGAAAGTGTCGGAGAAATCTGACTTCCTATTGCAGCGCCCCTGATTTGGCGCCATACAACACCAAGTGCTGTGAAAAAGTGAGTCCGCTGTACACGTGGGTCGACCCCCTGCCTTAAAATTGAAAAACTGAAAAACAGAAAAATCGCAAATCCCTTGGAAACAGGGGTTGACCCTACACACAAAGGCCTATCGCCGCTGGTATTTGTCGGCCACAACGCGCTGTGAATATCTGACAAAGCGAAGCCTTTCTGTACATATAACCGAGATAGTGCGTGCAACGAACTCTGTGCTTGACAGGACGGAAATGAATATTTGCGAATTAAATGAGCTCGACTCTTCAGTCCGCTCAAACGCAATCGGAGGGTTCCGGCTGAAATGATTGTTCTTTCAGAAACATCAACATAAAAGCCGAGAAGTAAAATTGTCGGCAACCAGCTCCAGTTCGACTGGACTACCATAAAAGTCCAAGTCTGTAAACACTTTGAACACTGGAGCCTGAAGATGGTGCTTCTGTACAATGACAAAACGGCTGTCGACGTACCTGATTGCAAGATGATGAAAATTTGGTCGAGTCAGAACTTCTTGATAGGTACTGCTCCACGGTCTCTCGATAAGCGTCACGGCCAAGTTCGAAAGTGTTGGAGAAATCTGACTTCCTATTCCAGCGCCCCTGATTTGGCGCCATACAACACCAAGTGCTGTGAAAAAGTGAGTCCGCTGTACACGTGGGTCGACCTCCACTAGAGGGAAGGCTGAAAACGGTCTCAAGGGAGGAGGAGCAGGAACTCTGGGAGGAAGAACATGCGCTCTGGGAGGAATGTTTCCAACATACGGGTCCCAAAGACCAGTATGAATGTGCCATTGACCTGGTGGAGGACGGAGAGCTTGAGAGAAAGAAGAAAGAGCCGTTCTAACTGACCTACCTCTTTCAGATCTCGAAGTGGACCTCAGAGAATGGTGATCACGATGATGGTGACGGTGATGGGATGCTCGATGACGACGTCTTGTTCTGGATCTGGAGAAACTTGATGTTGTGCGTCTTTCCTGTTTGTCATCATCTGTTCCAACCGGCACCTGAGGTTGGACTGCTGACGGTCGACGAGGTACGGAGATCGTTCCTGGAATTGCGGCTGGGGCTACTACCGGAGTTGCTGGAGGAGCATGTGGTGTCAATGCCAGTCTTACTGCTGGCTTCGCCGGTGCCTTGGGTGGCCGAGGTGGAGTCGGGTCCACGTTGCCGGCCACAAAATAAACATTATACACCGGAGTCGACATGGCTCAGAAATCTAGAGAAAGGAAAATGGAAAATGTGTTGTCTAATATGACAACTTGCTAACTGTACAAGGATTGATCAGTTAGACAACTAACAAATGATAACGTATTGTTGCTTGCTCAACTGTACACCAAAAGGCATTCATGTGTACAAACACAATTCATCCATTTGGAATTCAATGCTGAGGCTTCAAGTGTGGAATTCAGAAAATTCATCTTATTGGTGACTATCAGTCGCCAAAATTGTCAAAAGTCAAATTCAAGTTCAAACTCAGTGGATTCAAGCTATTTTTGCCGGATAGCATACCGGGATCTATTCTCTCAAATGCACGCTTTGTGTCAGAGACACACGTTCAATCATTGCAATGAGCCACCGTGGCTGAATTCAAGAGTCAAATTCACTTGTGGATTCTCGCACTCCCAGGGGAGATACGACGCCTGGAATTCCAGGATCACGACCGGACTTTGACAGATCCCACGGCCGAAATACACACTTGCGAAGTCATGAAAGACGGTCTCTTTTCATGAATGCAAAGTCTGATTACCTCATGGTAGATTGAAGGCATCACTCGGCCATACCGAGTTAAAAAGGCCAAGCTTATCCGTTGACATTTGAATGTCAGGTTGTTTAAAAGAGAAACCAATACGGCTCAATCAAAAGTGATCATGAAATGACTGAATGACGGCATGCAGGTTCTTGGGTTAGCCTGATCCCATAAAGTACTAACAGATACGAATATGACCACCAGCTATGACCCCAACATATTGGGTATGTCATCCAGGTGCATCATGCAGGTACGTTTTCACAACCTAAGGTGAGCGTCTTCATTGGCACAAGACTCACCAAAGGTCCTTGTGCCCCCTGCTGTGAATTAAGGTGCAATGGTATCCATAATTTATGGAAGAAAGCAGTTTAAAAAAAACTAGTTGGTTGAAATCAGCCGCAAAAAGTGAGGAACTCTTCGGTACAGAGCTTGACACACACACACACACGCAGTGTTCAGCAAACAGTAAGTCCAATCCAAGATGGAGTGACCTTTGATGCCGGCTTAGTCGGCATCTCCAGCATGCCTGTGGATAGGCCTAGCCAAATCCGAGCTGCTTACCAGTTTGGGACGTGTAGGTGACAAACACACCGCCAAATAGATCCAAATAGCATGGAGGGAAAGGACAACTGCATTGCACGGCTGTGGGCTATTGTGAGCTCTTGAACCAAGCGCTTGGCCAGCCATATCAAAACGCGCGGTCTTTGCCCTGCACCATTGGAAGGAATTGAATTATTCAAATCACACTTCAGTCTGTGGTCACCACTTCAAAGTCTAGCGCTTTACGTGGACACCGCTGGGTTTCTTCCGTGTCGTCGGACTCTCTGCATTTGCCAGAAACATTGGCCAACGTACTGCTGCGCGCACGGGACAGCAAGCGGTACACTTGGGAGTTTCAATCCCGACTGTACAGGTACCATTTGGGCATTGGTTTCACCTTGCACTGAAGCGATTGTTTAAAGCTGCGCCGATTGCAGGCACAAATTACATGTCACATGCAATGTAGAGTCACATACCCTCTCCATGAATTGCGCTGACGTTTCATTCCCTACGGCCCTACACGATCCTACATGGCAAAGTCCCAGTAATGCCCTTATACATTGATGCCCTCGCGGGCAAAAGCCACAATCGGTCGTCCATCTGTCCCGTCCTTGCTGCCAGCCCGCAGAAAGCCTTGCCCCTCCAGGATGTGCGAGACAATGTTAGAAGGGCCATCAACCTTGACTTCTCCATGATCTCTCAAGAGCAAGGATAACGCCTGACTGGCATAGCCCTGCTTGCGAAACTCGGGTTCCACATAGATTTGTGTGACATAAGGAGTTCTGTCATCTTCGTCGAACTCTTGCAGCCCCCGGACTTTTCGATTCGCTGCCACTTCAGCTGCAACATATCCAACTGCAGTGGATCCTGGACCAAGAATGAAAAACGCACTCTTCTCACGACAGCACGCTTCGTTGACCAAATCAGCATTTTCTCTGTGGCATTCCTCCTCGAATCGATCAGTCAAATTCAACAAGAGACAGTATTCTGGATGCGATTCCGTGTCCCTGCGGCAAGTGCGGCGCCCACTTAGCCGTCGGCGAACACCATGTTTGTCGCAGTCTGAACAGCGGCAAACGTGAATTTCATCCCCCAAGCTCGCTGAATCCCTGGGAGGTACTCGAAGTAGTTCATGCTGAGCTGGCTGACGCCTGACAGGTGGTGCACCCCGGCTGACCAAGGTAAAACGCTGAACCGACACTTTCTCTTCCGAGTTTTCTTGTGGATCTCCTCGGCGCAATCGCCGGCGTGGAGGTGCATCTGCAGTTCCGTTCAGATCCACAAGTGCTGCTCGTTTCCGTTCATAGATTCGATCCAACAAACCTGGAGAACCACTTGGAGTAGACGACCGGCTCTCAAAAAGGTCTTGTGTCGGTGTGAGTGCCACATCAAGATCCTCGGGGTTCCTGCGCCTTGGAGAGGGCGTGCGCACGAATTGGGACATGCCTTGTTTTGGCCCAAACACGAAGTGCCGAAAGAACAAAAAACTTGAGCCAAATCGACTTTGGACTTCGAAGCCATCAAGGCATACATTGCAAACAGAGGCAATAGTGCAGCCCAAACCCCAGACTAAACACAAAGAGCCTCAAGAGACTGCCCATGTTGACAAGGGGTGACCTTCAAGCTTTGTGCTGAGCTGCGTGCATTGGGAGCCGTAGTGCTTGGTGACTTGAGAAACTTCACGATCGTATCCTGCAGAGTGGCATCAGCACGATGTATGCTTCTGATGTGTTCATGATTTCATGAACTTATTTTCATTGTGATTGAATTTCCTGTTGAAAGCGGAGCATGGTTGCCTTTTACTCCCGTGCAAGCCAGGAATACTCCTCAGCTTGCTGCTCCCAGTTGGATCTGCGTTGCTTCGCGGCTTTTTCCTGCGACTGTCAGCCCACAGCTTGGACTTTAAACTTTAGAATCTAAAGAACATCTACAATTTAGAATGCAGTGTCACAATATGTCACAATCACAATTATATGCTATAGAATCAGACTCAGAATCCATCGAACGCAATGAACACTTTGATGAGTCTTTGGTGACTTTTCCAGCTGATGTGACAAGCTCCGACTTATGTGAGCATGGTGGGCCCATGATGTGCACATGATGGGCACATGGCGGAGCTCCTCCGCTTCCTCCTCCCTTTGACGGCGGATGAACTTGGCCGTCCATGCCGCCTCTTTGAGCATCAGCTCCTGCAGCTTGGATCGCACCGAGTGGGAACTAAAACGACGATACCAAGCTGTGAGGGAGATTAAGATGATTAAGTAACTGATTAACAGAACAAAATGGAAAGGAGGAAAAAGCCAGGCTGCCCGTCACACTAGTTACTATGTAAGTCTCTGTCTCGACCGTGCCTGAATGCATCCGTGTCTTGGGTAGACGAAGTCACCCATTTTGCCTCTGCCGCTGTTGGGCCTGTTAAATCGCTTCAAAGACTGCCGGAAGGCTTTTGCGATGAAATCAGCATCTGCATCATCTATTCATTCTCACACAAGGCACTTCCAAATCTTCCAAGTGCCTTTGGAAAGTAGGGGAAGCTGTGCAGACAGCAAGACAGACAAGGGGATAACTCCAAGCCAAACTCTGCAAACATGGCGCGCAAAAAGTGGTTTTGAGACTGGGGACTTACAGTAAGTTTGCGGTCATCTGTATGATTGGAAACTCTCTCTCTCTCATTTTTATCATGATTGAACAATATCCAGAAGTGAGTGAATCATGTCCATAGGTTGCTTGATCTTTCATGTTTCTCTTGTTTTTGCACTTCTGTCCTCCAGGGCTTTAAGCAGTCCTCTCGCTTGTTGCGAGGGTCTGCTCTACAAACAGATTCGAAGGAGAAAGACCAGGATGATGCCAGCAACTGCCAAGCTAGTCGTCACGAAGAACAGAAAATGCTTGCTGCCTGATGCGCAAATGCACCACAAAATGCACGACAAATGAGGAATGTATGGCAAGTTCGGCAAGGTGTCCGGAGATGTCTAAAGCCCTGGAATCGTTTGCCCAGGTGGGTAATATCAATGAAATAAATGGAATAAAGCAACAATAAGCAACAGTAGGCCGGACATCTCTGGACAATTCTGAACATGCTATGACATGCTGGGAGAACCACAACTCCAAAAGTAAAATCAGCCGTTTCTTGCTTCAGTTTCCCTCGTTTCGACTCCTCGAAATTGAACCCGGCAGATTGGTGGAGGCACATACCTAGGCACATCCACAGTGTGGGTACGCGGGTATGAAAATGAAAGCATTGCAAGAAGCTTCTGCGCTGGCCTTTGCGATTCATGTCCATTCTATGCATGGTGAGCAAGCTCTATCATTATCATTCATTATCTATTTATGGGGCTTAAGCAAGTGCAAAGCTCAAATCATCCTACATCCTTGCAAATCCACAGAGAAATATGCATCTGCAGTGGATCTGCGCACACATGTGCCCATTGTTGGTGCACAATCTCGCCAAGCTGCTCATCCAGGTGAGCGAGTTTGAAATAGTTCCCTCCAAGTGCAATGTTTATAAATGCCTCGTCCGAGAGCTCTTTGTAGATTGCATTCACCTTCGCAAGCTCGTTTCCTCAACAAAGCAGTGCACTGCTGCACTAATCTGCACTAATCTGCATGTCTCAGTCATGTTCAATTCCATGGGTGAATGTGGCACAAGTAACAGGCTTCAAAATGATTACTCAGCAACTCGTTCAAGCTAAGCATGTCGCTGTAGGAGGATTCTGTTTTGGCAGCTGCTGCAACATGATCAGATCCGCTCAGAAACCGGGTAGGGTGCTTGTTGATCAATTCGATGTATGGTTTCTCCTCCTCACTGTCGTGATAGATGGAATCGTAGAGCACATCCCACGACAGATCTATATAAAGATTGGGGTACTGGTTCAATCTGTCATGTATAAGCTTCACGTGCTGCTGGATGAAAACAGGTCGCTGAAGAAGAGAGAGTTTGGGATCCAATTGCTTCGAAATCCCGGCCATGTGCACCCAAATGATCTTGTTCTTGGGGTACGTGCTGAGAACTTTGTCCATCAAAGGCAAAAACTTGGTACCATCCACCTCATCTCCCAAGTCAGAATGAATTGCCATTGGGATGTCTTGCCTTCTGAGCTCAGCCATGAATTGTTTCCACTTAGGGATTGATTCGATTGGAACTGGCTGCCCCGCCAAATTCTTCCACAAAGCCTGCTTCACCAAATTTATCTCACCCGCCCAGCGAAACATTCCGGGAAACTCAGTCTGCAGCAATTTCATGTTGGGCAGTATCGTTTCCGGATGATCCAAATCAAAGAAGGACATGGACAGAGTAATGAGAGGAGTGATGCCTGGCTGTTGGTTGTCCAACACGCTTTGGGCGTTGAAGAAGTCATTCTTCAAGCTGGGTTTGACGGGCGTGCCAGGGCAATCCAAATAGTAAGTGCAATTGGAATCCACTGGTAGGCGCTGCCCAATTCCATACAAAGTGGTGAAAAGGACGCCAGCACGCCTCTGCCTGTCCATCATCTCGCTAAATGGAACTGGCGGTCCTCCAAATGGCCGGGCATGTAGGTGGGCATCAACCACAGCCCAATTGTCGGTGACTGTGCGATCAAAGCATGACCTGGAGCCCTTTCGGAAGTCTGCTATTGCCGGCAAGACTTCAACTCTCTGAGCAAAATCGTCTGTGGCCACCATGACCTCTCAAAACAAGTATATGGGATGATGGCACACACATGCTACAGTAGCACATGCCAGCACGCACATACCAAAAGTCCACAGCAACAAGGACAACACATGTGAATCGACAGACTAAAAATCCTGGAACGATTGTCTTGCCATGTCTTGCCTGCTTCTTTTGCCTGGAGCTCGGGAAGCTCGTGGGTAGTTTCACCTTCGCCGCAAGGGGCGGGAATCCAACACATTGATTTAAATTCCGCTTTGCCAGAACAACAACACACTTCAACCATTTTTCTGCGAGCTCAGCAGGGCTGGATGAGGCAGTGCAAGTCTGCCAACAAGATGGCAGCTGTGAACCCGGAGGGAATAATGATTTACCTTCAATAATATCCCACAGGAAAATGGCGCATGACCGCATGAAAGACAAATATTTTCTCGGGAAAAACGGCACAGCTCCTTGAAGATGCTCTTGGCAAAAACTCTTGTGGGACGCTCGTGGTCTTGTGGGACATATTGTCAGATACTGTTGTGAGACTCTCGTGAGACAAGTTTGCAGCAAACGAGAAGTGTTGTGGCTCTCCATGGCTCTCCATGGCTCTCCTGCACACTTGTGTGAGACACTCTCGTGTGGGCACCCTTGCAAGGCACGAGAATATGCACAAATGTTGCGCCTGCCACACCAACAAACAAGCTCCAAAACCCCACCAAATGCTGCACCCACCACCTAATTCATAACCCTCGCCCTGTATATACTAGGCAGGCCTACTACCAGAAGGTATCCTGTAATTAATGCGGACTCCTTCGCACGGTTAAAGTGCTATGCAAAATAAAAAGGAACTACAGGGTCGGGCGCGTCAAAGGTGCTCGGGCGCTGCATGAAGCAAAATGCAACGCCACCTCTCTTAATTAAGTGCTACGCCTGCCACACAACAAGTACTTACTTCTACACAGACCACTCCAATCTAAATCATGGCGCCTAACACAGAAGCCAGGACATGCAAAAAGATGCGCCTGCCAAAATCGACACCTGCTGACACATTTCCTTTGGCTTCAGACGGTTGCAGAGACGAAACGAGGACAAACGAGCTGAACATGAACACCACATTTCGCTCAAGAATTTCCACACGAACACGCACACAACAAAAACAAGGCCAGTAGTAAGACTAGTAAGAGTACATTTCGCAACATTAGCCTGTTTGTTATTGTTTGTTTACATATGTTTGTCAAGTCATAGTGGGACAAGCATGAACAACCAGGCGTGTAAGTTTTCCATCTTGATCGGAGAACACGTGTCAGCGCCTTCTGAGGTAGTGAATGACGTCTGACTCTTTCCTAAGACAACCTTTCCAAGCAAAATGTGTTTCTTAATATTTATGTGTATATTGTGTGTATAAATATATATATATATATACGTGTGTGTGTGTGTCTATCTATCTATCTATCTATCTATCTATCTATCTATCTATCTATCTATCTCTATCATTCTCTATCTATCTATCTATCTCTCTCTCTGTCTGTCTGTCTGTCTGTCTGTCTGTCTGTCTGTTTATCTATCTGTCTATCTATCTATCTATCTATCTATCTATCTCTATCATTCTCTATCATTCTCTATCATTCTCTATCTATCTATCTATCTATCTATCTATCTATCTATCTATCTATCTATCTATCTATCTATCTATCTCTATCATTCTCTATCATTCTCTATCATTCTCTATCATTCTCTATCATTCTCTATCTATCTATCTATCTCTCTATCTCTCTATCTCTCTATCTCTCTATCTCTCTCTCTCTGTCTGTCTGTCTGTCTGTCTGTCTATCTATCTATCTATCTATCTATCTATCATCTATCTATCTCTCTCTCTCTCTCTCTCGACTAAGACACACATCGCAAGAGCCAAAGGCAGCCAGGGAATGGAAACTAGCGAGACGATCATTCCTATTACCATAGTAGATCACCAGGAAGACATGCAAATCCATGCAGTCACGTAGGTGCCCACCAGCAAGGTTCGATTCCAAGGCAACTCATTTGGGAGAAAAGACAAGAGCAGCGAAATCATGCCATGTGCCTCTGCCCCTTTATCCGGATGCGGTGCTCGGAGGTTCTCCTCAGCTAAAGAAGATTCACATTCAGTCACATTCCACTATATTCATCTATATTCCATTATATTCCACTATGATGCGCTGAATGTCGAGCATAGCCAGTTTACCATGTTTATCCCTCATGTCCATTCTAAACCAATCTCAAGGTTTGACCAGTTTTGCATCCGTTGCATGTTCGTGAATTCCTGCACCGCCCCATTTAGGTGTCCTGTTCTAGCAGGACCTCCGGTGCAGCACTGCAAACCTTCGGCGCAGTGAAGTTGAGGCCTAAGGATCTGCAGCAAGGCTGAAGTGACGCAGTTGCAAAGAAATGAGTGACCAATAAAGGAGGTAACTTCCTTGAGGTAGAGAAGACTGAGGGATATGAAATCAAAAAAGAACGCACAACAACAAACATCCCCAAACATCAACAAACACCACGGATCCTAGGATGAAACTCTATGGGCTGAAACGGGCTGAAGCATGGCGTGATTGCCTTGGGCCGCCCTGCCTGTCAAGTTGAAGTAGTTCTGTCCAAGCGCGATGTTCCGGAAGGCAACGTCACTCAGATTCAGGAATATTGCACTTGTCTTTTTGATTTCTTGTCCTCGGCGAGGGATACACCAACGGGAGGATGGAAAAAACCGTATGCATCCGTAAGCTAAGCTCTCTTTCAGGCCTCCCAGGCGGGAAAGCTGAAGAAAAGCAGGTCCAGATACTCAACAAGACCAATAATTAATATCCAATAATCATAAAATATGTCAAGGTCACATTGCGGCACAAACCAATGCTAAGCTCGGTACTGTATGTGTTCTCAGTCTTCTCCTCCGACGCCACATGGTCCGATCCACTGAGAAAGCGGTCTGGATATTTGTTGATCAAATTTACATAAAGCTCTCTTTCCGCTGGTGATGCGTAAAGTTCATCATAGAGAATGTCCCAGGATAGGTCGATCATCAGCTTCGGGTGCTTCTCCAAACGCTTGCCGATCATTGCGACATGATCCTCAATCGTCACCGGCACCTTGAGTTTTTGCAAAAGGGACACCCCTTTTGCAGCAAGGTGTGGCTTCAATTGCTTGGAGATTCCAGCCATGTGTACCCAAATGATCTTGTTGTTCGGATATGTGTCCAGGACCTTGTCCATCAAGGGAAGAAATTGCGTGCCATTTTCATCATTGCCAAGATCACAGTGCAAAGCAAGAGGAATGTCTTGCTTCAGAAACTCATCCATAAATGGCTTCCAAGTTGGAACGGTGTCAAGTTCAACAGGTAGTCCCTGATGATTCGGCCAGAGAGCTTGTTTCACCAAATTGATTTCGCCAACCCACTTGAACATCCCAGGGAATTCATTTTGCAGGAGCTGCATCTTCTCCAAGTTTCCAGCCGGATCATGCAAGTCGATGAAAGACATTGACAAGGTAATCCGTGGCCCACTTGGATCAGCTAAATCAGCTGCACTGTCTAGCACGCTTTGAGCGTTGAAAAAATCATTTTTGAGGCTTGGCATGACGTCTGTCCCTGGGCAGTCCAAATAATATGAGCAGCTAGAGTCAACTGGCAAACGTTGGCCTATGCCATACAACGTGGTAAACAAAATTCCCGCCCGACGCAAGCGACCCATCAAGTCAGAAAATGCCACAGGTTTTCCACCAAATGGTCTCGGATGTAAATGTGCATCAACTACTGCCCAGTTATTGTTGGCCTTTCTGTCGTAGCATTCTCCTGTCTGTTGGAAGTCTGCAAGCTTCAAAGGCGAACTCCTGTCTCCCTGCAACTCAAACATGCTCAACAGTTTCGGATGTTACTGTGGAAGGTCAAAATGGAAAGCCTTACAAGAGCAATCATTTCCCGCCTTCACCGCCAAAGCGTGAGTTAAACGGTGCCTAGGTCTCACATGTCCCACATCCACCGCCCCATATCAACTTAAATGTGCCCAAAAAAAAGTTAATGTCTCCTCAGATACTTGGCAGCATGCACACAGCAGAGATGCTCAAAGCGCTTTCGGCTGATTATTTGCTGGCTAGTTCCAGCCGGTGGGAATGGGAAGCAACCTTTTTCCAATGGCAAACAGGTGCGCCGCAGCCAAGATCTTTTACAATCTCTCTCTCTCTCTATAATGATATATATATATATATATGCACATAATACATAATTACTTGCATGTGCATACAATGTATAATGTTATGTATTATTAATAGTTGTATGCATTTGTGTGTGTGTGTAGACCTATAGGTTCCTGATGCTTGTTGAAGGATAATATATATATATATACATGTATATTGAAGATCTTCTCTGACCTCTATGTCAAGGATGCTTCATGGACCTAGCTAGCACTGATACAGGCAATCCACTGGCTGCAGCTGCACCTAGCTACAAAGCAAAAAAAACTGGCATCTTGATAGCTATCGGATGCAAATAGAATCAAATAGGTAAAAGGTAGGTGGAGCATTGCATTGATGAAAATCTTTGCAATCCAAGCTGCCTCTGTTTTTGCAGCTGCACCAATGAAGAGTCTTCAGCATCACAGGCCTGCACGGGACGGGCTTGCATGCATGGTTTCCTAACAAAACTGCGACAAGACCAATCTACATTGGGACTTTGTAAACATCAGCCGCTTTGTGTACATAGCCTTCGGGGATTCGTGCTGGCTGTATATGCGGTTTGATATGGTTTGATATGTTTTGATATCGTTTGATATGGTTTGATATGGTCTGATGGCTGCGTGGATGCCTGATCGAGGGCAGTGTCCTCCAAGGTAGGGCAGAACGCCAATCCTCACACATGGTTGGCGGGTTTGATTGGAGTATGCACACGCAACCTCAAAAGAGTTGACACTTTAGCTGGCAGGGTCCTGAAGATAGCAGAGCTGCAGCCGCTAAAGCAAATGCCATGAGTTCGTGGACCTCAGTGAAGCCACAACAAATTTCCAAAGCTGGATGGGAAATGAAGGATGTACACTAGTCACTAGTCATTTGATGTTGTTTGTCTCTCGAAACAGTCCGTGAGGCTTAGGTCTTAGGGCTCTGCATGCAGTAGAAGCCAAATGAGTCAGGTAGAAACGTTTCGATAGGACGGACTAAGACTGTTCGTCTGAGCCAGCATGAACAGCAACAGCGCATGTGAAGAGATGACCACGCCCCAGAGCCATGTATCAATTTATCAAATTTGAGAAATGTATAAAAATCTAAACTCTAAACAATGGGATCGAATCTATCGATCTCAGGCCAACACGCAAATCATGGGAGCAACTGACTTTTTATGGCATGGCTACTGGGCAGCTACCGAGACTGATCAGACCCACGGATCGCTTTGTGCAGCAAATCGAAAAGAAGGCGACCTGCGGGACAGGAAAACAACAACCAAGATTTGAAAACGACGTCGTCGTGGCAACGATAATGAAGAATCTCTTTCGAGTCTTTCTAAGCCTTTGTATACAATGCCCGGTTGACTGTGAATATGATTGTTATTTGTGGATGGTCGCATGGTTGCGGCATTAATGTCACCATATTGATCCTTTTAGTTTGCCGGCCTCGGCCTTCAGAACCACACAGCTGCACACAATGCCCCTCGCTGAGGCGGACCAACATCTGCCCAGTAAATTCTGTCGGCAAGGAAGAGCTTACATCCTCAGCCAGGGCCATTGCATCAAAGCAGAATAGTAGTGGGGATTTCCTCTCTCCTCTCTTGATGACTTGTGATGCATGGCAATCTATGGCCAAGTACCTCCCGTTCAGTTTCTTGATTTTGATAGCCAAGTGGCAGCAAAGTTCCCATCTTCAAGTTCCGTCAACCAAGTCTGCACTTGCTGCGGTGACCATTGTCGAGGATGCAAATCTCGCTGCTTTGTCAAGATATTCTGCAAAACCTCCTTCTGCACATCACTCTCACCTCTTTGATCAGATCCTTTTATCCGCAGCGTCGCTCCTGTTCGCAAAGTGGAAAGCGTATGTTCGGTATCGGATGCAGCAGGTGCGATAGTGCAAATGACAGAGAGCCGCGTCTCGGAGCAAAGGGATGTGGCAAGAAGCTTGGTAAGAGCTGAGGCCCTGAAGGCATGTGGAGGAATGCGCTGCCTCTTTGACATGAAGCGGATGCACTCCTTCAAGGCGTGCAATGACGCGTTGATCTCAGCTCCTTCTTGCTGTCGCTCTTTGGAGTGATTGGCTGAATCCTTTCGCCGTTCTGTACCAGCACAATCCACCAGTGTTAGCGAGCCGGCTGGGCTGCCACCTGAACGTTCGAACAATCTAATGCTACAAATGGCATGGCTGCGAGAGCTTTCATCATTCGCCTCCGTTGCACTGGTAGCTCTGCGTTGCCTCGCTGCCTCAAAAGCTGCCACCAAATCTTCCGGCGTCTGTGGGTGCAACTCGTGAGCACCTTCAGCAATGAAGGCACTTTGCTGCTCTCGAAGCTCCCGAAGACGGAGTTCTGGGAGGTTTGGCAGCAATAGATCAAAACAATGAGAGCCTCGAAGCTCGACTACACTCAGCGTCAGCGACAAGCGGTGACCAGAAATGAAAAGATCATGCGCAGCCAACCTTTCAATCGCTTTGATGGTATGAGTCTTCCCGCTTCCTGTCTGCCCAAACATAAGGATTGTGTTGGCATGACCTGTTTTTGCCGATTCTACCAGGCTCATTGCAGCATTTTCGTAAACATGTTCGTCAGAGACTTCGTCATCGAAAACGTGATCAAATGCAAAACGCAAGTGATGAATCACTGGTGTGCGGAGATCTGCTTGGAAAAGGCAGTTGTGGAGGATGACTTGGGTAGGTGAACTATGCGAACTTCGTGGAAGGACTGATACTACATCGAAATCGTTCCGCTTCGTTTCCTCGTGTGGAAAAAGCGGCCGCTTTCGTACGTAAACATCCACAACCCGGGAAGACCTCAATGCTGAGGGCGAGCGAACGACAAAGTCAGCAGTCGTTTGTTCGAGTTTTGCCTGATATTTTGCGATTGCATCAGTGAACAACGCCCGATGAGCAGCCCTCAACTCGTTCTTGTTGAACATTTGCCTTCCAGCAATCTGAATATGTGAAATGCATCTGGTCAACTTTAAACCTTAAGTTTAAGCGCAACAAAAGCATGCAAAGTTGAGCTGCCAGGGAAACTCCAAGAGAAACATGGTTTCAAGGGACTAGAGCGCTGACAGATTTAAAGTCTTCCTACGTTGGCCTCCCCAAGATGTACTCAAGACATTTTAAGACTACCTTAAAATTATTAAACTACCATTCCCCGAAATGTGGAAACGCAGCATGTTGATAACAAATGACCAAAAGAAGTTGGGAAGCAATCTTCCGAGTTACGGATGACTTTTATTCGAATGGCTTTACATCACACAACAATACATCTGACGAAGGGTGGTGAAGTGGTGACAATACATCACATAACAATACGTATATCACATAACAATACATCACGCAACTACATCACATAACAATACATCACATAACAGTACATCACACAACAATACATCTGACGAAGGGTGGTGATGATGGCGGAGGGTGATGACGGAGGGAGGTGGTGACCTAGGGAAGTGTGACGAAGGGAAGTGGTGACGAAGGGAAGTGGTGACGAAGGGAAGCGGTGAGGAAGCGGTGACGAAGGGAAGTGGTGACGAAGGGGGGGGACTTAGGGAAGTGATGACCTAGGGAAGTGGTGACGAAGGTGGGGGGACTTAGGGAAGTGATGACCTAGGGAAGTGGTGACGAAGGGAGGTGGAGACCCGGGATGTGGTGACGAAGGGAAGCGGTGAGGAAGGGAAGTGGTGACGAAGGGGGACTTAGGGAAGTGATGACCTAGGGAAGTGGTGACGAAGGGAAGTGGTGACGAAGGGGAGTTAGGGAAGTGAGGACTTAGGGAAGTGGTGACTAAGGCAAGTGGTGACTTGGGGAAGTGGTGACTAGATACAAGTGGGTTTGCCACGTGATGCCGCAACGCTTTGATGGCTGCATGAATGTTGCATGGGGCTTGTGCCGGGGAAGCCGGAGAACGAAAGCTTGCGTTTTTCCGTGTGAAGTGGCTGCAGCCGGCGATGAAAGCTACCTCGTGTGTGTGCGGGGGTTGCGGACCGTTCGATTTGACGTGTGACACTCCCTTGGTGTTCTGCAACGCGTGGATGCAAATCGCAATGGCTGCTTGAATGTGTACGTGTTGCTGCAAACGCATTGTAATTACTGCACGAATATTGCATGGGGCTTGTTTTGGGGAGGAGGCCGGAACGAAACCTTGAGTTTTTCCGTGTAAAGTGGCTGCGGCCGGCGATGAAAAGTACCTTGTGTCTGCGGCGGTTGCCGACCGTTCGTTTTGACGTGTGATTGGTTCTCCCTTGGTGTTCTGCAACGCGTGGATGCATATGGCAATGCAATGGCTGCATAAATGCGCACCTGCTGCTGCAAAATGCATTGTAATGGCTGCATGGCTGTTGCATGGGACGAATTGGCTGCAGCTGGCGATGAAGGGTACCTCGTGCGTAATTTTGCAGCTGAGAGTCGTGAATCGTATTGGAGTGGCCGCATCAAGGTTGCGATAGTGATTTCTCAGTAGATTTTCTCCGTTTTGGGGTTGGCGATTTTCCTTTTAGAATTTCTTTGAAAACGTTCTCAAAATCGTGTTTTTTTTTGGTTTTGGCGCCGAGATCCCAGTTTTGGAGCTGCAATTTCTCACGCCTTTGCGCGTAGTTCTATTGTGTTTTGCAATTTAATATCTGGATATCGCATTGTAATGGCTATGTCAAGGTTCCTTGGTGCCGCGGCTGCATGCGTAATACTATGGTCTTTTGCAGCTGGACAGTGTGAATCGTATTGGAGTGGCTGCATCAAGGCTGCGGTGGTGATTTGTCGGCAAATTTTCTTATATAATTTTGGCGCTGGCGATTCTCCTTTTAAAATTCCTTTTAAAAAGTGCTTCACAACCGTGTTTTTGTTTGCTTTGGCGCTGAGATCCGGTTTTGGACCTGCAATTTCTGTTGTCATTATGAACCAGAAAGTTTCTCTGTGTAAAAGGTCTTTACTTAAAAGCTTGCTGTGTGTAAAGCTTTCTGTGTGTAAAAGCTTTCTGTGTGTGAAAGTGTTCTTTGTGTAAAAGCTTTTCTGCGTGAAAGCTTGCTGTGTGTTAACGCGTTCTTTGTGGAGTAAAAGCTTGCTGTGTGGAAAAGCTTGCTATGTGTCAAAGCTTGATGTGTTTTGGAAAGTGTTGTGTGCAAGCTTTCTAGTACAAAGTAGTGCTGGGAAGTGCTTTGTGCAAGCTTTGTAGTACAAAGTAGTACTGGGACGTGCTTTGTGCAAGCTTTGTAGTGCAAAGTAGTACATGGAAGTGCTTTGTGCAAGCTTTGTAGTACAAAGTAGTACTGGGAAGTACATTGTGCAAGCTTGTAGTACAAGGCAGTATAGTGTTCTGTTAAAGCTTCAAAGTAATACTGGTGCGAGCTTTGTAGCACAAAGTGGTACTATGAAGTACTTCGTGCAAGCTTTGTCGTACCAAGTGCTACTGGGAAGTGTGTTGTGCAAGCTTTGTAGTACAAAGTAGTACTGGGGAGTACTTGTGCAAGCTTTGTAGTACAAAGTAGTACTGGGAAGTCCTTTTTGCGAGCTTTCTAACATTTTCTAGTACAAAGTAGTACTGAGAAGTCCTTGTGCATGTCCTGTAGTACAAAGTAGTACTAGGAGGTCTTTTGTGCAAGCTTCGCAATACAAAGTAGTACTGGGAAGTGCTTTGTGCAAGCTTTGTAGGACAAAGTAGTACTGGGAAGTACTCTGTGCAAGCTTTGTAGGACAAAGTAGTACTGGGAAGTGCTTCGTGCAAGCTTTGTAGTACAAAGTAGTACTGGGAAGTACTTTGTGCAAGCTTTGGAGTAGAAAGTAGTACTGGGAAGTGCTTCGTGCGAGCTTTGTAGTACAAAGTATTTTGTAAAGGCTCTTCTGTGTAAATGCATCTGTCTCTCAAGCTTCTGTGCGCAAAAGCTTTCTGCGCCCAATGGTTTTTTTGTGCCAGAGACTTCTCTCTGACAGTAAGAGCTGTCTGGCGCGCAGAGCCGCTGAGATGAGTTGAGGAGAACTTCGAGGAGATAGGCTGATCAGTGCCCGGATGAGGTGCAAACAGCTGAGAAGAACTTACTTAGATGACATGTGAGAAGAGATGGGATGAGATGAGAAGAGCTGAGATGAGGTGAGATGAGGTGAGAAGAGCTCAGATGAGATGAGATGAGATGAGATGAGATGAGATTAGATGAGATGAGATGAGATGAAGTGTGGAGTGTGGAGTGTGAAGCGCAAGTGTGAAGTGTGAAGTGCGGGGTGCGTGTGAAGTGTGAAGAAAGTGTTCGCTTGGCGTTGCATTGCACCGGGGTCGCGTGCAGGTCATGTTCTTGAACAACAACCGCAACAGCTTCGCACAAAGCACGCACGCACGGGCCTGGCTGGCGCACGGCGCATGCAAGTTCTACAGATGAGAAAGGTCTTATAGTATAACCCTAAGGCAACTTCCGCCCTGCCTCGTGGGGGTACTACTGGTAAGGAATAGGTATGAATAAGTGATAGGTAATACATAAGGCTGTAAGATGATGTGAGCACTTTGCTCTGATGCCTGCTGGCAGCTCCGAGGGATGCTGCTCGAGGGCCCGTGTGCACACGAGTGACCGAGGGTCGTTCTGATGTGCTGCGTGGCTCACGTCTAGGCGGACTCCGCACCCTGCAGAAGCAACAAAATATGAACAAAGAGGCAAAGATAGGCAACGAATAACCAGATTCAGGCCAGTATGAGCCAGTTGCCAGTCTGAAATGTTGAAAGGATTGAAAAGTACACTGGAATAATGTTGAAATCCCTGCCAATGTGCATGGAGTAGTCACATGTCCAGATTCAATTCTAGTAGCCAGCAGGCAACCCGTACCTCTCGGACACTTCACGGTCGGAAGACACATCTCGGCTCCTCTGAGCTCTCCTTGCCTCCTGACTGACACGTGGATCGAAAATTATCGAAGGGGCATGAAGGCGCTGCCATTTCGAAACATTTCGCAACGCTTTCCACTTCGTTTTTGCACTACGTTTTCCACTCCGTTTTGCTAGCTTCAAGGGGGACACACTGGTCTGAGTCTGGTCCCTTGCCTCTCGAGCCTCCAGTCGCTGGCGTACGGCTGGAGGAAGCTGTGCACTTGGAGCAGGTGCATCCCGGCCGACGTTCGGCTGGGGCCCTGCACCAAAGGGGTCCTGCCTCAACATTTCAAGAGAATTCACGCCATGACTGACTCAGTCAGGAAATAGGGGAGAAAAAAAAAAGTATGAAAAATTCTGAACGCTTTGACACCATCCCAAACCTGCATAAATCTCTTCCGGGTTTCCTGCTCATCAATAGAGGAGTGCCCTCCTCTTTATTGGCTTCATGCACCTGTGGCCCCTTGAGCTGCGGCAGGGTGACTTCAGGGAGTAGAGTGACATCGAAGCCCACTGAACTTGCTCTTGAATCTTCAGAGTCTGCCCGCTGTTCACGGATTTGTTCATGGTCATGCGTTTCACGTCCACCGAGGTGTCCCTTGGCTTCACCGACGTCGGCTTGACTGGCTTGCCGATGGGGAGGCTCTTGCCGAACGCCCTCACAGGCTAAAACCGGCAAATGCCTTTGTGCTGTGCCTGGATCCCTGCTAGACTGATCTGCAGGTGGCAAGCAACTGGCGCCGTTGGCATCGGCGCGCTGAACCTTCTCAACTTTTTGAGTCTGTTTGTACAAAGGAGGCTTTTTCGAAGGAGCTCCCTTTGGCTTCACATCGTGTCTGCCTCCCAATCCTCCCACAGAACTGCTTGCACTCTGAGAGTATCCCTGTGCGAAGCGGCCGCTTCCACTGGATGATGCACCTGCACGTATGCCATCAAGAGGTGCCTCGTGCTCGTCTTTGTGAGCATCTGTAGCAGCACTTCTCGGCACATCCTCTTGCTTTGATGTCCTTCAGCGTCAGCACAGCACAAGGTAGAAGCATTGGAGGACAATACAGGATCTATTTTGCAGGTGAGCTGCACTCGCACAGGCGTTGTGTGCGTGGTGTCCTTATGGCGGCGCAACAAACCCTGCTGCCCCGCCCATGCACGCACACTGACAGAACCTCAACAGGTCTACAGATTATCTTTGCTACTTATCTTGCAGCTATGGGGCTCGCCCCTTCCTTTCGGAAACAATGCCGGAGTGCTGTGCGAACCTAAGGCCAGACACGGGAGAGCACATTCTTTCCATCATTGGGTGACAATCTGAAGATGCGCCAAATCGACACACCGACCAACTTCCCGAAGTCTTCTCGGTGCCAAGGCATCCCAACTTTATCCCATGTTTAGACTTTAGACCAGAAACTCCTTAGGAGTTTGCGGCAGCTCTTGCGGCGAAACTGCCGAAGTTCCATTCTCGCGGAGTCTCAAGGGTGAAACAGCTGAAGGGGAACCTCAGCTCAAAGAAGTCCTGCAAATCGCCCTGATACTATTGCATTTCATCGCCTCAAATGAGGACCCCAATGGCAAATCGCTGCCAAGTATCTTCTGTCAGTAGGATCTTGAGCTACAGCTCGCTGCAATTGACGAATCTGAACCCGAGAAAGGCCCACCTTCCATGGGCGCTGAGTATTTGGGTCAACTGCAGAAAATGGTTTTGTCTGGGTTTGTCGTGGGAAGTGGAACAAACTGGAACAACGTCCATGGCATCTTGAAATGTGTCAAATGTGTCAAATGGGTCGAGAAATAGTTGCGCCATGTTGCGCTACATTGCTACATTCTGTTGCAAAATCACCTCCTCCAGGTCCTCCACCAGCAAATCTGACAAATGCGCTGGCTTGCTGACGCCAAGGGCTTGCAAGTCGGGCAATTGCTCCACAAGTCCTCATACCCAAACATCCCAAACATCCCAAACATCCCAAACATCCCAAACATCCCAAAGACACACATAGGGAAACAGAGAGAGGCAGAGACAGAGAAAGAAAGAGAGTGTCGTCACAGTGTCGTCTCTTTTCTATGTCACCACCCCTCCCACCCTCCCACCCTCCCACCCTCCCACCCTCCCACCCTCCACATCCTCCACAACGGATAGCAAGAGGAGAGGCATACTTGAATATACTTGAGCAGTAACTTACGCCTCTTAGAATCTAAGCACCGAGGATGTCAAGGCAAGGCTCCATGGGCTTCGAGAAGCTGCAACAGCTCGGGGTCACGCGGTTCATTTGGCGCACGTGACCCGGCAGATTTCGAAGCAGTCTTTGTGGATGTGGCATCTGGGCTGCAAGCCTCGGACACAGAAAGGATCAGGACCTTTTTGAACGGGATCTCAAACTCACTAAGATGCAAACTAATTATCTATTACACCTTAGTACACTTTAGCACACTAAGATACACAAAGTAACCCACCAAGAACATTCTATTTCGTTGCATCTCTGATCATCTCGGTACTGGCATTTTCGAAGTGCAAGATCTGGGTTTGTGGCGGCCTTGGCACTTGATGCACCACAACCCATATGCCACCGCAGGTCAAAAGCTTGCTACATCCTGTTTCAAAGAAAAGAACACCTTAAAACAATGCTATTTGGAGCAGGTGAAAGTTTCAGAAATAAGTAATAAGAGTTAGAGAGAGGGAGAGAGTCGCACGGTTCACCTACTTGCAGCTGCTGAGTGTCCTCTTACATTGTTCAGAACTGCAGAACTGTCATGTTCTTGTAAAATCTGTTATGCAATGTTATACCGTTATACCATGACTTTGGATTGCCCAAATGCAATTCAATCTTGGTTTTTTTATTGCTATGCCTGCCTACCTCGGCCAAATGGCTGACTGAAGAAAAACGCACTGCGATGAAAGCAATTCCAACAACTCCACAATGTGACTGCAAGCTGGAATCGCACACTAAGAACGTCATGGAAGTTCAGGGCGGGCAGCATTGCTGGGCACTGGTTGCAATGACAAGCAAGCAGCTGAGCAGCCTTGAAACGAGTTTTCTCCAGCAATTGGTCTGCACTTTTCTTGAGTGTCAAGCCGGTCTTTGCGACTTGTAAGCACGGACAGAAACGGTGCGCCCTTGCTGAACTGTCCTACACTATGCAAACATTCTCAAATCTTGCATGCAGCGGTCAAGTGAGACCTTGCAATATTCTAGAATATTGTGCAGTTACATAGTGCAAATGAATGGTTGTGAGTTGTGAAGCCCACCAGGTTTGACTGTATGGGACATGTCTGACACCGCCAGTGTAATAAAGAAAGCTGGCTTTATGGGTTACATGCTCAAGAGGATAATAGGGTTGCCCTACAAACAGCCTCACGACTAACTCCTTTTGCAAGAGTACACAGAGTAGACAAAGTAGACACTGCAAGACTCAACTGTCGCTCAGCAAAGAGTGCTGCTTCTCCTGGCCATGCCAAAAGAAGAGGGCATCGGAAAGCTCTAATTGCAACAGTGGCAACATTTTTGGCAAGAGGAAGATGATGGAAGATGAGAAAGCACTTGCCTATATAAACGAGACCACAAACATCTCTGTTTCAGCTCTGTCTAGCACCTTCAGACCGGGTCTGCCTGAGCCTAACTTAGGAAAACTTATCTCTCGACTGGTTTTTCTTGATGGCCTGATGCTTCAAGAATCGACATGCCTGCACATTCATACGCATATGGCATACGAGTATTCATTCTTTTTAATTAACCATAGTCAGTATAGTTATATAGTATAATGCTCCGACTGATTCCTCATGTGTCACATATTGCAATGATTTGCCATCTATTGCAATGTGGTTTTTCGGCCACAGCAGTGGCCGCCGGACCCCCACCTCTGCCAGTTGCCTGAGTGACAGGTCCTGCAGGAGCGTGGCCAGCTCCTGAGAGTAACAACAGACAGAGCTCGACAAAAGTGTGACCAGTGACAAGCGTATCCAAAAGTGCGTCACAAATCTAACCAACTCTAGTCATGCAATCCCTTGACCCTTGACGAGTTGGTTTTGATGTTTTGGGGTCTCAATCTGGAAACCTTTGGGAAATGTGAAGTCAGTGGGCCTCAAGGACTAACTTCTCAAAGGTTCCCAGCAAGGACGGGCAAATCCCAACAGCACTGTTGCCCCAACCTCTGGTAGAGATTCCCATGCCGACCGTGTTAGTATCCACACTTCCGTGGTATGGCCAAATTTGCCTCAGCACTGACAGCACTGAAGCCAGAAAGGAAAAACGATGCTTAACATGGATTTGTGGATTTGCAATTCATCGAATTGGTGATGCAAGGATCTGCCAAGCAGATCCAAGCAATGCCAGTGGAAGAATTTGCCGAAAATCAGCGAAGGCACTGGAGACCACTCGGCTGGTAGCCGCGCCAGCATCACCAAGTCGTCGCTGCAGGCCTGGGTGATGTGTTGACAATGAACCTATAGCCGCTATAGCCTGCGAAATCTGTGCCCAAAGGATCTCTTCCAATAAAGTTGATACCACGTAGAACGCACAAACCAACCATTGCACAATTTGGCCCAGGAAATCTTGCATGACTTCCAAAGTGCAGCTGGGTAACTTTTGAGGAAGAACTCGTGCTTTCCAACTATGCTTCCAGGCCTCACACCAATAGTCAAGAAACAAACTCCTGAACGCATCAAATGCAATGCATTGCATTGCATGGTGCGCTCATTCGATCCATGCCAGCTCAGGAACGGATATCTCTTCCGCAATCGCTTGTGCCGTCGGCCCTGGAAGCCCTTGATGCTTACCCCTTGGTTTGTGGTGCTCCCTTCCTGAGCTCATGGGAAGTCAAGTCTGAATGCAATTGGTTTGGACTTCTAATCGTTCATCAAAAAGATTCAAAGATATTCAAAGTACACTTGAAGAAGTGCATCCACACAGCTGGACAGCAACGAACACTACTGTGCGCGACATGTTTAGACATGCGGACACAGACGGCTGCATGTCTTTATCTCAAGCAGAGATGCAAGTAGCTCGTCAACAACTGCGATTGCGCCTTGCATGAGATTTAAACCCTGACGGGGCCAAGAAGCCATCACATGGCTACTTATGATACCATTGCAACCGACACATGCAAGACATGTCTGCGCCTTGTAGGACAAAAACAAAGGCATCACCATCCGGTACACGCTGTCCACTTGCTAGGCCAAGCTGTACAGTGCAGAAAGGCTGGATCGTGCGCATAAAACCTGAGCAAATCAAAAGTAAAGGGGTCCAGGGCGCATGAATTAGTGCCATCTTTCTGCCCATGGACCCCACAGCCAAAATGGTTGGACCCTGGGTCGTCCCTATCGCTGCCTCACAACTCATCCATCTGTAACCTTCAAGACGGCTTCCCTTGATGTCTGACATCCACCCATGGATCATATGAATGCTGATGCGGCTGATGCATATGAAAACATGAGAAATCATGAGAAGGCCTTGTGGTAGAAGGTTCATCGCCTCGAAAGCAAGATTTGGTAGCCTTGAGCCACTGCTGCACGCAACCCTGTACTCCAGCATATACTCTTTCAGCTCTCTTGAACCGTACAAATAAGTCTCCAAAAGCCGATCTCCGGTGTAGTCCAATGCATCTGTCCTTACTTTCCAAACACGCATGGAATGCAGCACACCCCAACTTCCTGCATGTTTCTGTTGATACTCAATGAGTCTGTTGTACAGTCTTGATTTTTGAGCCCTCTTTGTTAGCCCTCTTTGGAAAATGAGCTGAGATGAGCTGAGCATCACATCGTCAAACGCATCGTAATCCTCGTATGCCGGGCTCTTGAATGGCTTGCCTTTGCCCCAGCAACTCAGAGCTGTTGCAGTTGTTGGTGATGTCGGGGTTGCATCACCGAATTCCGTAAAAACAGTGGACTCCTGGCAAGGCTACAGTACTCAGTTACTCATGGAAAGATGTTTACGACAGAATACGACAGAATGGGCAATCGAAACAAATAACGTCAAATAAATGACAATAAACATGCATCAACATGCTAGAATAGCTACTGGTTATGCAGTCCAAACATGTCCAGTCACATTACACATTGGACCAGGATCCCATGGCGTCCCCTAAACCGATTATAAAATGTTATAAATGTTATAAATCTATATAAATGTATAATATGTATATTATAAATGTATATAGTTAAATGATGTTAAATGTGTTATATCCGCCTCGGCAGTGATTTCTCCCCGAGTCGGAGTCGTCTGCAGATCCAGCAGCTGTCGCAGATCGAGATCCGGGGAGGTGACCACCTTCAGCACGGAAAGGGCATCGAAGACCTGCGAATTCATGCGGCAAAAGATCACCTCAGTGCCGAACAAAATCCCATCTGTACCGTGATATGATGTGATACTGGCAACATGTGGCAACAGTGCTACCATGTGCTGTATCAAGGTGGAATGTCGAATGTTCATTTGTTTGAGGAAACCCGAGGTTGATGAAAACATGATAAAACCCATAAATAATGCTTGACAAGTTGACAAGTCTCCTTGCACCCATGTTCAGACACACGTTTGACAGCCATCCGCAACTGCTCCGCAGCTGAAGCATCAATACTGGTCACTTTACCGAAGCTCAAGATGCAGTATTGGGATATCCTCTAGGGTAGCGCCGCGCAGGAACCAAACAAAAGCTGCACTCAGGGGCTGGGTGCTGATGCTATTGGACTGCCCTAGTTTGTTGATGCAAGTCAAGTGAATCATGCATTGATGATGTCGTGTTTATCCATTTTGATCCGTTTTGATCCGTTTTGCCTATCTGAAGCGGTAAGGATTTCCAAAATGGGTCAAGTTGTGACGGTGCAACAGGTCGGTCCTCCCTGGCTCAGCGGCATCTGGATCCAGACCATCCTCGATAGCTTCGACAAGACTGGAGGCCAAATTCTGCCCCGAACCGAAGAAAAGCTGACCCTGCAAGTAGAAAAGCAGAATTCGATGACCATGAAGGCACAAAGCCTCCAACTCCCAAAATGGTCGGAAGGTTCGACTTACAGTGTGGCTGCCAGTCGACATGCTTGCAATTGGTGATGATTGAGCACTGTCCCAGAGGAAAATCACCAGGCTGAGGGTCAAACCCGCTCCGATGCCCTGGAATGGCGATGAGAACGCTGCAACGAGAATACATGCAACAGTCACCCAATATTGCGGCGAAGGAAGTCGATAACCCATGAATTTCTGAGGAGGTAAGCTGCGGAATGAAAGAAAGGCGCTTTCCAAAAAGCTCAGGCCACTGCCCATGAAGAGGCCACCCAAGAAGAACTTGGGAATGTAATGCCCAAGTGGAAGGCTTGTGAAAAAGAAAATGCCTACGAAGCAGGACGATGTGAAGACTGCAAGTCGATGTGTTCCGCCATCCATTCGAAGCTGGATAGAACTCCCCAAACGATGGAAAGTCACAACCCCATTTGACAGGGCCGTGAAAATGCTTCCAAAACCCACTGTCGTAAGTTCTGCATCAAAGTCAATGACCTCCATCGGAGCAGGATCACCATCTGGACCCATTCGGAATTTGCCCGTGATCCCCAAGACCCCTGTCATGGTGCAGAGTACTGACATCATCACCAACATCAGCATCGAAGGGATATTGTAGATCAGGACCCCAATATCAGCACCTCCATGTGGGTTGTAGATGTCGTAGGTGGTCCAAAGGCTAGAAAAGGACCGGCTGGTTTGGGTGGGGTATGTCCAGCCACTCGTACTCAGCTCTTCCATTGACAATCCAAGCGCGGAAGTGATGGCATAAAAAATGACCAAGGGGCATAGCTGACAAAATAACCCTGAAAGCTTCAAGAGTCTGCTGTCCGGAAGTTTCCGCGCAATGATAGATGGCCCATGCCTGATGAAAGCCACCATCGCTAGCAAGCATGACACTGGGCCCAAACTGCGAAAGCTCAGAAATGCTGTCAGATCCACTGGGTAAAAGTATTGGAACTGAACTCCTCATCTGATTCATCTGCTTGGAAACTAACTTTGATTGCACCAACAACGGTAAAATATGAGGCACTTAGTCAACGTAGTCCTGATTGAAATGCATGAAATTGCAATGTCAAAAAAAAATGCTGCCAAAACACCTGAAGAGACTTGCAACGCTGTCCGGACAAGAAACCATCCAATAGTTCCCAGAAAACCATTCGTGACAGGTGTTGGAAATCGAAGCATCAATTTGCCAACGCCCAGCTTTCCCAGGAGCACACTGCAAACCCCTGTGAGCATCGTGCTGGATACTATCAGCGCAAGAATGGTGGGTTGGATGAGATCCGATTTGCCTCGCCTCTTTAGAAACAAAGCTGCATTTTGAGCCATAGCGCCATAAAGGATAGCACACACTTCTTGCGTGGCATTGGTATTGTACTGTAGCCGCCCAAAGGCTGCATAGAATGCTGATCCCGCCATCGTAGAATACCACATCATTGAGATGCCAAACGGAAACATTTCAGTAATCTCTTCATGGTTGGATCCTGTAAACACCAGGGTGGCGCTCACGATGCCAGTTAATGTCTGCCGGATTCCGATGATGCAACCAGCCAGAATGTTCGCAGCCACTCCTGCAATAAAGCATGGTGTATCGTGTGCATGTGTGTGTGTGCATGTCATTTGGTGTGTTTGTTTCTCTGTCTGTAAAAATTGTTTGGTGTGTGTCTGTGTGTCTGTGTGTCTGTGTGTCTGTGTGTCTGTGTGTCTGTGTGTCTGTGTGTCTGTGTGTCTGTGTGTCTGTGTGTCTGTGTCTGGGTGCGTTTGCATCTGTGCTCTGATACTACTTGAGAAGGGGTGACACGAAAGGTAGTTGTGTCAGACGTTACAACTCTGATTGTCGTTGTGATGTGACTCCAGCTTGGGTGGTTCATGAACCGTGGACGGGCATGAAACTGGACATTCATAGCTGAACGGAGATATCTGGATCCGAAAAGAGGGCACCCCACGATTGCCATGGTTGATCATCACTTAGTCTATTTCAAGAGCCATTTGGAGGTATATTGTCTGACACACGCATCGCGCGGGGAAAAAAAACACGGTCAGTGTTAGCACAAACCCCAAAGTCGCTTTTGCGGTACCTATGGATGCTCGAACCTGTCACTTTCATCGCACCGTTGGGTGCGGGGCAAATGGATGTCGAAAAATCCGAATTGCAAGTCGAATGATGATGATGAGGATGATGCTGATGATGAGGATGATGACGACGATGCTGATGATGAGACACTGCGAAGGGGCTGCTGCGTGAAGAGACGCACAAGGCATGTGACGAGAGTTCACTTGGGGGGGGCATGGAACTGGACATTCAGAGCAGAGCGGAGATATCTAAATCCGAAAAGAGAGCATGGTTGCTCATCACTTAGTCCATTTAAATAGCAATTTGGAGGTATACATTGTCAGACACACGCATCGTGCGGGGAAAAAAAAACACGGTCAGGGTTAGCACAAACTCCAATGTCTCTTTTTGCGGTACCTATGGATGCTCGAACCTGTCACTTTCATCGCACCGTTGGGTACTTGGAAAATGGATGTCGAAAAATCCGAATTTCAAGTCGAATGATGATGGTGATGAGGAGGATGATGATGATGATGATGTTGATGATGATGATGATGACGAGACACTGCGAAGGGGCTGCTGCGTGAAGAGACTCACCAGGCATATGGCGAGAGTTCCCTTTGAGGGGGGGGGAGGGGGGGGGCTCTGATTGTCGTTGTGATGTGACTCCAGCTTGGGTGGTTCATGAACCGTGGACGGGCATGAATCTGGACATTCATAGCTGAACGGAGATATCTGGATCCGAAAAGAGGGCACCCCACGATTGCCATGGTTGATCATCACTTAGTCTATTTAAAGAGCCATTTGGAGGTATATTGTCTGACACACGCATCGTGCGGGGCAAAAAAAAGCACGGTCAGTGTTAGCACAAACCACAAAGTCGCTTTTGCGGTACCTATGGATGCTCGAACCTGTCACTTTCATCGCACCGTTGGGTACTTGGAAAATGGATGTCGAAAAATCCGAATGTCAAGTCGAATGATGATGGTGATGAGGATGATGATGATGATGACGATGATGTTGATGATGAGACACTACGAAGGGGCTGCTGCGTGAAGAGACGCACAAGGCATGTGACGAGAGTTCACTTGGGGGGGGCATGGAACTGGACATTCAGAGCAGGGCGGAGATATCTGGATCCGAAAAGAGAGCACCCCACGATGTCCATGGTTGCTCATCACTTAGTCCATTTAAATAGCCATTTGGAGGTATACATTGTCAGACACACGCATCGTGCGGGGAAAAAAAACACGGTCAGTGTTAGCACAAACTCCAATGTCTCTTTTTGCGGTACCTATGGATGCTCGAACCTGTCACTTTCATCGCACCGTTGGGTACTTGGAAAATGGATGTCGAAAAATCCGAATGTCAAGTCGAATGATGATGGTGATGAGGAGGAGGATGATGATGATGATGTTGATGATGATGATGACGAGACACTGCGAAGGGGCTGCTGCGTGAAGAGACTCACCAGGCATATGGCGAGAGTTCCCTTTGGGGGGGGGGAGGGGGTGGTCCCTTTCTCCTGGTCGTTCAAGGATAAGGGGTCCAGCCCGCCCCTCTGCTTCGCAAAGTAAAACTCAAGGTAGCCCGCTAGGAGGCTACCTTTCGTGAAAATGTGAGGGCTACAGTAGCTTGAGGTTGTAACTCATTATTTTTCAAATGTACATGCGCAGCCAACTTGTGCAAAATTGTAAGGCACAATGTCTCGAAACACCCAGGGGGAGTATTTCAGAATGAATGGAATCTAGAATGAATCTACCGAGCAACACCCCACATCATGTGGCCTTGAATTGATCAGATGATTCCTTTGAACTACTTGACACGTATAGAGGGGATTGGGAATGCTGCATTTGAAATAATTCAGTTACACGCTTTTGACCATGGCAAGGTACGCAGAGAGTCCACAGAACCTGTTTCTCCATTCAATGGGACGCACTCTGACCAAGTAGGCCTTAGCAGTGGAGCAGTCACACTATGAATTGGGTTGGTTAAGGTCATGGCACGCAGAAAAATTTTAGCAACACCGTGTTCGCACCACACTCTGCAGGACACTTCTGCATGCCAAGTTGCCAGTAACCAAATACACTTCTGGGTTTTGCCTTCCGGCTAGGAGGCAACAAAGGTTCACCCCCACCCATCATGCCACATACCCGCTGCGGCCACTCTAACTAGGAACGCACATTTAATCACAGTACTGCTTAAAAACGTTGGTTTGGTGACTGCGGATGAACCTGCAAAATTCTATTAGCACATGCTTGATCCAACCCTATTTTGAAATTGGTGCGACACCAATATGGGAAAAAATCCGGTGCGTCACAGCGCGTTTGTTGACCGCACTTCACCTTCAATTGATCCGAAATGGCTGAAAAACATTTGTGGAACTGCCCAATTCTGCGCAAACTGCTCCCTCTGGTGATAAAGATCATTGTTCCCTCACACAGCCTTCCTACTGCCATTGCCATGTAGTATTCTGATTGCTTCGGCCACTGCACCCCCACGTCCATTCATAAGCCACACAAACCACAGTAAAATTTGATTTGCCCGCAACCATTATATACTATTTTGAAACGGCATGCCTTTCAGTTTTCAAATGTCTTATCGACGATCGATAGCGCAAATCGCAATGCAGCTAGGGCATGAGAACATGGTGCCAGCCTTACAATTTTTACCATGAACATCGCAATGAAAATAGTAAAATGGTTGTGCCAACGCTGTGGCCAAAAGTCCTTGCTGTCTTTGGCACAGGCCATTTTTTTGATAGATTTCGTCTTGCAAAGCGTTTCAAAATTTGGTTTTGGCGCGGGTGCGTGAAACATTCGTAAATTCTACTCTGCTGCCATGATTTCTGGTCAGAAAAAAATGTCGGGCGGCAACGAAAATTATTTTTGTGGCTGCAGCTGCATGCTCCGTCTTGGGCACCGGATGCCTCCACGCACTCTGAATGGCAACGGAAATGCTGTGCCAACACGGTGCAAATCATGGACATTATTGGTGTTTACGAAATCTTGTTGCGAATCGCTATGGACTCGTCTGACAGATAATGTGGCCATTTTTTCTGGCAACACGCAGTGCGTTGAGCAAGCATTATGTCCCCCCTCAATCGGTATGTTTTGTTCAGGACGCAGTTTGCTTGCAACAGGGGTCAAGTCAAAACACAAATCCTATGGTTAACTTTGGTCAGCTGAAAACTGTTGTTGTGAAATATTCACACATGCCTGGAACACTGTTTCATGCATACGAAGGTCCAGTGCACTTACCATATATCGCATGTTTGGCAGCGCGCCCCACAAGGTTGGTGCCTTCATTTGCATTTTCATCCATTTGGGGGCCAACACGATTCCAATTGTTTACCTCAAATTTACCTCCGGGTCTTCGCGTCTGCACACATAACTTCGGACCTGTGTTTCTTATTTGTGCGTCCTGCTGGGGGCGATCCAATATGATCTACCCGCTGTGCTTGCCAAGCGCCTGCATCCAAAGAACTAAGAAGACGGTTTTTTACATTGGCACACAAACCAACATGAGGGTTATTATCCCATTCCACCCAAACCCAACCCCAAGGCAATGTCGCGCCGATGGCGCCTGAATCTGTCTTGACAAAGCAGTGTTGCGGCAAGGAACCCGTCCGGACGTGTCACGTCAAAGAATCTTGTAGGAAACATCACGGGTTTCATTAGATCAACACATGATGATTTCCTAGATTTATGGCCCGTTCGACATAGGCAAGGTTCGATGTGCGTGGTGCCTATGTTGAAAAAGGGCCCAAAGCTCACTTAGGACGACTTTTCCACTCACTTAGGACGACATTTTTTGATGTTGACTTCAGGGCTAACGCCATGGGACACAAACCTTTAGGTTAACACTTGGGGACACTTGGGGTGGGTTTAGGGGACACTTGGGGACACTGGGGGTGGGTTTAGGGGACACTTGGGGACACTTGGGGTGGGTTTAGGGGACACTTGGGGACACGAGGCTGGGACATGGAGTGGTTTTAGGGAACCAACTCCATCGGATACCGACCTTTAGGTTAACACTTGGGGACACTTGGGGTGGGTTTAGGGGACACTTGGGGACATGGGACTGGGACATGGGGTGGGTTTAGGGACGTTCCTGATACGTTGTCACATCTTCTTCAAGAACCTTGAATGATGTTCCTCATATGTTGTAACATCTTCGTCAAGTAACATGCAAGACGTTTCTGATACTTGCAACATCTTCCTACTTGTAAGTAACTTCCATCAGGAAGGTCGTGCAAGTTACTTACAAGTTGGATGATGTTGCAAGTATCAGGAACGTATTGCACGTTACTTGACGAAGATGCTACAACATATAACGAACATCATTCAACTTACATGAAGAAGAT